TCTTTCTCGGGTTGTTCATTGCCATTTGCGTATATGCTTTCCACGTAACGCACCATCTGCTTAACTTCGCTTATTTTGCTTATGCATACTAGGGGGATCCTTTTCGAGGCAAACCAGCGTTTTGTAGAGATCCACCGTTTTATACCAGGCCACGCCCCAGTGGTGGCTTTCCTCCTCGTCACGAAATTGCCTTTAAACGCCGAATTGGAAAAGTGTCCCATTTGTATTATCTGCCCCCCCCTTCTACAAAATTTCCATTTTGCCTAGTGGAGACTCGCAGCGGATCCCCTCCGGAACAAGAATGTACATACATAGATGTAAAGGAAGTCACCATTTATGCCTCTCCTTTTGGGCAACAAAATCCCCCATAGCCGTACTCTCCCAGTTGGGCTGCCCCTATGCCCTTCTGCATTTACTTGCCACACAGAATTTGCCCACATCTATTCCTCAGCAAGTGCGCAAAAATGGCGTCACCCTTATGCGTCTCCCTTTTGGAAAATTATTTCGCCGGGCGTCAAAACTACTACTATCTTTTTTGCTCGCAGCAGTCGACTGGTAAAGGTACCAATGCCCTTCCGAGCTGCTCATTTCTGCACTGCTTTTTTTAAGGTGCAAGATGAGCGCCGTGTGAGCGGTGTGGCCAGCGTGTACGGTACCACTTCCGGTGAATCCCTCTCGTCGCCAGTTCTCACCATGGGGATGGAAAACCAATCCTAAAGGCCTACGCGCTTAAGCCGAAAAGGAAGGAAGCAACTAAAGATAACACATTGAGTGATACGGGGGGAACATCCCCCTCCCCATTTTTGTACTAAAAATCGAATCCATGCCATATAGTGGAGAGTCCCCATTTTGGTCACATATTTTTTTCGAGCGTAAAACGGGCTGCTTTTGTGTGGGCATGAGGGGGGAAAAAAAACCCAGCTAGGTCTTTTTCCCAAACCCTTAGGAGGCGTAAAACCGCTAAAAGGCAGTCGCGCCTCACAGCTTTTACAGACGATTAACACGCGTATGAGATGCACACATAGTGAATGCCTTTGCTTTCTTGACGATTTCTTTCCATTTTAATCTTAAAATTCTGTTAGTTCCCCTACCACTGGTGGTGATAAGGGGTGGGAGGAAATAATGCCTCCACGACACGTCCCTAATTTTTCCGCTTCTGCTTCATTAAATATGCTAAGCTTATTTTTACAGTGGGTAAAACCAATTTTACAAAAAGACGGCAGGTAAGTTTTCTATCTCGTTGGCCAAAATGAAGGCACATATATTTTCTACTGACGCAAAAAAGCCAGCAGCACAAATTACCCTTCTTGGCACAGAAAATTTAGAACACATTTCCCCTTCACATCTGCAAATACTGCAAAATGGAGAGGCCAAAATTCCTTCTTTTCGCACTCCAGCGGGTTAACTTCTATGTGACGTACGAAACTGTACCTCGCTAACCCCAACAGGAGTCGACTGTACACTTTTTTTATACGCCATGCGGGGGAGTCACATAATAAAATTCCCCCATTGGCGCACGGACTGAAGGGGGGGATCACTCAATGGGGGGAAACGTAAAACAGTACGTACTGCACAGGAGTGACTAAAAACGTCTTATCGTTCAAATTTGCAAAAAGTCGAGGAGAGACCAGAATGAAATAAAATGTCCCATAAAAACATTGGTTAAAAAGGTGCCATAAAAAGATCGAATAAAAATGTGCCATAAAAGACTCCCACATTTTTTCGCACTAATGTGGACAGTGACACACGTGCACTTGATGCTCAGATACGACACTCGCCCGTTGTTCTCTCTTAAATTTCATCTTATTGTAGCTCCCCTCCTACGGAAAAAGCCCCACTGTGGGTGAAAAAAAAACTGACACTACGTACACCATGCAAAAGGCGACACAAGGTATTACTTCATCTTCTGATTTTACCCATTTGAACATTTTCAAAATAAAGAGCGACAGTCGAAAGCGTTGCAGTTGTTTGATGCGTTATCAATTGTGCAAATGCCGCTCTGAGAAGAGGGCCAAGTGTCGAAATGAACACGGGGTTCACCCCTTGTGCGGAACATGCCGTATGTATACACCATCCTATGTGCAATGTTTTTATTTTTTCTCATCATACGTTTATACATGTCCCATGAAGGATCAATTACAAATTAAATACTCTTGCGTCGCGGCATATTCCGGCATCTTTATTCCAAATGCTTATTTTTAAAAAACGAAAAAATAACACAAATAAAAATGAAATGACAGGAAATGGTATGCTGTTTTTTCATGATTTTTTTCTTCGGACTTTTTACTACTTTTTTCCCTTTAGCGATAAATGTGCACTGCATTATGTACATAATATATACATGCATAAATATAGCCTCTATAATTTTGTACATTTTATAAATAAATTAAAACACTCCTGTGTTAGAACCTCTTATGCAATTTCGCGCATACACAAAGAGGAAAATAAAAAAAAAGTCAAAACAGAAGAGAAGTGCGTAGGGATGCTTATGGGAAGCCTATGTAAGAGCTTTAAAAAAGTTTCTAACAAAGCGTTCAAGAATCGTAAAAAGAGCACACGTGAGGAGCTCGAAAGTCGATTAAAGTAAGGGATATATAAAACTAGTTTAAATTTGATACACTCCGACGGAGAGGCGCGCAAGTGTACATGTATTTGCGAATAATTCAACATTGCTTTTTTTTTCTTTATACTTGGAGTGTACGCATTATATGTACATACCCTGATATATATTCATTAAGTGCATCCTTAGATCGAGGGGGGTATGCCCCATGTGCATTTTTCTTACATAGCGTTTCAAATGGAGGCATTAAAAAAGGATTCATTCATAAGAAGTGTTTATATAGATAAACGTATGCTCGCGCTTATGAGCACATACAAATAAATGCATATATATATATTTTTTTTTTTTTTGTGATCATGCATCACTCGTCATTCCTTCCTTTTCTTAACTATATACATACGTATGCATTCAACGTGCGCATTTTTTCAAACAAACCCTTTTTCGTTTTTTCCCCTCTGCGCAGCTGTTATTTCTGCTTAACTGCCATGGCGACGCAGTTAACATTATATATAGCAAGAAAACAAAACAACCCCCCCCTATCCTTTTAAAAAAAAAAAAACATTACATTTATACATACGCATTACGAGCAGCACTTGTACATCACAACCATTTTGCCAATAAATTTGAAAATAAAAATGTTCTATTTCACCATTTAGCCCAATTAATTACATACGATTATACATTCTCAAATATTATATACATATATAGTTATATATATATACTTATACATCCATACATATTTCAAAGTTTCCAAGTTTAAACGCATCAAAATTCATTTAGTTGTTTTGGTACATTTTTTACACCGTGTTTTCTTCCTTCTTACTTTTTCCACCGTTTATTTCTTTAACCCCTTCCCCATCCATATAGCCATTGTTATTGTATAGTTATTCTCAATCTCCAGTTAAGGAAATATATGTTGAATACGCCCATGCGTATGTACGACTTGTACACATATTATATATGTGAATTTAGTGCCTATTATTCTGGGCATTTGCGCCTACGTTTACGTACATTTGCGTGTATGCGATACGTACAAGCGTATATACTTGTTTGCGTGAACCCAACGGAAGCAAGCTGTTCCATTTGTGTGCCTTTAAATAATATATCAGGGTTATACGCGTTGCCTCTGAAGGGTTAAAAGCCGAACGTGCGGAGCAAACCAGCAGGGCACACTAGCAAAAACCAGTAAAGCAGCAATCCCCCAGGGGTACATACCAAAGGGAGGCGCAGAAGAATAAACCACTTCAAAAAGAGGAGGCGCCATCTAAGGAAACAAAAACAGAGTAAGTACTTACGCAAGGGCCAACGCGAAGCTGCAAAAAAATATTCAAAGAAATAAATCAAGCAAAGATAAAAACAGAGTTTAACGTATAGGTATTCTTTTGCGCAAAAAAAAAAAAAACTTCTCATTTTGTTAGCGGTAAATATGTACATATATTTACATAGATATATGTATATATATGTTAATACATATTAATACATGTTAATGCATATCACTACATATATTATCTATATATATGCCCAATTCGTACATTTAATTCCAAAGCTGGTGAATATAGGCAATTTTTTGCTTAAATATGCACTTGACGCAGATATTGGGAAAATAAAAGCAACATATGAGCCACCTTTCCCTGCGTAGTTTTTTCCCATAAAAAAAACATAAACCTGTTTGAGTACCTTCTTCGTTTTTCCATTTTTTCATTATCCCCATTTTACGCATTTTTCCATTTCTTTTGCCTTATTCACCTTTCTAGCATATTTTCATATTCTCCCATTCATTTGTTCTTTCCCCTTTCTTTCCATTTTTCCCCTTTTTTTTACAATTTTTTCCTTTTATTACAATTTTCTCCTTTTTTTTCCATCCCTCCAATTTTACTACATATTTCCCTATACTTTTTATGTACAGCTGACCCCCTCATACAAACACCCGCTGCGTTATACATACTTTGCGAGTATTTATTTTTATACCCATGCGTGAGTATCCCCAGGCCTTTGTTTTCATTGAAGGCCCTCTCTACAACATCCATGCGTACGCTTTTTATTTACCTTCTTTAAAGTTTCCTTGTGGCCCAGTTTATGCCAAAGTTCGTGTCAATTTTTTTCTCTTTTTAACGAGGTTTGTATTTTTTCTTTTTTTTTTCTTTTTACTTCATCTGTTTGCCGGCAACTAGACATATGCAAAAGGCCATACTTATGCATATATGTTTCTTTACATAGTATACATGTGCCCATGCGATCATCTACGCAAGCACTCATTCACACGCGCACGCTATATTGAACTAAGCGAGCAGTGAAAATTGCCCCCCTGTGACTGGCACAAGCAAGTAGAAGCAGATAGAAGCAATCGCTCCCTGGCCGTTCATCGCTGTGCGTCCCAGCGCGTCCAGGAACCATTCGCGAAGAAACACATTCGGAGCAGTCCACAAGAACCCCAGATGATATGATTTTAAGAAGACTACAAAAGCCCTTAGCATCCTGCCGATACATGTACATTTTTTCCCTAATTAACCTATTCAAATCAGCATCAAGTGCCCTGACAAAACCCACGTATGCGTACATTCACAACTGCAGTAATATCATATCACAGCTCCCCAAAAGAACAAATAAACTAATTTTAAGCAATTGTTCGAGCAAGGAAAATTATAATGCTTTTGTATGCAAATCTTATAAGAAATATAAAATGAATAAAAAATTCTCGAGTTCCATAAATATGAATAAGAGTAAAGAAAATGAAAATATTCTAAAAGATAATAATAACGTCACTGCATTTCATAAAAACACCAGTGACGTTAAGAATTTTGGGAACTTTAACCAAAGCAGCAGGAGTTCCGCCTTCGGCAAACGATACAGCTATGGCAGTAAGAGCAACAGTAAGGTATCTTCCGGCACTTATGTTGGTGGAGGCGTTTGTGTTAGTGGGGTAGGAGGTGATGGCGACGGCAGGGGAGGTGGAGGTAGTAGGTACACCAGTAGCCACACCTATTCGGGGAATCACTCAAGTCATCATCCAAACCAGATCAACAGAGAAACGGCGACCAAAAATGAAGATGCCACCTACTCCTTAAACGAAACGAAGTCAAACACAAATTCGAATTATATGAATTCGAGCATGAAGGAAAAGAAAGGAGGAGGGTACCCCATGAACAGTAATGATCCCAACATACCACCTGTCAACGAGAGCAGTAAAATCATTCAGCACAACACCAAAATGAGTAGTTTCAATAAGGATAATATGTTGCGCAAAGGCGTAAAGGACGAAGGTATGTACCGCCACAGTGGCTTAGGGCCCAACAGCAGTGGCAACAAAGTGATAGACAGCGTGGATAATGCCAGAAGCGGCATGACTAACAACAGTGGAAACGCAGCAGATGGAAATGCGGCGAGTGGAAATATAGCCGGTGGAAATGCATCGGGCGGTATTTATCAAGAGAATAATGAGTTGAAAAGCACGAGCTACAAAAATACAAAAGACAGCGCAAGCGGAAGCGGAAATAACAGGAACAACAGCATGAGCGAGAAAAAAACGAACATAGAAGGCATAAGCAGCACGAACTTAAAGGGCAACGAACGATTTATCCACCTGAACGAGAGCCGTGCCAGCAACACAAAGTACAATGCGAAGAATCCATTTATCTCAAATAAGAAAAATATTTCTACGTATAACACAAATTTGAGCAACGCGAACAGTAGCAACCTTAAGAGAGGTGGTGAAAATGTCTCTTATGCACAGAACAATTTCAAGAGAGAAACATCAGATAATATATTGAATAGTAATCTAAACATGGCAGAGCTAAATAAAAATGATGGGGTTGTCATTGATCCCAATATGAACAGCATTGACATGAGCAATAAACTGAGCGCAAGGGATTCTTACGGAAAAGGGGACGGTGCCAACAATGATGCAAACGTCGGCACGGATACCGGAAATAGCAACCGAACTGGCAATTCGCGGGGCGGCAATGGTCGAAGTGGTAACGGGCGCAGCGGCAACCGTCGGAGCTCTAAGAGTCATAGAGGGGGCCGCAGAAGACACAACAACTCGGGTTGGAATAATCCAGTCGCGGATAATGCAGATGTGAATAATGTAGGTGGAAACAACACAAGCGGGAATAACGTTGGTGTAAATAACCCTAGTGAAAGTACGCCCAACGGGAACAGCGGCACCGGTCGCAGCGGCAAGCGGGGAAGCAGACGAGGCGGCAACAGGAACAGGAGAAACAGCAACAGCAACTCGGGCGCGTTCAATTCCCTCAACATGATGAAAAACGGAGAAGAAAAAATGAATGAAATTTTTGACAATTCAATGCCAGGAAAAGATTACATGCAGCAAAATGCAAATAATTTAAGGGGCATGACAGAGAATCAGCCCGCGCATGGCAGCAGGAGCAGAAATAGCAAGATGGTGTCCTATGGCTCGAACACAGTCAAAGGAGGAGGCCACATGAGCAACGTCGGCATAAAGGGCGTGCAGAATATGCAGATCATGCAAAGTATGCAAAATATGCAAAACATGGCAAACATGCCAAGTATGCACAGCGAGAAGATACTCGAGAACGGAAACAGAAGTTCAAGAGAAAATGAAAAAGCCATCCCCGGTGCAATGATGAAGAACACCAGGAACATGTCCTACGACAACAAGGGGAACAGCTACATGAAGGACGCAAACCAGGCGAATGCAGACGAGGCGAAGAAGAGGGACCCTTACGCGAATTACTCCTCCAATAGCTTGAGAACGATGAGCCAAATGAATACCATGAACAGCGTCGGCAGCATGAGCGGCACAAATCAGATCAGCGGTGCAAACAACCCTATGGATGACCACTACAGCGGAAGCAAGCAAAGCTGCAATGTGAGCGCCTCCACGCCCTTCGAAAACATGGAGGCAGATGCATTTCTCTTTCACGACTTCAACGAATTCGTGACGTACATGTATAAGGATGAAAACATTTTAACCCTTTTCTATATACGAAAAAATTACCTCAAAGCAGAGTCGCGCGAAGAATTTGTAACCGAAAATGATAAAATAAAATATTCAATCATATGGTCCTTTCCTAGTGATGAAAAAATTACCGTTACGGGGACGCACAGCACAAAGAAGTTAAGCAAAAAGGTATGCGTGAAGAAAATTTTACAAAAGTTAAAAAACATCTCAGTCTTAGAGATAGACCAAATGACCAAATGGATGATTAACAGCTTAAATGTGGTTCTCAAGGTGCAGCATAAGAATATGGAAACCAAAATGAACAATAATAACATGTATTGCACCAGCATAGAATGGAAAATCAACAACAAAATGTATCACTCCATGGGGATACATGTGCATGAGAAAATTGCCGAAATCATCGCAACACAGAACCTGTACATGATTCTGTATGACATCAAGGATCAGTTGATTAAAGAAATGGAGAGTGGCAAAATGAGTAGCCAACAGGGCGCCGCAGGTGGCATGAATAGCGGCAAGGCGTACGAAAACAGCCTCTTCGACAAAATGATGAATAACAGCAATAACAGAGGCTACAACGATCATGTTGCCAATAAAATGGGAGGCACATACGAATACGGTAAAGGACAAATGATGCAGAATAAAAATATGATGGAGGTTGCGGCTCTTTACAAAAGTGGGAACCCCTCCAATAAAGATTTCAATGCACATGGCATGAATAATTGCAACACGTATTATAATCCAAATGATGGGATGCCGAAACCGCAGTGTGGTGACAATGCAATGATGCACTCCGTACAAGGCGGGGTTGTCATGAGCGGTGCTGTTGGTGGTGTGACCAATATGAACCCATGCGCCATAGGTGGAAACAATGTGGAGTTAGCAAACGCAGGCCAAATTGACGGAAACAACCTTAACATGAACCTTATGAACTACCCAAATGGAAACAACATGGGTATGCCCATTATGAACGACAAAAATATTGGACCAGGCGTAGGAGCACTCCACATGAATGGGTTGAATAACCCCGGAATCGTACCTCCAGCACCGGTCATAACGGACCCAACAGACCTTATCGCCTACAATTTAACGAAACAGGACTCTGGGAGCATCCAAATGCTAAGAAACAACATTGCCTCAAGGTACAAAGTGCACCAGACGGAAAACTTCGAGCAGGTGTATAATTTGTTCAAGTGTACACTCGAGTGGGAGTGGAAAAATGGAAAGATAGCCTGCAAAACGAAAAGTGTCGGTTATGGTACCACCAAGAATTTGGCCAAGTGCGAAGCAGCCTACGACATGTTAGTGAAAAATAACCTTATAGAGTACATATCATCCACCGATAGGAAGAACGCGCATTATATAAAAGATTTAATACAGAAGGATGTGAACAAAGCCATGAAGCTAGCCATTCAGTTTATCATGCAGTATAGCAGTAACGCGTGGTCGATTTTTCTAGTTTATCTTTTGAGGGAGTTGCTCATAGATGGCAATTACGACCACATCAATAGGCTTCTCACCACCGTAGTGGAAGTCAGTAAAGAGGGAAGAATCGAAGCCGATAAAATCAACGAGAGTAACAGTGCCAATGCTGGTGGGGGAAGTGGCACAAACACGGGCAGAATGGATGGCAGTAATTCGCACCGATCGACTAGAATGAATAACGGCGGTCAGAATCACGGCATGTACAGCAACAATGCAGATGGAGAAAACTACGTAGACAGCTCAAGCAGCCTATTCTTCTGCAACCCCTACATTAAGAACCGAAGTGACAATAGCAATTATGTGCATAAGCTAGTGTCCATAGATTTGTGGGAAAAATTAATCGACGAGTGTGTCGTTGTTTTAAATGACAAACTGTGCTTCCACTGCATAACCCTGTTGAAGGAAGTAGAGCTGGATTATTCCATATTTATTTCCAAGTGTGCCCATGATTATTACAAGAAGTATAGAATTATGTTAGCCCTAGAGTTGCAAGCCAATCTGTCACAGAGTATTCAGGAGAAAAGAGATTTCGAATATCTGCATGAAAATAAATCGTTACTGTTAAAGGTAAAAAGTGCAACTATGCCCATTCTGTCCTTCACCTGTACCTTAACATTGGAAGAAAAGGAATGGATGAAGTCTACACAAATGAGGGAAGACGACATTGTTTTACTAAAACCGTGTGACCTGATGCTCACGGATGAAGATGCCTGGTCCAGCAGCCTCATCGGTACCATTACAAGCACAAAGAGTGACAACACTGTTTACAACATCAACGTTAGGATATTCTCTGCTGAAAATACCAGAAAGGCAAATGTCAAGTATAGCAAGTATAAGCTCTTTCTACTATTGAACATTGTGACTCATGAAAGAATGCTGCAAGCCCTGAGGGGCATAACCTTTATAAGTTCCATTCCGACAACGAATCAATCGCCCTATGTTTTCACCCCAGAAATTCGCTTCCTCATACTGCACTCGTACAATAAGTATTCAAAGCACATTGCGCAGACGGGGAAATTGAACCACGAAATTGCAGAATATGAAAAGATCAAGATTGATTCCCTCAACCATGACTCGTCCAAAAATAATACCCAAGAAGATTTACTAACCCAGTACAGTGGGCAAGCAAAGAACCCCTATGGAGATTTACTGAACGATGCACTGAACAGACAAATTGGAAAAACACACACAGATGATATTGATCAGTATTTAGTCGAATCTATCAATTTGCCAACCAATTTGCCGCTAAACGATTCGCAAAAATTAGCATGCCTTAGTGCTCTGACCAGAAGGCTAACCCTTGTGCAAGGACCCCCCGGTACAGGAAAAACCCACGTTGCTTGCGCGATTATTGACAGCTGGCACAGGCAAAATAGTAACAAAAAGATACTGGCCGTGGCAGACTCCAACGTCGCAGCTAATAACCTCGTGGAAGGACTCAAAAAGAGGAATATCCAAGCTGTTAGAGTGGGAGCTGGAAGTGACAGCGATTTCCACGAAGAAGCCATTATGGACTTCCATCGATATAAGGATCTCCTAAAGTTGAGAAAAAACAATTTACAAAAAGAAGCCAAAGTTATGAAAGCCCTATTATTCCTTGAAGCGGTGAAAAAGTACAACGTCGTCATAGCCACCTGTGTCGGTTCAGGACATGAAATATTTGACAATGAAAAATTCGAAAGAGTCATTATTGATGAATGTGCACAGTCGATTGAGCCTTCGAATCTTATTCCGCTGGGGCACAATTGCAACAATTTGGTCTTAATCGGAGATCACAAGCAATTACCACCAACCATCATTTCTTCAGACGCTACCAAATTAGGGTTAGATCGATCCCTGCTGGAACGATTTGTCTTGGCCAAAATCGCTCCCGTTCATCTGCTAACCACTCAAAGACGTATGCATCTAAGTATTTGTACATTTCCAAACATCCATTTTTATGATAACAAATTGAAGACTGAAAATGTCACCGAGGAGAATCGACCAATTATTAAGGGATTCTTGTGGCCGAACCCGAAATGCAGATTAGCATTCATAGATGTCTCTCTCGGAAAGCCAGGAAGCAAGTTTGAAAATGCTTACGGTACTTCCAAGTTTAATTTGTACGAAATTGAGCCCCTAATATCTGTGCTAAAATCGATTGTAAATGAGGGTTGCGTATCCGTCGACGAAATAGGCATTTTAACAGCGTATGATGCGCAGAAAATCAAGTTGAAGAAAGCGGTCCAAGATGCGTTCCCCTATGAAGCAGCATGTCGAATAGAAATTGACTCCATCGATGGATTTCAAGGAAAGGAAAAAGATTTGATTTTATTTTCTGCGGTTAGATCAAATGCAAATAACGAATTAGGATTTTTAAAAGATGCCAGAAGATTGAATGTCATGTTGACAAGAGCTAAAAGAGGAGTGATCCTATTTGGAGATCAGTTCACCCTTGCTAATGATCCCGAAAACTGGTTACCCTGGCTCAACTGGATTTCATCCAAAAGGGCAGTCGTACACATCACCAAACTGAATGAGCACCTAGAAAATGCAGATTATTCCCTTATAGATAAACTGAACAAAATAAACAAGACTGTTAATTTGAAAAACGTAAGCATATCGGATAATTATTTCTTATACGGAAATGATACCGGATTTTCGAATGACTACAATGAGCCGCAGATCTATAATCAGAACGAAGAACCCAACTTCACCGTCGGTTTGAATGACACCAAGGAAGAAGTAGAGCCAGTCGAAGAGATTGTTGAAAACTGGGAAGATTTACTCTGAAAATGATCTCCTGAGTGAGGAAATAATTCAGTCGCTTTGCTTTGTATGCTTTTTTGCACTTTAAGATTCATGTGTGAATTGGTGCAAATGACAAAGTTGTTGCATAGCTTATATATAGAGTTACTCCCAGGGAGGGAAAAAATGTCCTTTCTTGTGGCTGTCCCGTTGGCCATTCTATTAGCCCATCCTGATGGCCGCCTGTCCGCAAGAGCGCGCACAAATTTGAACGTACCAAGTGCCATCGTGCAAAAGGGTTCAAGTGAAGAAGCTGCAAGATTAATTCTTCATATTTGTTTCCTTTTTTTTTTTTTCTTTTTTTTTAAACAAGTGCTAATGTGCGAGTGTGTGATAACACATCATGCACCGTTCATTCCACAATTTAAAGACGCCACTTTTAATGTGTACTGTTATGTTTCGTCTACGAAATTAAAAAAAAATAAGCTTTGTTCTTTTTTTTTGCCATCTTATATTACCTTTACCATTTTGCCATTTTTTTATTTTTCCCCCATTCTGTTACACTATTTTTATATGTAGATATATAATTAAATTCGCACGCAAGGGTTAAAATTTAGCCCCAATTCAGTTGCTGCATTGTGCTAGTACAGCCGTGCAGGCATTAAATGTGTACCTGCGATGCCTGCCCCCGTGCGCAAGTCGTAGTTTAGTGCAATAAAAAACGAACACGCGGCGAAAACGGGGGGTACACGGATTTATAGACATGTACAAATGAACATATTTGTATGCATATACATATGTGTGTGTGCATGCATGATCGCGGCGCATTCACAGAGGGGAATGCACAAGGAAAGGCCCACCTTACAGTTGTACTACTCTCGCATGAGACGTGCAGGGTGTAGCAATCTACATCCATTCTTTTTCCAACGGTACACTAATAGTTTAACGTTTATATATAGATAAGTTTTTTTTTCTTATTTTTTTCTTTTCTCCTCCCCAATGTTGTATTGTTCATACGCTATTCTTACAAACGTGCCGTTGCCCCTTTCCTGTTCCCCTCCTATGGCGCGCCATATGCCATGTCGGGCGATATGCAGCTCTGCATACGGAGCAGAATGCGGTGGTGTAAACCCTGCAAGTTGCCGAGGCGTATACCACGCAATGCAAGGGGCACTAAACCATCCAGTTTTATATAGCAATATTTTTTTTTCTTTTTTTTTTTCACCCTCTATTTTTTACGACGAACACTTAACTACCCCATTAAAGTTACAAATTAAGTTTTTTCCCTTCTATTTTGTACCAATAATCTGAGGATAAAAAAGACAAGAAAGTTTCGATATCTGTTCAACTGGGTGGTTAGGTTAGTAGTCTATGACACGGGTGAGGGAAGCGCCGAGCGAACGGCTAGCGCAGGCAAGCGCAAGTGTATATATGTACATATGTACAAATGGAAGCATGCAAAGTATGGACATTTGCGTTATTGGGCGCGCACACCCTCACACATCGCGGTTGTACTCGGAAAAGGCCGCAGCCGCTTCTAAAAAGAAAAAGATAAAGAAAAACGCAACCGAGTGTAGTGAAATATAACACAGTAAATTATGGTATGGGTATCACAAAATATAATTCCCTCTTCTGCGCGCTCTTTTCGAAAATGTGAATCCTAAAGGCAAAATGGAACATTCTTCATGCCCCAATTTGCCCGCCGCCAAGGAAGGCATTTTATTTTCCCCCTTTGAATAATTTCCCCAGGTGTTGAAAAGCGATTTTTTGTTTTTTTTTTTTTCTTTGCGTCACCTTTCCCAGCTGCTGTTTTTTTTTATTTCGCCTGTGTTTCTTCCTTACACCTTCTCACGCATAACTTTTTTAACGTAACTTTCGAAGGGGCACTTTTAAAGAGAGTCACGCTTTTACTCGTTGGACTGTGTGGAAATAATTGTGTATCCCCCGAATCAATTGAACAATTGAATGATTGTTCAAATGAACAGCTCACGAACTTAACAAAAAGAAAAAAAAAAAAAAGAAACAAAATTGTCCTAATTTGACAAAAAAAATAAGCAAACTGAAGGAGTATTTTCACCCACACACGCAGCACAATCGAACATTTTATCTGAAAGTCTATATGTACACACATTTATATGCGAAAAAGAGGGCACTTAATCCATGTTCTCCATTATGCCACGTAATTTCCCCCATGTATGAAATACTTTAAAATGGGTAAATATCGGGAGGATTAGACGATGCAGCTTCCTCTTAGTCACGCGCACGGGGGGTGCCACTTGTGCACATATACATGAATGTGTGCATATGTGACTCATACGAATGTATGCTCACTCTACTTACTCGCCGTTACCACCACGCTCTTCCTCCCGTATAGAAGATTTAGCCAAAAGTGGAATCTACAGCAAACAGTTCTCCCTCAGCCAAAACAAGCACAGCAGCGTAGGACACCAAAGCTCATTGGAACAGATCAACCTATGAATATATCTGCCAGTGGATTCATCATCAATGTCCCTTTGCACATGCATCCAGGCAAAGAGTCATGCAATACTTAATATAATATATTTCTTCACCCAACCCACCCCCGGTGTATTCCCACTCACAGGAAAGGTTGCAGAGACTTGAAAAGAGACTGAGCGGGCTACACTTCAGCATCGAATTGCAGAAAAATGAAAAGATTGACGTAATTTAAAAGAAAAAAAAAAAAAAAAAAAAAAAAATTCCAAAAAAAACCAAAAAAAAAAAAAAAAAAAAAGAAAAAAAAAAAAAAAAAAAAAAAAAAAACTAAATTCGCAATACATGATGTGTAGTAAAATAATATATGCGCTCTCCTAACGCTGTCATTTTCCTCTTTGACACACTTTTAAGAAACTAAACGAGAAGATCAATCTGCTGGAGGAGAAACTGGTAGAAATGAACGAAAACTCAAATAGGACCTTCGAAAAATTAAATGAAAAGGTAAGGACAGTCAGCATATTCCTGGAATGAAATCTATCACAACAGTATAGAACAACTGTCCTCATGTGCTCGTCAAACTGAAATAGTTATTTTTTTTTGTTCTTTCATTTCATTGGGCATTTATATAAACAGATGCTCCACTTTTCCACTCACTCCATGTGAATGTGCACTTGCAGCTGAACGACATCAGAGTGGACGTCAATAATTACAAGACTGATCTGGAAGAGTTCAAAAATGACCACAGGAAAAAATTAGAAATCCTCCAGAAGAAGTAAGTAACCGCGTCGTAGTGCAGATGAATTTACCGAGGGTGGACATAACCCCCCTACGCCTCTGCTAAGATTACAATTTTTGCAGGTCAATGCTTGCACGTGTTGACCCGTACGTCCATCATTGCTGCACATTTCCCCCAACAGGGCTGAAGAATTCATAGACAAAGAAAAGGAAGAATGGAACAAACTCAAAATAAAACTAATAAAAGACTTTCAAAATAAGACTAGCTTATTGAAGTACTACAGCACGTCCATGCTCATGCCCATGCGCGAGTAGATAAATATGCACTTATGTCTACATACGATTGCATGCTTTAAGCATATTCATCCCACTTGTCCTTTCCCCTTTAGGGAGGAAATGACTGAGGAGTATGGACTGTTGCAAGAAAAGGAAGAATCGCTCAGAAGATTTTACGACGTAAGGCCCTGCCACCTTTGTAAGCGCTCTCCTCACATGTGCATCATTCGTACGTCCATGTAAATCAACCCATGAATGCGCCATCCCCTTTAACACTAACTCACTCACCCACTAGAATGAAATTGCGAACCTCAAATCGGTTGTTCAAGATGAAATAAACGAGAGAATCAAAACAGAAAAGATTATGCTACGGGACGTCGATGATAAAGTGAACGAAATTATTAAAATAATTAAAAATGAGAAAATCACGAGGTAAATGTTGAGCGTCTTGCACAAATAGCAGAAGAGGGTGCATCAAAAAAAAAAAAATAAAAAGGGGGTGCACTCTTCTTTGCTTTCTTCCTGACGACTCATATGTAGTGGAAACGTGTACGAATGCATACGGACACAGATGTAAATGCGGATTAGGAGGAGGATGCACACTTTCTCATTTGCTTATTTGCTCATTCATGCCAACTCCCCCTTCTCCAGGGAAAACTACTCAGAAAACCTGGTGTCCCTCATGGAGCAGTACTTTTCGCGAATAAAAAAGGAAATTGACAATGTACGCAAATGCTAATAGGGAAGATGACCACGGGGGCACAACTGGACACCTATTTTCACTCGCCTGTGTGCAAAAAACAATTGCACGGCCTATCGCCAAACCGTCATTTATTCGTTTAATTTTTCTTCTTCAAAGGAACGGCTCGAACGGGAAGACACGGAAGAAACGCTGGTTCATTTGATGGAGGAGGCCCTCGATAAAATTGGAATTCCATTCGCATGAAGAAGTAGAAGGATGTCTACTCTCTCCCTACGCCCTTTTCTTTAATAAATTTTTGTACCACTACTAATTCAACTCTTGTTTGTAATTTTTTTGTTTGCTACTTTGTTGCGAGAAAGATTCGTTAGAAAAAAAAAAAAATCTCCAAATTTGTCCCTTCTCTTCATTTTTTAGCGCATCACCATCTGGCCACTAAGGCACACGTGAAAACAAATACACATGTGATGTGGCCTTTTTTTTTCTTCTTCTTCTTCTACACCTTTTATTGTCCCCATTTGTGTAACATAATAAAAACTTTAAAATCAATTTTGTTTTAAATAATTTGTGTGTTTGTTCTTCAAAAATGATAATAAAAACTACCAACTTAAAAAAAAAAAAAAACACTTCAATAAATTGAATTCTAAGTTACGCATAAAAAAAAATTATCGAGAAAAAAGGCTTGACAGGATAAAACTTAACAGATAAAACTAAGCAAAACCCTAATGTATTCGCACGGTGGACGTTGTAAAAACGGCGGGATGAGTCGTCATATTTTTCATCATCATCCTGATCATAAGTATACGTCTGCGACGCAGGTACACCTTCGCTTAAGCATCAACGCCATAGCGCGAGGGCATGTCCATGGGTCCACGTCGGAAGGAATATTTATCCTTTGGAAAAGCGGAGTAACGTTGAGGATCGATCTGGCACAGCCTCGAACAGTCTGACAAAGTTTGACAGAGCCTGACATAGTCTGACCTAGCCTGCCCTACTTACACGGGTCGGGCAAGGCGTCCAGCTTCGTACAGTTTAACAAAGTTCTGAAGCAGTTTTTCTCGCTGCACGCTTTGCAGTCATCATTGCATTGGTTCTTTGCGCACTGCTTGTTGCACGAAATAAAGGTACATCCGATGAAGGAGGAAAAGCAGCTCAGGCACGTCGGAGAAAAGTCAATGTTGTGCTTTTTCAAATATTTATTTACGCATATATCTATTAAATACGGTTTTGCCGATGACACCTTGGCGCAGTCAAAAAGTACTTTGTAGAAATCATTGGACGCAACGCCATTCGATTTGAAGACATGAATTATGTACTCCCTAAATTGGCTCGATTTTAAGCTTACATAATCTTCCAGATTTCCTGGCTTCTCACTTTGATAATTTTGACTTAGGAACTTCTCTCCATTTATTATCCTCTGCTCGATGTCACCTGTACATCCTTTATTATCACTTCTTTCCGCAAATATGCTCAAATCGTTATGGTAATTTTCACTTGGGGATTGGTAATTGTTTTTAATGTCGCTATATTCGAGGCAGAGTACATCGATTTTGCAGGTCGCGTTCAGAAGAACGCCAAAAAGGAGGCACTTAACTGTATAATTCATTTTTCACAAATAGAAATGGTAAGGTAACAGCGTAGCGTTCTCCTGCAAAGCCGCGATGTCGTTTTTTCTCGCACGAGAGTGGATGTTTATGTATTCAAAATTGTGGAGGTTTGCGGAAGTTTACAGAAAATCGAAAATTATTCAAAATTTTCTCCAAGTATTTTGTTGTATCAGTTTATCTATGCGCAGCTCACAAATGCGTACAAATGTTGCTTCTTCAAACGTAGAATTAAAACATGGTTAAACATGCGGAAAAGAAAAAACAAATAAAAAACATCCCTCTTAATTTTTGCATAAAACCGGAGGGTACCACAAATAGATGAATATTTCTTGGGTGCTTCAATATAAATCTTAGGCCTATTTTTTTCTTCTTTTATTTTGAACATACTTTTTTTTTTTTTTTTTTTTTCTGCATCTTAAAATACTAGTTTTGCTTTTTTACTTCGCATCCGAAACGTGTCGCCACTCCCGCCTTCTCGTTCGACCACCTGTCATGAAATGAGAAACTGGTTCGACTGGATATAAAATAAAACCCCTTAAACGCAGAGGGGTTGTAAACATATAATTTCATACGCACGCCGATGGGTCTATATATAAATAACTATAATATGCAATTATATTAATATATCCGTGGGGATGTAACTCTCTACTTCTGTTTGAGGCCCTGACCCCACGAGATGCCCGTTTTACCTGTGAACTTGGTGCGTAAATACAAACATTATCTTATTAGCATATACGTCGTGGCAGATGCTGTTTTGTGGACGAGTGAAGCCACGCATTTTTTTTTTATGCAAAGACCACGGAGCATATATATAATATATTATTATGTACACGTACACGATGCGCTGGGTAGGGGGATAACAATGAAAATAAAAGCCACGAGGAGAGGTGGACTTAAGAAAGCGACAACTATAGTTATGCCACTCAAAAGATGCTTGTTCTTTATTTCTCCATAAGTGGGCGAGCGGGATCTGCGGAAAAAAAAAAATAAATAAAATATAAAAGAGCGCTCCAAATAAACAAGCTTTAGCAGCTAAAAAAAAAGAAAAAATAGAATATATGCTCAATAACTTTTCTACATTAACCGAATCGAATGTCCCCCATTCTGCTTACCTCACGATGCACAAAATCATTTATACGACCCCGCCCGTACCTCCCGAATAAACCCATATGCTGACTGCAACTTTTGAAAAAATTCGCCCATTGCACCGCGGTGACATAGGCAGGATGTATACACGCAAGAAGCCAATTCATTCCTCTAATTGGGGTGTCACACATAGCATGCTATAAAATCTGTTCATATAAAAAAACGTTGCGTGCATATTTGTTTCTCCTATCAACGTCCGCTGCGTATACCTCTACATCGCCCTTGGGGAAATGAAAACATTGAAGGCACAATAATATGCGCCGTGTAACCCCTATTCCAACTTTTAGTAAAATTATTCACTATTCAAATATGTGAATTTTCACCGAGAATAGAAAGCGTGCGACCTGTTCTTTCAGCGGGTGGCCCGCTTTACGTAGTAGAACAAATCATACTTTGCTAAAAATGGAAAGATGTTTTTTCTCAGAGTTGCATAAAAAATTGTCGATCAGCACACAGGTGCAAAACGAAATTGGGATTAGTGCGTCAGACTTCATTTAAAAAATCGAATGATAAAATTTTTTAAGCCCACATGAAGACCCCAAATGGGTGCTTTTTTAAAAGGGGGAAATTTTATGAATAATTTGCACATTTTTAAGATAAAAAAATGAAAAGAAATAAAATGAGATGAAGCGAAGTGGGTATCATATTCTTTCACATTGACTAAGATCGTGATAGCGGCGCATACAAATCACGACGGAGATTGTCCCACTATTGAAACACCCTCACTCTATTTCCAAATTTCTCCCCCTATGTTATGCCTGCAGGAAAAAAAATAAGGGGGGGGGGGAACTCTTCCCCGTAAGAGCGCAAAAATAACAGGGCCTTAGCAAACCACGTGTTGGAAATTTTCTTCGCCTGTTTATATATCGTTGCCGAACTTATTTGGTCACTTAAGCAATCTAATGGGAGAAAAGAAAAATATGATAATACCTTGTTCCATTCATTGGGCACAAAAAATTGCCCCCCAACGACCACCTCTCGTGTACTTATAACTGTTATACTTGCTTATAAAGAAAAAAAAAAAAGCTAAAATGAAAGTAAATTTTTACATAATAAAATTTCCAAAGAGGGTAATAATTTCCATACATATTTAGAAGAAATCGTGACGGTGAGGCAATCCCATAAGACTACTCATTTCATTCCCAATAACGATTCGAAACGTTCGTAGTATATCCTGCTCCCTATTATAACTAATTTACACTTATCATAATCAGTTTTAATTAAAAAATCGTTTGCCTTTATCGTAGTATATGTGGTTTAAACGCGAGAAGGAAATGCGCGTGCTCATCAAAGAGTCTTATGCCAATTTGAATGAAATAAAGCTTGACCCCCTTGCCCATGTCGCCCTTCTGTAGGGCCTTTCACAATAGCCCGCCATTTCATTTTTTCTTTCTACGCGTCTGGTGCGAATAATTTAGACAAAAAAGTGCAAATGAAAAAAAAAAAAATCCTTGTAGCTTGAATATATATACCCTTTTGCGAAATATATGTACTTCTTAACCCCTTCAATTTTGTTTTCACTTGTTTTTTTTTTTTTTTTTTTCTGAGGCTAAAGTGTGCAATGTGGGAAGGCTGTCTTTGACAAATGAAATTAGCAAAAATGGAGAGCACATAGATGCAAATATGCACAATGCCGCTATGTTTAGACTTGTAACAGATGTTCCTATGTTTTTTCCCTTAAATTAAAATTAAAAACATCAGATTTGTAGTCCGTTCGGTGAGGCTTATCTTACGTCCCCAAAGGAGGACAAACAATGTGCAAGGAAAAAGAACTTCGCATCCTTGGGGGATGTATCTAACTGGGTACCCCAGTACAGTATAGCAGTCTATGTGTATTAAGACACATGTGTACTTTCTGCGCCTTGTCATAGTTATATATATACACACCCAAGCTGATAACCCCCGTACCCCCCTGCGGGAGGCAATGCGCACGTGAAGTGATACACGTATGCCCTCAGTTATTCCACTCCAGAAGGACAGCAATTAATTGGAATGAGTACATATTCAAGAGAAGCACACAGATATACACACACACGTACACACGTGTACATGAGCCTCCAAATGTGTGCATACTACACTGCCCAATTCTGCAAATCCGCATTACCTATTTTTTCTGAATAAGAGAAAAACAAAAATGTTGAAGAAAAAAAAGGACACAAATGTGAAGGAAAAGTTAAAAACAACGACGAACGGAATGAGTTACAGAAATTGGGAAGAAAATCCCAAAGCGGAAGTGCTAGATAAAGAGGAAGATTTCAAACACCTAGAAGAAAAGGAACATGAAATAGAAAAAATATCGAGAAGAATTTTCGAAGAAAATAGTAAAATAAAAAAAATCAATTTACATCATAAAATAATTAAGGAAGAATTTGAAAAGAAAAAATTAATCGATCAGGGTGAAAAAAAAAAAAAAAACACTCCTGATTATTACAAAAAAATTACAACAAAGTTACAGAACAACATAAATAATGTTGAGGAGTATATTAACAACATTACAAATGATATAAACATTTTAAAAAGCTGCATAGATGACGAAAGAAATGAGAGAATTATCTACAACAACAATATGAAAATTCTTGTTAATGAGTATAATACGTTAAAAAAGAACATCAGTAACTTAGCCTCACAGGAAAAGGAACAAAACGCGCAGAATGAAAAGCTAAAAGTGGAGCTGAATGAACTCGTTAAAGAAAAAGACACCCTGGAGAAAAAACACAGGGAAGATTTCAAAATGCTGCAGCAAAAATTGAAGGAGCAAAAAATACTATCGTCTGAACAGAAAATACACGAGCTAATCAAGATGAAGTACAATTGCAAGGAAAGGAAAAATAATAAAGCGGCGGAGGGATCCGAGGATGAGTTGGCGAGAAGAAACGAAAGACACACCACCTCCTCGGCCACCAGCAACGATAAAAACAGTAGGAACCTCTCTGGGGATGGAAATCTCGCAAATGACAACTACTACCTCCTGGAAGAAGCAGACTACGAAGATGAAAAGAAAAAAAAACTAAACGCAAAAATAATTCTCCTAAAGAAACTATGCCTGAGAATCCTATTCATTAACGAATATCAAAAGCAAAATATTAAAAAGTTGGAAGAAAACATCGAAAATATGAACAAGGCAATCAATTCTATAAGCATCTTGACATCCAAAAAAGGAGACTTTGATCACATCATTATAAACTTAAATGCGTCCAAGGAAAAAAACTACAGCCTTATTTCGAGAATTAACCTACTAAATTACGAAACAAACGTTTTAACCAAGTTGAATAAAAAAATGAAGGAGAAATTTAAAAATATCAACCTCCAAAATGACGAAATGGTTAACTTAAAGAAAGAAATTACAAACAAAATGAACGACAAAATGACTCATATTAAGACATCCCTACTGAATAATCAAGAAACCTGTAAGTTAAAAAAAAAATGCTTCCACGATTGTGTCATGTACTTGAAATGCCTATACGATTTTATCAAACAGTTTGAAAATATGAACAACAAATTAAATCTAAGGACACAAATTATAAATAAAGAAAAGAACTTCCATTTTAATTACATCCACAAGTACAATGAAGAAATTCTCGTCGATGAAAATCACCTAAATGACTTTTTAATATTTATTGAAAAATATATTTACGCTCTTAATTTTTACCTTCCTTCTCCTACATTCAATTACAAAAACTTTATCATTCAAAACCCCAATTTTAGCGTTCTCGGTTCTGCGTTATCGCCGCATTCTATAGATTCCGCCTCGAACGAGAACGCTCCGTTTAGCGCACTCAACTGTGTCACCTCCGAAAATGAATTCGGCGCGTCTCAAGGGGTTTCTCCACAGGAAGACGAAAAATTGATGAATGAGCCCATAAGTAAGGGCCCGGTAAATGTTGACCCCCCCACTGGTGGGGACCCTTTGAAAGGGGATGAGTCCCTGAATGACACCAGCCAGGGAGTCGATCAGCTCGCGAACATGCCCACAGAAGCGGACCAAGCGGAGGCGCAGCATACAGAGGGACACAGCCAGAATATTACACCCAATGAAGTGGGACACGATCCAAGTGGAGTACACCAAAAGGAGGAAGAACACCAAGACGTACTTAAAGAAGAGAACGAACGAAGCGACAACCAAATCGTCCAGGATGCTGCGGCGAATAACCAGAGCAGCAACGCCATTGCAGAAGTAGAAAAAGAAGAACATAAGTTACAAGCTTGGCACGAGAAGGAAAAAGAGGGAGGAGAAGAGGAAGAAACAAATGCCATAGAGGGAGAAGAACCAAAGGGGAGGGAACCTCAAAACGAAACAAAAGGAAGTGATAACTCGGAAGGTCCAAATGGACAACATGGTAATGATTTACCAAATGGGGCAAATGAAGGTGACGCGTCAAAAGTGGCACCGAAGGAGGGAACTTCACCTGGAGCGCAAATGGCGGATGAGAGTATGCCTAACGAAGAAGAAATGAAAGTACCATATGAGGAAGAAGTGAAAGTGTCTGGTGTGGAAGAGGTGCACGTGCCTGGTGAGGAAAAGGAGAAAGTACGAGATGAGGACGAGGAGAAACGGCCTGGTGAGGAGGAGGTGAAGGTACCAGATAAGGACGAGGCAATCGTGCCAGGTGAAGAGCAAAGCAACGCGCCGAAAGGTGAGCAAGAATGTTCACCAAATGAGGAGGAACTGAACACATCGGGGGAAGAACCCATAAACGAACCGACAGATACGCAGAAAACTTCGCCGAACGAGGAACCGTTGAACGCGCCAAGCGAAGCGCAGACAACCCCCGCGGACGCAGATCTAGAGGGAGAAAACAAAAACTACAATTTAAATCATTTTAATTCGCGCAGCATCGAATACGATAAGCTAAAAGAAGAAATCCCCACCGAATTGTTAATGAAAAAATATGACTCTAAGAAAAGCTCAACGGCTGCAAATTAGGTGTGGAACACGACACACCAAGTTGCCTGCCTACAGCTCCTAGAACAAAAAAAGGGTGCACGCCCCTCCTTCTCCTTTCAAGTGTTACAGCGACGTATATTATGTGCAGTAATATGTACATCGTTTTTTTCACTCTTGTTTTGAAATTTTTAAAAAACGAAAAAGGAAAAAACAAAAAAACTTTTAAAAAAACATTTTCATCATGTTCCTTGTTCCGATAAAACCTTTTAACCTTTTCAAGGCAAATAAAAGAATAGGCAAAACGCTATTATTCTGGTCAGTGACGTGGGGCGGGGAATACCCGTACCTAATTAAACAGGCAGCTTATCTCTTCAGGATTCTTGCAGCTATCCAAAGGGGAAGCAAGAGTATAACACATATATTGTGCTAAACGTGTGCCTCTTACGTTTACGCTGCGGCCAATGTGAAAATAAAGCTGGCCTCCTCCATTGTACACTTACCGCTTTCCCGCATTCGTTTCATTATAACACTGTTAAAAAAGAAAATGGAAGCGCTCGTGGGACTATACCTGCCCGTCCCTTACGTATAGGAGCACGTCTCTCAAAGGGACGTTCCCTTAAGTGATGTCTCCCCTATGCGCAAAAAAAAAAAAAATAAAAAAAATAAGCCTATTTGAGAATGTCTTTCTCTTTTTTTTTTCTTTACCAATTAAATTGTAAAGAATTTCACATAGGGTTTGCAAAAAAAAAAAGAAAAAGAAAAAAGAAAAATAACGCAGCTGCACTTCAAACAGGTGTAATATCAGATGGGGGGATTTCATAAGGGAGTGGTACATGCACCCCTTAAGACGGCACTTCTTGCTGATAAACACGACCTATTTAACTCTTAATAAAGCACACGCACAATTTATAGGTGTGGAACTGCATTTTTTCCCCCGTATGATCACCCGTTCAAAGGACCTGATTTAGCAAAGACTCAAGGGGGTTCCTCTTAGTCATTCTCAACAACTCATATATATACAAATACACCTTTGCTCTGCTGGTGCCTTCCAAAAAATGATAAACCGTAATTAGCTTATTTAGGAAGATATAACCAAAGTGCTTATTTTCATTGTAGCATTTTTTACGTATCATGTGCAAAACCAGCTGGATTATTTTTCGGTAGTACGCATAGTTTGATCTACTGGGGGATTTTCCGTAAGTCCTTTTCAGCAGCGTCTTGTGTATATCTATGTAGTAACTTTCTATGGCCCTTCTTCCCTTTCGATATCGCTTATTTTCCCAATGGTTCTTCTCCATAGCGGGTTTTCTGAAGTCAAACAAACTAAAGTAGCTATGGAGGACGACAACATTTTCGAGAAAAACCATCACCTCGTTGATCACAAAACTTAGGTCTTCATTTAAAAGGGACTCCTCTACTTCCACCTTGGTCGAAATGGAATTCTGCGCGAACTCCCCGTTTGGAACTCCCCGGTCGAACAAACTTGTGCAAATGCTAAATAGATTATTGAACATAAGAAATATGTACTTTACAAAGGTTATACATGTCTTCAAATTAGCTTCTTTCATTTCTCTAATGTTCGTTGTATAATCTCCAGTTAAGTTTCTCCCTCTCTGCTTAGCATGCTCCTTTTTCTCCCCTTGATTCTTTACATTAATGAAGAGATTAAAATATTCCATATGAAACAGGTTTATAAAAATGTAATACAAACTCCGATTCAAATTTTTTATAATTTTTATCAAGTCTGAGAAGATATTTAAATTGGATGTTTTCAATTTGCTTTCTTCCTTCCTTATAATGAAAGTGCTTCTAACTTTAAGAGAAATGTACTTGTGGAAATTGCTGTACCAGAAATTCCACAACTCGAATGTGTTACCTTTACTTGGTTCCCCTTTTTGGTTGATCACTTTTTGTGCGTTATTTAGTATAAACCTTCTTATCTTTTTTTTTTCCTTTTTCAGAAGCGCATTTGTAAATATATGGGTGTAATCCACACTGGGGTAGAACAAATTCGAAACGATGTTACTTACAAAAAGGGAGAGGTAAAAGAATATTTCAGAAGTCTTTTCGTAGCTCTCTTTAAAAATATAGCCCATTATGTAGCGATTTTTGGTTATTTTTTCTATGTGCGTTTGGTTGGAAAGCACAATGGTAAGGGGTTCTTCCTTCTCCTTGCTACTTCCGTTATGATTTTGTTGTGCTCTCATTTTCCCTGTCTGCTTTTTTGGCTCTTCAGTTATCGATCCTCTTTCTTCTGACTCACTTTTCTGTATTCCCTTCTTCACGAATGATTCCCTTTCGTTGGAAGTATAACAGGGACCCCATCTTCCGAAAGAGGCCAATTCTTCCTCGCCTTTGCCTCCTGAGCAATCCGCTTCCACGTTTACGCTGCTGACGTAGAGCTTCTCATTTTGGCAATCTCTGTCGTAAAAATTTATCACCGGCATCGTAAAGGAGGTGGGGTAATAAAACGCTATTTCGTCTTGGAACAACTTCTGATGCATCATTCGATCTAACCATAGCAGGATGTTATACCTGGTTATCAGTTTCAGCACGAGGTTGTTTTTGATGTAGTAGGCCACGTCGCAGTTGTTCTGGTCCATGCCGCCGGCCGCGTTCGCCCCATGTGCTGCGTTCTCTTGTGCGCGGCTTCCACCATAGTATACGTGGCCACTACCGTCTTGATGCTCATCGGCGTCGTCATCACTACCTCCGTTGCGCCTCCTCTCCTTCGCGTCTCCACCCCCCACGCAGTCAAATTCCATATCCTGGAGGAGCAACACGCCACTACACATGACTAGCAGAATTAAAAACTTCTTCAACAAATTGTAGTTCAGATAATTACTAAAAAACATGGTCAGGTAAATCTCGAAAATGTTATTTTTATTTAATATGTTCATAATCGTCCTTATTGCATTTTTATGATTCCCCTGAATGTAGTGCAGTTTATCCACAGTCTCCTCTTCCTCCTCTTTGTTGGTAACTGTGTTTCTCTGCTCATTCCCTTCTTCCACATCATTATCTTCATTGTGAAAATCGTAAATCATTCTGTGGCTGACGTTGGACGTTGCGAAGAAGCTCCTATCGATGGTGTTACTTTTCCGTTGTGCGTGTGTTGCACTACCATTGTACGGCCTGTCATCCATATAGTCACCATTCTGATCATACAGGGTGTTGTAATCTGCATTTCGGGTGGAATAGCCCCAATCATCATGTTGCTGCAAAGTGGATCTTCCATGTGGTCTGTGAGATCCGTTTGATCCGTTATATTCTTGGCCACTCCCCCGTTGGTTGTTCGCATATTCTGTATCATAGTTTTGGGCGCCTTCACCCCCGACCTCCCGGCCGCTCCCCCTGAAGTCATACCTCGTGGAGAAAAGAGCCTGTGTCGAAATCATCAAAAAATTGATGACATTTAGCGACGTAAAATTCGTCTTCCTAAATTGGTTATTCAGATACGCGTGGAAAAAATGAACCGAAAAGGTTTTGTTCCTAATCAGATTCTTCAGAGTGTCCCTGAAGCCCTTTTTCTTGTAAATTTCGTTTATTAAAAAAAAGGAGTAGGTCGACACACAAGGGTTTATGTAGTACGAATTGGGGTCTACTGAATATTTTAATTTTTTCATAAAGAAGAACAAATAAAATAGTTCTTTGAAGGGAATTACCAGCATCCGTTGCTTCTTTTTTCGACCCCCACTGTTGTGCATACTCCTGCCACTATTGTGGTACCTTTGCGAAAGGCTATTTTTCCATATCACGCCGTGACCTGCTTCCAGCTCCCCAGTCGCTTCTCCAGATCTCCTAAACGAATTTAATCGCTTCCTAATTTTATAGAGGACAAACGAATTCTCAATCAACTGGTAAAATATGGACAACCCCTTTATGCTAATCATTCTCACTATGACGTCGTTACTACTCAAACAGAATATTAAAATTTTCAATGCATTCATGGAGAATATTTTTATCCACTTCCCAAAGAAGTCAATATCGTTAAGAAGGTATCTCTTTAGCAATTTTTTGTAATTCTTTTTAAAATGAATTTCTTTCATTTTTCTTCCGTACAGTAGATCGCTACTGTCGACTATACAGTCCGTGTTGATGCTGCTTCTGGGGTGATTCTTCTTCATTTTCCCCAGTTTCCCGTTTGCGGAAGTTTTCTCCTTCTTCGTGGCACTCGTTGATGTGTAGTTTCCCTCGACTCCGTTTTGGTAATTTTCATGGTGACCGTTCTCATTGGAGGAGTTTTCCGGGTCAGCATTCACGTCATCGGCACTCTCATTGCCAACAGCATTCTGTTTCCTATCCCTATCTCCCTTGTCGCTCCCCCCATTTTCAAACCCATCCTCTGAAACGTCCCCATGAACTTCTTCCTGGGGCTCCTGCCTAAATGTGGTGCAATTCTTATACGCGTTACCTTCATACGGGCTACTCATAAAAATGCTCGTTCGAATGGTCTTTCCATAGTAAATCATATTTTTGATATTCGTCTTTTCCTCCTTGTCCATTAGATCTAAAATTCTTGTGGATCTGTTCACGCTGTGAATTTCTTTAAATTTGATACAGAACTTGCAGTTGCTATTATTTTTCTCGTTTTTCTTCAAATGGTAAAAGTGTTCCTTTTCTTCGTCGTACGAGATAAGTTTGTTGGAACTTCCAAAGGGGAAGTCTCTTTTTGTGTGTTCGTTCGTCCGGTGCATACCTCCGTTATAACTGTTGTGTGGATCCGTTTCGCCATTGTTGCCATGATATGTGCCGGAGAAATCCCCCAGAGTATCGCCAACCAGACTGCCCCCGCCGTGTGCCCCTCCTCTGTCCTCATCCTCGTTGTTGTCATAGTCTATATAGAAATGAATATCTGGGTACTTCCTTATGTAGTTCTTTATCTTCCTATTAATCTCCTGCATATTTAGCAAGTCAAAATTTAAAAACACATTCTCATGGCGGTACGACGTGTACAAAATTCTAAAGTGATAAAAAAAAATTCTCAACTTTTCCGCCATCAACACAAAGCAAAAAATCAACTTGCTAACTATTAAGCACAGCAAAAAGAGGTAATCATAAATATTATCTTCCAACTTTATTCTATGTGCTAAAAAGAAGGCTTCCCTTTTCATATATTCATTTTGGCTCATTATGCAATGAGGGAGTTTCGTCCTGTAAAGCTTCAGCAGGAGTTCTCCTTTTTTCATCTCCCAGTCTGTGTGGTAGTAATCACTCTGGAGTCTTTTTTGCCTTCTTAGCTGCTCATCATCCGATTGGACACCACTGGGATCATTTGCACCACCGTTGCGGAACGCTTCGTGGTTAAGTTCCTCCCCGGATCGGTAAATTTCCCTTTCGCAACATTCGCTGTGCCCTGATCTGTTCATATTCAGATAAAACAAAAAGTGGTTCTCCTCACTTTCCAACTTCCTGCGCACATTTTCATTCATATAAAAGTAAAGGCACGTCTTATTCAGCATGCTCGTGTTCATATTCAGCCAATCGTGGTTACCATCATTATTTAAATTAAATTCTTTAAATTTCAACACTTCATCGATTAGCTTATTGTCCAGAATGCTCTCCATCGTGACCGACTTCAAATAATGCGAAATGTCAACGAAGAAAATGCTTCTTATGTGGACATCCACACTTTCGAGGGTATATCTGTATGCTTTCTTCAGTCCGTTGAATAGATCCCTGTTTAGCGTTTTCAAACATATGGCTTGCGTTTGGGATTCCTTCTCTCTGCGCTGGTCATACCATTCTTCGTAGAATATTTTTACCAGTTTTAGGATGAACAGGAGGGCGTTCTTTCTTCCGCCATGGCATCCATGACTGCGCTCATCATTCCGCTCACCACTGCGCTTATCACCGTGCTCATCATCACATTTATCATTGCTTCCCCCATGGGTGGTTTTCCCAACCCCTCGTTTGCCCCTAAAGGCTTCCAACTGCTGCACAATCAGCCTCCCTACATGGGCATCTCTGAAAAAGGCCTCGACCAACATTAGCACGCCCTCGTTTCTTAACTTCACATATTTGAGAAGCAAAAAGAAGGCGTAAAAAATGGCATACACTTTTTTGCCCTTTTTCAGCTCACCCACATCGTTCTCACTAGAAATGTACATGTAGTCCTTCATTGCATTTTCATAGTAAAAATGATTCTTCTTCCCTCTTCCACAGAACGCTAAGTCAGTTAGAAGATCGCAAAGATGGCCATCTACCATCCTTTCCAGCTTAAATTTCCCCACATTCTGGTTTAGCATTTGCAAAAGTAGAACTAGCAAAATGCAATAATCGTTTCTTCTTCTTAACGTGTCTTTTGTGAAACTCTCGTTATGTATCGTGTCGCCACTATTTCCTCCATGGTTAACGACGTCGTTATTACCACGTTGGGTGGGGTGACTGCTTTTTTCCAGAGAATTGAGTACCCTCCAATCTTCGCGACCAGCTGCGGGATTTCTAACGAATCCGTTTTGGTTCTCTCCAGGGGCAGTGCCGCCACTATTTCTACGCCCAGCTTCATCTTCTCTTCCGCCCCTTTTCAAGCTTTTAAAAACCCCTTTGAAGACAAAAAACGTGACTCTTTCGTAGCACCTCATCATACACTCACCCTTTGGAATGTCATTTTTGTAAAAGTAGCCATAAAAGTAGAAGAATGCGACTTCGCATATTCTCCTCACGACGTCTTTTCCGTACTCTCGAAGCAGTTGTCGCATTCGTTCTTTTCTACTTAGCAGGTTTCCCAAAAAGTACAAAAGCGATAAAGCTATAAATAGGCAATTTTTATTTTTCACCTTCTTCGTGCTTAACAACAGAAAGCTAATTCTGTTTCGCTTTCTATAAACAGATCTGTATGCGTGTGCGAATTTTTTCAAATAAGTTTCGGCTAGCATGGCTGAGAAATTTTTTCGAGGCAGCTTAAATACTTCTTCGTGCGTTACGCTCTCTAGACGGTGCATATCAATTTGATCGAACAGCGGAGGGGTATACCTATTTTCCATCAAGTAAAGAAAAATCATAAAAATGTGATTCTCCTTGGTGCTGTTACAGGCTGCTTCCTCTGGGAGGGCCTTCAAATCGAAAAGGGCCACGTACTTCTGGAGGACATGCGCTTCTACTTCTCTCTCGACATCCCCGCGCCGTTGCAAATGTGTTCGCTCGTTTTTGATGCCCCGAAAAAAGCAATGTTGGGCGGTGCTTCTATCGGAGGTGCCATTTCCCCCCCCCCTGATGCCGTGGCGAATAATTCTTTCCACAATGGTGCAACTCAACGGGCAACCGCTATCGCCGTACCATTTCTTAACGTACAACTTGCACAGCTCATTTAGGATGTCGCTCGTTTCGCCTTCCAAACGTTCGTCTTGCGTAATGGTGTCAATTAGTAGAGGCACCGCGGTGGCGCCTCTTCGGTGCATACGTTTCATGCCATTTTTTAGTCCAACCTTCAAACCGTTTCTCTCCTTTTCGATACGCATAAGGTTGGCGAAAAAGAGAGCGATATGTTTCAAAAGAAAGGATCTGCAGTTAGCCATGACTTCCTCTCCCCCATTTGGATCATTTTCAGTTTGGTTACTGTGACCCTTAGAGGAAGTGTTTCCCACTATTAACTTCTTCATAAAACATTCCTTCTCGTCTAACATCTGCAGCAAGGACAGAATCATGAGGGATAATTTCCCCTTAATTTGTTCGTCCCGCTTGTGTGTGTCCTGTTCCGCAATGATATGGATCAAACGAACAAGGCTCTCTCCCACCGACTTCTTATACCTCTCCCTTTTTAAATTAAACAGTAGGATGCTCTTATGCACGTAACAAAGGATAAGATGCGCGAAGTGGTAAACAGCGACACGATTCGTTTCAAGTCCCTTCTTCAAATGATCCAATAACTTTACAAATAATCCATTTTTAAAAATATGAACAAATAAAGAACACATGGATCTACTTAAATTACGCACCCCTTGAAAGAAATTATTTGTGTCATATTTTGGATCCCCCTGTTCTTTTCTACTTCCACAACTAGCGATTACATTCTGAACATCTTCGTACCTTCTTGTGTGTTCTACAAATGCATGAATCTTTGTATTTACACTGGCACTCATGGCAAGGAACGCATCCACCGTTTTGCTGATTTTGTCAATCAAATGTAGCAGCGTGTTTGAGTGAACATTACCGTCCCCATTTAAGTACACATAAGTGGTGAAAAAATAATTAACTATGAGAGTGCTAACATTGCACAGGTTGTAAAGTAGCAGTTCAGCTTCTTCACATTTTTTCTTCGTCCCCTCCAGGTGATCTACGCTGGTGTAATAAAACGTAACGTTATTATGTTGCAAATAAATCTCCAACAGGGTTTCACCCTTCTTTGGAATGACCTTATCAATCTCAGGATTACCACTTTTTTGCACAAAAAAGAAGGAACCACTTTGATTATTACTTGCCTCGTCAGTGGCACCCTTTTTCTGTACCTCACTGCAGAGGTGTCTTATTTCTTCCTGGTACTCGCCTGAAATTTTCTGCCCCAGCTGAACCTTCTCAACTTGCCATAAGAAGCCATCTATGCTTTGTAAAAATGTTGCAAAACTGACAAAGGCAGCCTTCTGCTTGTTCGATTCGTTCTCATATGCTACTTTCTCTTTGGACTCTTCCACCATGTTGGTTACACCCGATTGTGGCTTCTCACTTGATGGATTAAACGCGGTAGCGTTGCTGGGTGTACTTGCCCCCCCTTCGCTATCACAGAGGTTGTCCTCAGTTTGTAAAAAGTCCTTCTTCCTGGTAAACGCACAAAACAGTTCGCCTAAACTTATCTGGTTCTTTAACCTTTCTCTCAGGCTAGGATAAACATAGGGGTTCAACAACAAAACATATTTTACATAATCCAGGTAGTTTACATACACCTGTACGATGTCCTCGAGGGTGTAATCGAACACATCGCCGGCTCCTCCTTTACTTTGCTTCTCCTCCTTGATGACCTTCATAATTGGTATTCCTTTCAGCGCGAAATTCAGGTTGCTCGTGAAGAACAGCTCTACTAGGAGGCTGAAAAAGGGGGAGGATTCGCTCCTAAGCGGGTTCTCCTTTCGGAATTCGTTTGTACTTTTCCCCGCGGCTTTCATGGAAACTTCCCAGACAGCTTCATTAGGTGCGCCGCTATCAAGGTGCACCGCCCTACTTCTATGCAAGTTAAAGAGGCGACAAAAAACGGACAGCGCAATGACGAACTGGCGCAAGCTACGAATGGCCCTCAAAAAATTCAAAAACAAAAGCACATCATCCACATGAGAGGAGTCGAAAAATTTCGTCTTCCTCAGCATTTTGTGTATAAGGGTCTCCACGAAGGAGTAAAACGCCTGCTGCACATCTGACGCGTATTCCTCCTGTGGTGAAAGCACATTCTTCTTGTAGTAGGTCAAAATGGAAAACAAATTATCCAACAAATGGTAACTTTCGAGGGGGAAATAACACTTCTCAAAAAACAACTTGAGGAATATCTTGTACACATTCTCGTTAACATTTGCAAACAATTCAAAGTTTCTTACTTCTATAATTCTCTTCTGACTGTACAGCTCATTTAATAATTTTTTCTTCAACTCGTAATCGTCGAAGAGGTTGATAAAATTCGTCACTAGCACAAAATGGTACACGTACAAATTGTCCGTATTTATGTGGACGTCATTCAGGAAGTAGTGCAACTGAAGGATGTCCTCGCGTTTTTCCTGATTTTTTTCACTTCTCGTATTCACTATCTCATGGTCCCTGGCGCCGATGTTAAAGGTGTAGTCATCGGAGTCGCTGTCCTGAAGAGGGTCGGCTTCCAAAGTGCTGCCTGCACCTGGTAGATTGTTTCTTTTGGCACAGTTCCCGCTATCACGGGTATCCCCCCTACACACCTCATTATTTTTCGACCCCTTAATCTCATTTATAATGTACCTATTTATATAGGCAATGTCGAACAGGTAGTATGAACTAACGAGGTTGTAAAAAGAGAGGGATAGATCTTCCTTTATGCTGTTCATCAAAACGATTTTGTTCACCCCTTGTGGGAAGGGCAGGAACGAATCCAGGGACAGTACAAACATGGAAACGCATTTGTAAATTTCGAAGGTGTAATGCAAGTAGCACATAATAAAATAATTGTAGTAATTGTGCTTATCTCTCTTGGTGAACATTTCTACAATATACTTGGTAACATTCATGGGGATGAAAAAAAACAAAACTTCTTCAATTTTTTTCTTGTAATTTAATTCGTTATCCAAATGATGCAGATAATTGTTGGCTTCTTTCACATTTTGCATCACCACTTTTGGATCGATTATCGCTCCTTCACTGTTCTCTGTAGACCCCTCTTTAACCGCGTCGTACAATTCTATAAATACTTTGTAATGAATTACCTCACCACATAGCTGTAAAAAATTGATATTTCGCACCACTTCGTTATTGACACTTTGGTACGAATACCTGTATTGCAGCATCCTGGGGGGAGTTTCTCCCGATTTGTTCACGCAGTTGTTGTTTACTAACTGACTGTTGCAGCTTTCTAGTTTCTTTTTCTTCCTTCTCAAATTATCCCCCTTCTCATCGCTTGATGCCTCGTTGCTCATTTTTCTCTTCCTCTCACTTGTCGCGAGTGCAATGGCCCCTTCATCGTGGCACAGTCCCGGTCTGTCCTCACCTGGGTGTGTACCACTTCTGGTGCTCCCCTGCATGGCGCTACGAGGAAGGGAGAAGTACCTACTCACTTGGGTGGGTAATCGGCCCATTTCTTTTCGCCCCCCCCTGGGAGTTCTCCCTCCATTGGTCCTATGCAGGAAGAATATTTTACTAACATCAACGAAGAGAAGCAGAAACAAAAACAGGTTGTCGTCACATGTTAAAACCTGCAGTTTGCTGCTGCCATAGTAGAGGTTAATAAAATGCTGGTACTTTTCTATACTGATTACAATAATGTAATGGTTAATAAAAAATTTTATTTTTAAGTCGGTTAAGAAAGAGAGGAAAGCATTATTCACTTTATTCTGGATTTGCTTTTCATCATTGTAGGACTTATCTCTCAACAGAATAACTTCCTCCTCTTCTTTCACATAGCGCGTGATTAAGTACTGCTTCGTTTCTCTGATGCAAGTGGCTATATACATTTCTAGGTTTGCGAAGATGAGGCAGATTCGACGAAGGTCTCTTTTTTGTATTCCCATCACGAACAGTTGATTTCTCGCTTGTGCGTACTTTTTACTTTGCATTTTTGTGATGCCATCGAGCAAATCACCATACATGTTGGATAGATCACCTCCCCTGTCCTTCCTGTTGCAATTTACGGCTAGGTAATACGAGGATGCGGAATGAGAAGAGCCGGATGGAGAAGGCCTTTTTTTTCCCTTCCTTTTTTCCTGCCCTTCTTCATTCTCCTCTCCATACGAACACTTCAAAAGGAAGATACAATTACAATTAAACTTCGCATTTTTGTATATTTCGCTGAACTTCCTCCTCTTTAACAACTCGTTTATAAAAAACAGCACCGTCGTGTCCATCTCACTCTGTACATCATTGAAGAAAATTCCCACCAATTTTATCACATTAAAAAAAACGTTCATATTTTTATATGTCTCACTTTTCTCCAAAATTTTGTAAAGACACAGAATAATGTAGTGTCGTAGCGTTTCCCCACTGTTGCAGTATATTTTGCGTATCTCCTCACAGATCGTGTGGAAATAGGTGTGTATTCTGTCGCTCCTGGTGCTATCTAAGTAGCAGTATGCACACATGACTAAGAACGCCACCCTCACTGCTTCGAAATCGTCCTTGCTGACGGCTCTGCAATTCGGATTATCCTCATCTGTGTCACGTCTACTTCGCTTTGTTCTTTTTTTCTTCCCCCTTTCCCTATCTACAATTCTCTCTTTAAACATTTTCGTTTTTCCGTTTTTCTTCTTTATTAGCATTTCTGCGTAAAACTCGAAATTTTCCACACTCCCGTTTTTTTCCCTCTCATTTGCTACTCCCCCTACAGCACCCCTGTTCAGTAAGTGCTTATATAGGAGTACCACTTCGTTCTGAAAATTGTAACTGCAAAGAAGAGTTTCGTCCTCTTTGATGTAGACATCACCTGTGGGGTGGTTCGTGCACCCCTTCTTTGTATCACGAGAGTTCCCTTCCGCTGATTTGTCGTCATCTTGTGAGTCTTCTCCCAAAATGGACTCATCCCCCATTGGAACACTTTGATCTTCCTCGCCATCAAGGATCTCCCGCTGTGCCCCCTTCACTTTGTCGTCAATCTCGTCATCCAGCTCCTCCTCACTGTCCTCTAAATGGGTCAACTCATTTTTCCGCTTCAACTCGGAAACAGTTTTGAGATTCTTTTTCAATTCAATCAAATTTAATAACAACGAGGAGGAACGAAGAACAAAATGAAACTTCTCATGGAAAAGGAAAAGGTACAGAATGACATTTAAAATAAATATTCGGTTATAACTGAAGTTGTTCAAAATGGAAATTTCGAGAAGGTTGATTTGTTCACAGAGGAAAAGACCTACATTTCGGAAGGCTTCCGATGTGACAAACTTTTTTTGGCACTCATCATCCGGGTGTATTTTCCCCAACTTGTTCCGAAGGAGCCAATTGAAACTATAAAAAATTATTTCAACATATCTCAGATTAATGTTGTGCACTGACTTGGTTCCCTTAGTTTTCGCAGCCTCCAAGGATAAGACAAAAATTATCACATCGAGGTATTTATTTTCGATTAAAACATCCACACACACGTTGTAATCTTCCTCAGCGAGGTGTCCATTATTTTTTATCAGCCCATACAGGCTTTTTAGTCCTCTTTCGATCTCCTTCTCACTGTCGCTATTCAGCTGGGAGCATATTCTCTTCATCGCGCTTCTTAACTTCTCCATAGTGCAGAATTTCAATTTTGGTTATTCATGACCTGGAGGGTTCATATTATGGACGACTTCAAGTGTGGATACTGTACCTCGCCGCTTTGGAATCTTACCCAATTGATCGATTTGTTTGTTCAAAAAAAAAAAAAAAAACGCGTTTTTTCTTCTCTACTTGTAAACACAAAACTTTTTCGTTCCTCCCATTCAGTCGCATTATACAAATAAAAAACAAAGGGGGGTATATATACTATCCAGTGCGGAATTTTTTTTTTTTTTCCTCCTTGTTACTTATGCTTCCACATATAGGATGATGCGGCCGCTACGCATTCGCATAAGTTCTGTAGAGGACGCCCTAAAGTTTGGGGTTCCAAATAAAAAATTCACTTCAAACACGAACAAATGGAAATCTCACAAAAGTACATTTTGTACATAAACATAAAATGGTAAACATTAAAAAAACACCACAAAAAAAAAATTATACGTACATTTATGTATATATATTACTTGGATACGCGAACATTCAAATGAGTTCAAACATGATTGCAAAAAAGTATTCACTTGGTTTCGTTACGCTTTGATTGGCTCCTTATGCGAAGTTGCCGAATGGGCAGAGCGTACCTGTTTGTTCCAGCGTCGGAGGAGGGAAAACATGTTGCTGATGATTTGTGACGGATTGCGGCTATGGTGGCGTGGTGCCGATCCACGCAACAAACAGAACGATCTACCAAATTGCCGGTACCAGCTGGCTTGTCGCAATTTAAGAAGAAGAAAAAAAAGTGCATACGTGCAGATGCAAAAAAAAAAAAAAAAAGGAATACACCTGCGTTTGCGTAGGCTCTGATGTATAAGTTTTCCAAACAAAATACTTATTTAAAATTATATATAAAAAGAAACCTTTTTATGTGCTTTCCACATTTTTGTAAAGCGTTTCATCAAGTAGGGGTGCGTGCAAAAAAGGGGCATCGTGGGTATCCAACTGGGCATCTAATGGGCGCGAATTTAGCGAAAAAAGTTGTACAGCGAATCTGCAATAAAGGTGGCGCTTCTCGAAGAATAGTGCTAGCGCAAACATGTAGCCATGTGGAGTTCCCCCTTGAGCACCCCCTTTCAAGTCGATCCACGCATGAGCATACGTAACCGTGAAAAAACGAGATGACCCCATCACCCGCATTTCTTGCGCACCCTTTTGCGGAAAAGTGGTATTTTCCGCGTCGGTGGGAAAAGTTCTGCCCATGGGGTGGCACTCCACAAAAGAGCGAAGCCCAGAGATGGGAGCTCCATATATATATGTACATATGAATATATGCACCTATGTATATATGCACTTATATATATATGCATTTATGTGGTGACCCCCTCCTCTGTGCTCAACCAGGAGAAAACTCTCACCACCGTCACCCGTACTTGCTGACGTACTCCTGCCACAAGAAACTTATCACCTTCTGTACGAAATGGATTCTGTTGTCTGGGAAGAAGTACTCCGCACTGTTTAAAACGATCCCCTTGGGGAAGGTCATGAAAAAGAAACTTAAGTTTTTAAAAAAGGTCTGCAGGAGGTTGAACTGCCCGGCTAGCTCATCTGTCAGTTTCTTTCTGCGAACGTGATTGTCACCTCCGCTGGAGGTGGCGGTGCTTCCCTGAAACAACGCCTCCCGAACATCCTCGCTGATAAACCCCATATGGACTATGTACAGTTCGTAATTATTAACGGAATAATATTTGCTACTGAAATAGTTCAGCAACGTGCTATCGTACAGTAAAATTTTCTTTTTTTTCCGTTGCTTCTCCATAAATGAAGTTTTTTCCATATCGTTGCTCTTCCCATTATTGCTGTGGTTATTGGTCTGGTTAGGGTCATGGTTATGCTTATGGCTATCGTTCTCGTCATCATCTGATAGGTCTGAAAAAGGGGGCGTATCATCAACGTGCCGATTTTTGCCACCGTTGGAGTCATGCACGTTCGCCTCATGATTCTCCGACTCCTTCGTGCCTCCCCTCTTCTTCCCATCCCGGGTAGCCCGCTCACCCAACAGTTCGTTATAACTAGTGGTCAAGATGTTTTTATTCAAATTCAATTCGAAAAAGGTAAAAACATCTTTCATACATAGAGGGACGCTCAAATATTTGGTGAAAATGTCACGCTCCCCCGAAATGAAGGCATTATCTTCCGCATTGGAGTTAAAAAAGGTCACGTTCATATAGGAGTTATCGACAAAGTCTTGGGTATATCCCCCCGTGGCAATATCATCCGCGTCATTTCGACTCCTGCGTATATTTCCCGGCTTAATAAACAAATTTTGCTTTTCTTTTCTGCAAAAAAAGGAAATCAATTTGTTGTAGCTTCCCCGCAACTTGGTTCTTTGATCATTACTTTTTATCATGTAAAATATTCCCAATTTTTTTAAAAAGAACATATCTTTTTTTAAAAATAATTCATGTAGTAGGTTGTTGTCATCCGTCCGATGTGTGTGTGCGCTATTTCGAAACGAATTTCTCATTTTCGTCCTTACGAATTCTTCCTCGATGATGAAAAGTATTTTTGCAAGTTCGACATCCTTCGGGGGGGTACTTCCCCCGTTGATGCTGCTGCTACCAGGGGTGTGGTTACTGTTGTGACTATTCCCAGAGACGTCACCATATGAATACAATCTACTATAATCCAACCCGCTATAATCCAAACCACTATGCTCATTGGGTAGTTCCTCCCGTTTCGTCTCGCCACCGAAAAATGGAAAGGACACACCCTCCCCCTCAGCTAAAAACTCCCCGAATAAGCCGCTGAACTCGGTGAGAGGGCCAAAATTGTACATAAAATTATTCAAGAGGAAGGAACTGTTTTTACACTTCATGCAAAACAGCACAAAGGCAATGACCACAACGTAGAGGTAGTCCTTGTTAACCTGAGACACACTGCACATTTGCAGTAAGCCGTCTAGGATCTTCTGCTTCTCTCCGAAGTGACTATATATGTACGCTAAAAAGATGCACTCTTTTACCCAAAAAAGGTGGTGAAAAAAATGGAAGAGTTTCTCATCATCTAATGTTAACGAGATCGTTCTTTCCCCATTTCGGAGTTTCTCCTGGGCACAGTAGAAGTCCTGTAAGCTCTCCTTAAATGTGAAGTGACCCTTCGGCTCATAAAACAGGAGTTTATTTTTAATCAAATTTAACCTTTTAAAGGATGCCCTCAATTTTAGCATGACGTACCCTTGAATGAGGACGGGGAAAATTTTCAAAAGATCGTCCACGTTTATTTCATCGTCTAGCTTTTCTTTCATAATTATTTTGCAGAGGTGGGCAAGGAAATCGGCTATGCATAGCATGACGTTGAAGGGGATGTCCACGTAAGGGAGGTTCTTGGGAGAGTTGGCACTAGTTTGTCTTCCCCCCCGTGTTCTTCTCACCATTGGATCTTCGCGACGAAGTCGGTCTTTCCATTTCTCACAATTTGGCGAATTATCGACATTTTCTGCACCCCCCCCTTTGGGAATTCCCCCCGTGCGGTAGCATTCATCCGTGCGCAGATACACAGAGAAGTGACTATAGTAGTTATCCCTGAAGTGAGCCAGCACCGTCTCGTTAAAAACGGTGACGAATGCGAATTTGATGTAGGAGCCCAAGTCATGGGAACTCTTCGCCGAGTCTATTTCGACTTCCCCACTTCTCCTTGTACTTTTGTAAATCCTCTTCAGCAAAATATTAAGTATTGAAATGGCGTAAATCCACAAAGACGAATCCTCATGAAACAACTTTGCACCTTTTAAAACATTCAAATAGACGAACTTGATTTCTTCTTTTTTGATTCGCTTAAAATTGGTAATACACTTAACAAAAATGTACTTTTCATAAGTGCTAAACCCCTCGAAGTAGTTGCTGAAGTTGCAAAAGATGTGGCCATATGAATTGTTGAAGGAGCTAAAAAGGGAGAAGTATTCAAAAACGCTGATTCGACATTCGTACAAGATGTGCACCCTTCTTATAAACTCTTCATAAAGTCTGTAATACCTTTTCATGTTCTCACTTATCTTTTGCTTGATCTTTTCAATCATCACTTGGAAGAGGATGTAAAGAATTTTTATCAGTTTTGTTACATAGGAGTAAATATTCAGGAGGGCGTCCTTTATCTGGACATCCAACTTTACGTAATTTATGAGCTTCATTGTTTTTAGAAAGCTTCCCAAATGGTCAAACAGTTCGGTTCTTAACAGGGGTAGGGACTTCATATCTTCCCCCTCCATATGGAACAGCATATTCAACTTAACTTGTTCATACTCTTTATCTTTCTTAAAAGAGTTTGCGTCAATGTCGAGGAAGTTCCCCATTTTTAAAAACCCCTTTAGGTAATTTTCAACCCTCAGCAAATTCAAATAGACGTGGTAGAGCATATTTTTTTTCTCCAGATTTTCTACCCTAATCAGGGATGTATTTATCTCTTCATAATACTTATAACAGAACAGATAAATCAGTGTCAAAATCGTGCCGTGGTCATTCACTATAATATCACTATTCAGTTTGTAATTATCATTTTGATAAAGGAACAAACTAGCGTTCTCTTTTGCACAACTGATGGTTTCTTGTCCCAAACCACCAGTTCTCACAATTTTCCTCTTCCACATGGAACTACTCCCACCATGGAACGTTTCACCTTCGTCCTCCGATTCCGTGCATGCCAAGATGTTATTCGTTGCACTTACGCATTTTTTAATTTCGAAATCTTTCTTTATAAATCTGTTCATAAACAAAATTGTCATATTGGAACACTCATTCGAATCGAAGTAGTCGGCCGAAATGCACTCCAGGCCGAGGCCTCTTATCCCAATCAAATTGCAATATGAAATGAGACTGACGCTTTTATCGTCCAGTTCTTCAAAGTAGTGTACAATGATTTCGTGCATCCTATGTGATAGGAATTGCATCGTTTCTTTGAGACCCGTACTTTGGTTTTTCCCACCCCCAGCTTCCTTGACGTCTAATTCGTTACTTCTGTCCCCCCCCATGGGGCTGTCTTCGCACACAAAGCAGTCAAAATTCTTCTTGTAATAAAAAGTCAAGACGCGGTATAGGGAGCAAACACCATAGACGACGTACTTCGAATCGTACACGAGTCCGCTGCCCAGATTGATGACAACCATTTTGAAGGTGCTCATCATTTCGTACACGTCGATCACTTTTTTTATGTAAAGGTACATCATAACGTTCGCGAGCGGGACAATTGCGTTGTCGACTCTTCTCTGTAGCGACTTTACCAGGGCGTCGTACAATCCTTTGATCGTCTCGTCGAACGTGTGGCTGTTGTAGTGCTTGTACAAGTAGAAGCAAAGGTTCCCGAGGGAGAGGAAAAAGTGCAGGTTCTCATCATCGTCGCGCGGTTCCATTCCCCCATCGTCCCGTTGCGTACTATCCCTGACAATGTTACTGTGACCATTTTTGTCTCCCATCACGTGGTATGCCAAGTTGATCCCGTCGTCACTACCCAAGTCACTCATATGCAAAGCCAGAATCGTCGCAATCTCCACGCCGCTCAAATTGGTGTAGTAGCAGCACGAACTCAGGCACAGCAAGAGAATATTCCTCACTTTGCGGTTAGCCACTTCATCCAGCAGGTTGGTAAGAAACACATAAAAGTTTGGAATCTGAGAAACGTTCGTGTGAATATAATTTAGGCAAAGAAAAATCAAAACAATTTCATTCTTGTTGCCCTGAAACTTGCTTTCGCTGTCCTTAATATACGAGTCAATTCGCTCATAAAATAAATTTAAAATCTCATTAATGTCGTTGTTGTGCTTGCAGAGGATACTCAATACGGGGTAAAACACATACACGTTCAGGTTATCCTCACTTATGATTCGCTTTATTTCTTCGTACATCCTGTTGCAGATAAGTTCGTATGTGACTCTTTTCTTGGCTGCTTCCGGAGGGGTTGCACCCTCCTTCGATTTTTCAATAGACCTCTCCGTTTTGGGGATCACCTCTTCTTCTGTTTTTCCCTGTACGTGCAAAATGAACTCCTCCCCAGCGTCAAACTTCCTGCGTATCTTCTCGAAGAAGCAATTCACCACGTAAAAAAAGAAAAAAACGTAGTGGACGTGAAAAAAGGGCAAGTTCTTCAAAATGGAAATGATTTCTCCGACGTGTTGAAACTTATCGGTAAGTAGTAACTTGACATAATAATTAAAATTAGAAATCTTATCATTCTTAATGTTCGAGTTGAAAAGTTTGTAGAGGACCCTTACCAGGTGGTTGCTATTGCTGTTATTCTCATTCCTCAGATTGTACAAGGACAGGTTGTTCATTTCGTCCGTCAAAATAGCCTTCTGTATGTTCTCATAAATGTTTTGATGCGACCCGCTTTTCAGAAATGATTCGTGTACGAAATTCTTATCGAAGAAGAGACTCAGCAGATTTTTTTTCTCTTGCACATTTAGTTCCCACACCCCAGGGTTGCTACTAAACATTGCGCTGCTGTTGTTGCTAATTGTATGGGTTGTATACGGGGCCTCATCATCTGGTCCGCCATCCTGTGGTTCGAAGAGAACGCCACTGACGCTACCCCCCTGTTCATTCACATCAAAATGTTGGTAATACACTGGGTAAACCACCGACATGACGTTAACAATCTCGGCCAGGATGCTCTCATTGTTCAAGCTCAGCAATCTGTAGAAGTCTTTAAAAATGTATTTCAACTTTGTATGATACAGAATATCATACTGCTCGGCGCACAGCTTCTCCTTATCATAAATCATGTGCTTGATGTAGTACCTCGTAAACGAAATGACGGAGCAGATGATGTCTGCCCCGCCGTTCCCTTCACTACCCACCGCGCTCTTTAAAAAGTTCTTCTTCAGCAAATTATAAATAATTTCAAACTCTATGTACTTCTTCATCGAGAGGATCACCAAAATTAGTATGCTCATTTTGATAATGCCATTTTGGAGCTTGCCAACATAACCCTCGTGCGAAGTCCCACTTTTGTATTTTTTAAAAAAGGAGTTTATCATCTTTATGATACTGTTAATATAATTGCTAACGTTGTAAAATCTGCACAGCTTCAACACTATGAGCACATTTTTTAAGTCAAAAAGTACGCCTACATTTTCCTTCGTCATGTAGTCAATGGTGTTCCCGTTGTTAGTACTACCGTCGTGATGTGGTTCATTTAGAGGTGGATTCTCCCCTTTTCTGCTCTTCCGGATTATGTGTTTTCTCTCCACACCGACGTGATCCTTCGCAGTTTGTCTTGCCAACTCGAAGGTACCGTCCACATACTTGAAATATTTGCTGATTATATTTTCGTTGACGTCCACTAACTTGTCGTAGCAGTGTAGGAGGTACAACTTGTTGAACAGAATTTGGTCGGAAATGTTACCCTCCGTTTTATGGTAGTAGTATCCTCTCCTTTCCCCTGCTTGGCTTGTATCCAATTCTATTCCATCGTCGGTGGTGGGACCAAACTTATCAGCGGGGCACACTGACAAGTCTTCCTTCCCCCCCGCTTCGCCACTCCCATTGTTCAGCAAAATACAAATGGAGTTATAAACAACTGGAATGTTCCTATCGCTGCATCCGATTTTGGTCAACACGTGCAGGATTAGGCTTCTCAACACAAAAGCATGCCGGCGCGCATCTACCTGGTGTGCAGACTCACCAGAGGGAGAAGGGCCCCTCATTTTGAAGCTCCCCCCATGTAGTGCGGAGCTGGAGAAAGACATCTTATATACAAAAAGCAAAGAAGGAATAAACCTCAACAAGTCAGACGAATTTATTAAACAGTAATATGACATAAATTTAAAAACGTAAAATAAATTGCACTCGAATAGAGACAACATCAACAAATTGATGTAAACAAAATTCACTTTCGATATATTTTCACTTTTCAAATTTTGAAATGTGTTAATACATAATTTTGTGTTCATTTTGGAGAGCACAAGCAATTCTCGGTTTTTTCTTACCACATCTATGCATCGAAATTTGTGCTGATCCTTTTCGCACAGTTGGAAGAAGCGCATCAGATAAATCAGATCGATGTAAACAAATATTTCGTGCAGATAAAATAAAATATTATTTACACAGAGGACTTCCAAAACCTCTTCTTTTGTTAAATTGTTTTCTTCACTCGTTAGGTAGTTCACCTCCTCCATTATGTTTTCCATTATGCTGAGGTGGTTTCCCTCACTCCACTTAGTTCTGTGGAACATTGTTGAGGGGTTTCCTTCGTGAATACCATCAGGCAAACCGCGGGAGATCCCCATATCTCTCCTCCTTAAGTATCCCAAAAAACAGTTATTATAATTTGTGAAGAATGTAACCCATTTACTTTTCAGCCTCCTCGAGGTGTCCATAATTCTTCGATTCACTCCGTTTGAATTTTCTTCGTTCTTCTGGTTAAGGTTGTACTCAAGGTGAATAGGAATTGTTAAACATAGAAGCAACGGCGAGACGTTAAATTGGAAAAGGTTTATTTGGTGAGGATTCCACTTGGAGGGGATTGAACTGTTGTCCCAGAGGACACTTCCCTCCACTTCCGTCATATTAGTATAGACTTCTCTTTCACTTCGCCTTGATTTTTTTATCCCCTCCCTTTGACAGTAGAATGATTCCCCATCATCTGCATCGGCAACTGAGCTGTGCTCTTCACATGCCACAGGGGGGTCCTCATTAGCCCCCTCTTTTGTATTGCCTTCACCTAGTATGTTGGGTGGCGCTTCGTTCCCCCTGCGGAACACCCCATTTGGGTAATAAACCTCAAGAAGGATATCTAAACATTCCAAAATGTACATAACTCCTTCATTCTTATCAATGTTTAAATTGTGAAACACCAGAATGAGAAAAAATAGGATCGTTTTTAACATGTGGTAAAATCTTCCCTTCAAGGAATGCACATTTCGTCTTAGCAATCGCAGAAACCTCTGCAACGACTCCTGCACGCACCCGTTAAGGTAACTTATGTCATATATTTTGAGGGCAAATATGAGGAGAAACAGGACCATGTGTTTCGTCCTTTCTTCGGCGGCGCTTCCGGCGATTTGGTGGGTGTTCGGCTGGGCTTCGTCAGGTAGTTCATCACTGAAGCTTTCATCGTTGGGTACCGCATCATCCGCCTCTTCACCGTCTGATTCTTCATTGTCTGATGCTTCACCGCCCGTTTCTTCATCGTCTGATTCTTCACCGCTCGCTTCTGCATTATCCTGCCCCTCGAAGCGGAGCTTCCCACAAACGATGCCCATGCATAGCTCCAGGTTGTGCGCGTTATACACATTGCGCAGGTTCAGTATGCAGAGCGGCACGATGTACGTGTGCAAGACCCGGTTTCTCTGCACTATCTTATTATTCAGCAGTATGTGATACACGGTGCCTATTTCAAATTCATCGCAGTAGGCAATAATTTCTTTAAACATATTCACAAGGTGTGCGCACAGTTCGGCTTCATTTTTGTGGGCATTTTTAAACCTGGCCTTCTCTACATTCTTTAAAAAAATATAAAACACATTTTTGACAAAACTTTTATCAATGGTGATTAGTTTTTTTAAAATGTTCACCAAGTTGATGTTCTTATCGTCCACGTGGTGAGTTTCATCCTGGACTTTCTGCTCTTTGGAATGCATCAGGTAGCTTTTTTGAATATCACTATGAAGAAAGTTTTTTTTTTTTTTTTTTTTTTCTTCTTCCATATCATCGGGATCACCATGTTGCTTATGTAGGCCTCTCACAAACAGGGTGAAGATCGTTTCGATCAGGATGTTCACCAAATCGTCATTGCAAATTAGGTGTCTGGAATAATTCCCACTCTGTGGAGTAAACCCATTTTTGCTGCTCTTAATTTGAAAATCTACGTAAATTTTATCAACTAAGTAATTTATATGCACACATCCCTTGAGCACACTGCTGCAGATGAACTGAAAAATAATTTTTTTGGCATTTACAAATTCGCGACTAAAGGTACACAGATTTTTTTTTCTCAAGGCAAAATAGTAAGCATCTTCTTCATTCACCTTTTCGATGTTTTTATTCTTCACGCATATTTTATACTGTTTGCTAAATTTCGATTTATTTTTCCTTTCGGCGTTTAAATGCAACTCCTTGTTCCTTTTCAAAAGGTTACAATTAAACAGAAAATTTTCATTGTAAGTGTAATTATTCTCCTCTAAAAATATGTCAATAAGTTGTATCACTACGTGACTGTCCTGTCTTTTTCCTTCATTCTGATAAATTGCATTTAAATTTTCCAGAAGGATATTTTCATTTTGTGTGTACTTTACGCATTCTACAATTTTGGCGAGTCTCTTTTGCTCCTTTTCGTTCATATTTGCATGTGGTCCTCTCGTTGCAGCGAAATGGGGTTTGCGCTGCAGAAAGGAAAATGTCTTCCCTGCTGCTACCCAGTTGCCGTCCGAAGCGCTGTTCAGGAGGCAACTATCCTTACTTTAGCAGAAATGCGTTACGCGTGAAGAAATGCCCTTTTCTTGGCAGTGCCTCTTCTTTTCGTTCCACCAAGACCGTTTCAAGGTCGCAGCGAAGGAAGGATGTATATCCACTTTGCTATAAGTACACGTATGCGTACAGCACATATGTGCATGTAGGCTTATTCGTGTATACGCGTTTATGAATATGCCTCGCGCGCATGATAGTTCTTCAATTTTGTTATCTTAAAATGCTCTTTTTTCTATCTAAAAAAAGGCATTTCCTATACATCTATGTGACGGGTTGCTCTTGCTGTGGTATATATATTCGATGAATTTATTTTATTTTTCTTTTTACTTTTGCCATTTCTTCCTTCATCCCGTCGTGCATATTGCGCTAAATGGGGAGTTACCTTATTGGCAATTTTTTTCTCTCTTTTATATGCTCAAAGATTTGCGTTTACTTGACCGATGGGGGGGTGCCTACCACATCGCACAGTGCTCCCACCCATGGGCATTTTCAGGGAAGCTTTAAATTTTCCGCCTTCACTTTTGCACTGGATGGGGCGCAACTCACGTGGGAGAAGCACATATATGGCTGTGAATAATGTAGCAGCATGACACTGTTGTGTGATTGCCTAAATGTATAAAAAAAAAAAAAAAAAAAAAAAAAAAGGCCGCTCTACCTTGCAGATTTATGTAAATGCAAATTGTTCAAAGTTCTGAAAGTACCTGTTCGTACCGCTTACTACGGGACCTGCTCACCCCTGACACGTAGATGCCTTTTCTTGCACTTGTTAGAAGGGCCATTAGAAGGATAGGAATGTTTAGCCCCACGTTTGGTCCGTTTTTCTCTTTTATTTTCACACTTATTTGCCTGTGAAGGATTCATTCTACAATTGGGTCAAATGGGGACATAAAGTTTATTTACCCCATCAGGTTCCAAATGGCCCCGATCAAAGTTGATATGACCTCCTTTATCTTTAGAACACTTTTCACTGACTCGGGCGTCATCCTCTAGCCCATTTGACAATTTCTGCATAACTTTCTGCGCAGCTACGATTGTATATCTGTGTACATACATAGATGTGTACATTTTCGTTGGTGGGAAGGTAGAACCTCCTTCATGAACACAACGGTTCCAAAGCAAAGGCGTGTGTGTTTGTGTGGGGCGAATATAGAACTGCAGTCCATCTCATTTTCTCCAACTAGTGCAACGAAGAAAGGTGTACAAGGGAACTCCTTTCTCGCAGTACAGAACGTTTTCTATGACAAATCGACGATTTAGCTGGAATTACTCGTTTTTAAATACCAACCAAGAGTCCACACAGTGTGTATCTGTTGTGGGGGCGTATTTCTGCTGACATGTGTGAATGCACCCATGCCCCAGTGAAGGATCCTATTTGTGTATACCTCAAAAGTGAAACACACAAAAGGCACCGTGCAACTATGCCATAGAATTCAGCAACTTCCCCGGAAAAAAAAAAAAGCTTAAGAAATTCTTGTAAAAAAAAATATTAATGGCGCATGTACCAAAGTGTCACATTTCAGGGGGCACAGAAAGTGGGTGTATGCTTGGGGGGAAGATAAATTACGACCTCGGAGGACACTTCAACTTGCCCTCATTTGTATTATGCTCCCATGAGATAGCATTAAAGGGAAAAGAAAAAATTCAGCGTACGTTTGGTCTATGTGCAGTTACACGTGTACAAATGCTTACGCCTCCTCGGGCATTGCCTTTTTAAAAAATAGCAGGTTTGTTTCTACTAAAATGGCGAAGCCTTGTTATTTCTGGGGCGTTTCCCCAACCAGGCAATGCTTTGGTTGGCCGCCAAAAAAAGAAAGGGCAGAACAAAAAGGAAGAACAGCGGAAGAACGATGGGAGGACTCAAAGGCACTTTCCTCTGCTTCCCCTTCGCAAATACACATTTATGCGAAGGAATACACGGAACTTTTTCAAAATACACACCTCTGTTGCGCACACAGAATTAACTTAAAAAAAAAATATATATACCATATCGTTGTTTGTTAATTGTCGAATAGAACAAAATTCCCACTTAGTGTCCTTATTCTTTTTTTTTCCCCATTTTTTATGTGCAAAAATGAAAAAAAAAAAAAAAAAGAAAAAAGAAAATTCCAACCTTGTAACCATGCAAAAAAAAAAAATATATATGATCCTTTTTGTGTACCAACACATGCACAGATAGGCAAACGGAAAATACAGTAAGTATTGACAAAGTTTGTATAAATTTTGTTAGGACAGTGCTAAATTAAGAGTTGACAAATGTTTCGTTAATTCGGATGTTTCAGGAATGATATGGATACCATGCATTTCTTTTTTTTTCACATTTGTATGCCACGCTTTGTCAGCTTGTTTCCCTTTTCCCAATTTCCGAGATTTTTTGAAAGTCAGGAAATAGGGGAATGCCCAATTCGCGATACATTTGGAAGATTCACTTGGTTCGATTAATTTTTTACACGTTGCATTTGTTTCGCGTTTGTATTCATGTTCACCTCACCTTTCGTGAACTTTCTACGGGTATCATAATTCGTTGCTGGGGAAAATGATAACCCCTTTGTCTTTTCTGTAACTTTTTTGAAGACCAACTGGAAGTTGTCTTACGTGCGAATATTTCCGCAAAGCTGCGAAACTACGCTTAGCTGTATTTGTTTGTTTTACACATATGGGTGTGTCTACACATGTGTACACGTGCTGATGAGCGAAGACTCCTTCACGTGAAAGAGCCACCCCTCACGCGTAAATATTTATCCTCCCAATTTGCATGCACGTAACTCATCTGCAAATCGCTGATTTTTTCTGCACACCTGTAATTATCCCGGCGCAGGACATACATCGTTATGTCGTTATGATGATATTATCTCATCTTCAGATATTAGCCCCACGTTAGCACACATATGCACGTACACATATGTGCATAGCCCCCACGTGTTCACCCCCCCCTTTTTTAGCAAAGCAAGGGACGAAACTGCCGCGCACCATGAACAGAATAGCCGATCCGAGCTATTCAAATAAGAGTAGCCTGGAAAACATCACACTGTCTCACACTGTAGAAGAAAATGGCCATGTGACGGAAGGGCAGACTTCCCATTCAGGTATCTTCACCAATAAAGAAGAAAAAATGGATCAAAAAAAGAAAACTAAGCAAAATGAAGGAAAAACCAGTCCGCATGATGAGGAAGAAAAACACAACGAAATTACAAATGAACTTTTGCTAAAGCATGATGAAATAGTTAACTCGGATATGAAGAATAGGAACATAGCACAGAGAGTGAAGAAGGATGCACTGGTGAAGGAAAGAGGAGAAACGTTGAGCATCAGTTCCTCTAAGGCAATTTTTCTAAAAAAGAAAAAAAACATCTTTGGTGCCCACTTGACGAAGGAAAAATGTCAAGAAAGTATCGAAAAAATAAATGAAAAAATAAACAGCACAATGAAAAAGATACTCAAATTGTACAATGAGTCAAGCAAGAAGCAATACTTATCGAGGTTATTTCAAATGAAAGACATCACTTGTCTGTTCAGTTGTATGTTCTTATGTCTGCTAATTATATTTTCGATTATGAATGAATACGTCGGAGTGTTACTCTCCACCCTGCTACTGATCATATCGATACAGATAAAATTCAGTCGGTCAAATATGGCTTTGTTGAACTCAATTGTTGCGATTTTTTTCATTTCTGTAGCCACTGCGTATTCCTTTTCGAACATGAAAATGGAGGAAATCCCCTATGATAGCATGACACGGACTGATATCTCAAATGGGAACACGAATAGGAGACTATTAATCCTGGAGACGGTCATATGCCTATCTTATGCTTCCATCCTATTTATATATATGCTTTCACTACGGTCTGTAAAAAGTTGCAAAGAAAAACACGTCTGGATATATCATCGCATAGTCACCTTTTTCAACTTCCTGGATGTATGCATCCTCTTTACCTTTGGAGTGCTAGCCTTTTTTTTTATCTTTATTTGTCTTGGGGAAACTCTATTCATTATTACGTCATTCACGTTATTTTGTACCAGTGTCCTTACCTACTCCCTTCGTAAAAACAGCAGCGTAGGAACGTTGATACTCCAAACAATTGCAATTATAACGAATGCGATTATAGCTAGCACGTCTTTATCGAAAAACACAGCAACAGACAGATTGGCAGATCTCCCTCTTGACGAATTAGTACAATTGAACAACAGGATATTCCTCTTCTATATGATCTTTCTTATCCTTTTTTTGGTTCTTCACTTGTTGTACATTTTTTATATATTTTTTCCTCACAAGAATGTTTTTTCCAAGTGTTTTTCCCAGAGGTCTGCGTACTACTCGAGTATCTTTCCACACCCCGCAGGCGTTGTGGATGATCACTCTGGTGATTTTACCCACGCCAGTGCGAACGACCAGAGTGATGAAAACAGCACGTGTAATAAAAAATATGATGGGTACAGCAGCAGGAACCGCACAAACTGGGGGGGGATCCATTTTGTGCGAGAAAAGTACCTGCTCAGCTTAGATGATGATAACAAAATTCTTAACGTCCAGAGGAGAAGCTGCAAGCAGGTTCATCTCGATATGGGCAAATACACATACAACGAGCTTCATTTGTACAACCACCTCCTTCTCAACACAGTGGTCGACTTGAAGCGATCGCTGTTGAGGCGCAGAGGCAGAAGGAACACGACCAGGGGGGCAAGGAATAGGGACAAAACGGGCATAAAAGGGAAGGATAAACGGAGGAAAACCACACATAAGAAGATCAGACAAGAGAAGCTCAGTATGGGTGCAAAAAAAAGACCCAAGCGAGTGCAACGGGTGAGGAGCCCACAATGCCAAGGAAAAAGCCAAACGGAAGACTTTGTACTAAGCATCAACGACGAATCGTCCGAATGCCAGAGCAACCACGGCAACACAGATGAGGGTACCGACACCCAAGGAAATAAAGGACGATGCAGGAAGAACAACAAAAAAGGGGCACCTAAGAGTCCCCCTTTTTTGCTAAAAAATCTATCCCTTATTCAGCAGGAAAGAAGTCGGAATAAGGTCGCTCCAAACACCCCATTGCAGAACCATGATCTTTACCTTACCCACTGCGAAAACGACATATATTGCCCATCCTCCCTATTTTACACAAAGTACACACACATAATAGATGTTCTGCTAGAAAATTATGATGAGCTTATATTTTACTTGGACCGAAAGAAGTTCTTCATTCGGCTAATCGAGTTTTCTGAGAGGGGAAATCCAGCTACGAACGGAGAAATTATTTCCTGTCAAAATTGTGCAACTGAAGGGGATATATTGAAATATGGATCGGCTGTAAACTCGAGTGCATTTCTACCGAAGAGTAGCATGAACGACTCTTCGCCTCCTTTGTCGCATCGAACTCTGGAAAAGATCACTGACTCGCCATCCCTTCAGCATGAATCTCCAGAGTCGAGCCCGTTAAAGGATGCCTCTATTTCCCCATTCGAAGAAAGCAGTCCCAATGACATGCACACAAATTGGACTAGCCCACTTAGCAGTAACGTACACTTAATGACCGAATACGGGGCAGCAAATGAGCGACAATCTCTAAAGGAGCAAAGTTGTAGAGCCGATTTGATAACTAGGCCGTCCAAATGGACAGAGGTGCTGAACGGAATCGAAGATGAATTAAACAAGTGTTACTCAATGTTCATACTAAACGCAGAAGGGAACGCAACAAGGGAGAGGACCAACTCGCTATTTAGCAATCTCAACAATGATTATATGAACATCCCCGTGTTCTCCTCCACGTCCAACTCTTTCACTTCCAACTCCCTCACTTCTAACTCCCACGCTACCGATGAAGACAACAGAAAGGCAGAGAACAAAAAGGCAGAGAACTACTTCTGGTACTACTCCCCCGGTATTATCGGAAGGGTCTACAAAGAATGGCTAAAATGTAAAAATTTAGATTATAAAAAAATGAATAATGATTTTTATTACCTCCTTTCTAACTCGAACAAGCTGCATGAATTCATAAAGTCCAATCACACCACTCTGGAAAAACAGGAAGAAATTAAACTCTTCGATATTAGTCAAGTGCTAAGTAGTAATAACAGCATTCTAAATTCTATTCAGAAATCCTTTTCGTCTGTTAAGGGTTCTCACTTATTTTCTGAGGAGGTACCTAACAGCACCTCTTTAAATCGAATAATACACACCTTTTTAACGGACACTAACAGCAACATTGAAAGGATGTGCTTCCTTGATTCTAAAAAGGTACATCCGTTTTTAGAGGACACGAACATAAATAAATTTCTTTCAGCATTGTACGAACAGGAGGGGAACGAATTTCTGCAGGGACAGATGACTCTCTCCCCATCAAGGCTTACTCCAGATTTGATTGAGCAGCTCAACCAGATAATCGCAGAAAAGAAATCCGAAGAGGGGACACAAATCAAGGACTATTCTACAAACGGGGTGGGGATAGTGTCTCCTCTTGACGGTGATAGGGATGATGACCTACTTCCCGACCAGCACAACGCCATTCCAATGATCTACCAAAATGGGACACCTCCCAGAGGAGAAGCAGACGAAATGGTACTCCCCCTGTGGGACTCACTAAATGGTGGCCTGAGAAGGGGAAGGCAATCGTCACCGCAAGACAACCGGGAAGACGTGATGAATCTGTGCACATCACAGCTGCAGAAGGAAAACGGGGAAAACTTCGACTTGAGTGACCTTCTAAATTACGCCGAATCGCTCATCCTGCAGAACAAGCAAATTGAGACGAGCAAGGGAAGCGAACTACCGGGCACAGACAACACAGGCAAGATAGGCAGAATAGGAACCACAGACAATACAGACGTGCAGATGAAAACCGATTCCGATGCCGATTCCACCGACATAAAACACTTTGACGAAATTTTAAGCAATTTCATTAAAAATTTCGTGTCTACGCGGGACAACAGAGTCGCTCATAATAGCTCTAGGCAACGTGAACAGAAGTCTGACGACCAAATGAACTCCTTGAAAAATATAGAGGAAATCTATTCCAATATAAAAAAAAGAATATATGATGAGGAGGCAAGCAGGGCGGCCACCGCGGAAGGCAGTGTCAAAAAAAATGGAGACTCCCTAGCCAAGCAAATAATCCACACCAAAAAAAAAGAGATGCACCTAAAAAAGATAAACGTGCAAAATGAGCTGCACCTTTCGAATACACTAAAAAAGAGGGAGGATCCAAGTGGAAGCAACGAATTAAATCAAAGCCTTCCAACAGGGGGGACGGGACACCAATTGGGGAAACTTAACATAGTGATGAACAAGTCCAAAGGGAGCATCGATTGCTTAAGGAAGAATAGCAAAAAGGACACGAACCAATGGACATATAGCGCATTTAATGAGTACATAAATAACGATTTAAATCTTGAAAAGAAAAAAAAAATCGATAGCAAAACGGTTCCAAGAAAAAGCGATTCGGTTCCCTCAGATGATGTAAGCGCAAATATGAAGTTCACCCTAATTTGTAATAGGAGCGAGGAAAATGTCAAGGATCAAAAAAGGAGAAAAAATAAAATTCTCGAAGAAGAGAGACTTTACGTTGAAGATACCCAAGAGGATGACCATCTAAGTGAGACACAAAATTGGGGCAACATCTCAGAAGGGTCTCTTATTGCTTATGCAACTGATGGGGGACATGCACACACAAAGGGTAACAAATTCTCACCCGCCCAGATAGGGTTATCATCCAATTTGAACAGCGTAAAATTGGAGAAAGAGAAAAAAAACAAACCCAAGCAACGCATCGACGCAAAGAACAACCACTCCCGTGGTAGCAGCGTTAGAAGCACACACGAAGGGGGGGCCTCTAACGCAGAAAGAGTGAACGAACCATACCACCGCTTAGACGAGGGGAAGATGAAAGATGTACCAACTGAGAGCAAAATGTACACTTCAAATAATCACAGTGTACATGATAGGGAAGACTTCAACTTCAAAGACGGCCCTAAGGAACCACTCCTTCAACACAATCAAAAATGGAAAGACAAAAATGAAAAGTGTAACCAGACGGGGGAGCTAAAATCAAACGTTGGGTATAATACAGAAAAGGGGCTTCTTTTCAATGGAAACGAACCCCATAGAAACGTCTCCGCATCGGTGTTGAGTTGTCCCCTGGGTCAGGCAAAAAGGAACAGTAAATACGATCACGGGGAGACACAAATTAGTCTCAAAATGGAGAACTCCCTTCTCGGCGAGCACAAAGAGACACCATCGAATCAGCCAAAAGAAAAAGAAAATATGAAATGGAATGACCATAGGGTCAGTGTAAAAGTGAGTGGAGCAAGCAATCCAACAGACATTCCATCCCCTGTAAAGGAGTACTGCATACATAGCAATCAAGTGAGTTACAACAATTCCAGTAACTTGGATTCATCGCAAGTTTGTCAGCGATCTGGTGAAGGCGACTCGTATCGAGGCACCTACTACAAAGGGCCCTTCGCCCACCGTTCTAATTACCCCAAAGGTGGTGAAGAAAAAAGTGATGACTCTTACAAATTTTCAAATGCACACCAAACGAGCAGCAACTTTAACCTCGACACGCATGACCTCATAAAAGATTTGAAAAAATATTTGTGCTCATCTCCAAATAGTGTCAACCTGGAGGACAGCAAACTGAATGATACGTTTCTACTTGAGTTTATCAACAAGTACTTGGAGAATAGCACCCCCTGTGAAGTCAGTGTATACAACGAAGTGGTGTTTGACGATGCAAGTGCAAAGAAGGATAACCACCAAGTTACCACCGCGAACAAGCATGAACAGAGCGAAGGCACCAGCATCCGAAACACAAAAGAAAGGAAAACACAATACTATCATTTGTATGATGATAAAAAAAAGTGGCAGGGACATGAAGACAAAAATGTAAGTGGGACACTCTCCTCCAATTTTTATGATGAACACATTGTAAATTTCCTCAATACGTACATGTTTGAAAACAACGATCGGTTGATGAAGAACGCCATGTTGAAAGACAAGCAGGAAGGTAATGCAAAGTTGGAGAGGGACACAGGAAAGGCTAGACTATCGCTAGACGCTCAGTCTTCAATGCTCTACAGGAACGGTGAAAAGGAGGACGGATTCCTCGAATTGGACTATAGTAGTTCCGATGGTAATGGCGATCATGATGACGGGCAGGGAAAACTCCACAGTGATTACAACGATAAAGAGGAGAAACGGCGAAACAAAGAGGAAAGCATTGCCCTCAAAGGAACCCATCTAAAGAAGAAACAAAATGACACCCATTTAGCACGAAGTAATTCGCATAAGGGAGAAACAAATAAATATCTGTACAACCACAATCAGGTAAGCATTAGTGGGGAACGCGTACCATGGGACCACGCTGGAGAAACTGCTTACACGTACAGGGACAGAATCAAGAAAGGAACCCTCTCTTCAGACAAGAGACAGAACATGTTTAAGGAGTTAGTTAGTTCGAAGGGGAAAGAACAGGAGGTACAAGAACAAATGCAAAAAAACGGGGGAAAAAATGAGAAGAAAAAAACAAACAGTGATATCTTCTACAGCATAAGCAAATTAGAAAATGTTAACGAAGATGAACCGTTCGCTCACTTGAGAGGTAAAATGAACATCAGCGAGCACCACCAAGGGGAGGAAAAGGAAAATATAATTAAAAAGGCGAATTTAAATTTAGTCTTACAAAGCAGTGGTAGCGAAAGACAGAGTCATGAAGCTGCCTCCTCCGATGAAGAAGACTCTGCCAACGGTGTGGAAACTTTACAAAAGGAACATACTCTTCACATTTATAAACCAAATGTGAATATATTTGACCAAGCGTACGGATTTGAAAGCAAAATATCTGACATCCTCTCATCCGCAGATATTGAACCCTCGGGGCTATTAGTCGGAAGCGACGCCTTGTATGAATCCTTCGCTTATAAAAGTTTCGAAAATATCGACAATATGAAAAGAAGGATGCACCAGCTTAGCTGTAAAGAAGCAACGGATGATGCCAGTGGGGACTTGGATGAACAAAAATCTGCAGTAATAGTGAGTGGAGCAAAGAATGGTTCCAATTCAAAGAATGAATCCAACTCAAAGGATATAATGGAAATCCTTCGCTATAGCGATGTTGTCAAGGAGGGAAGTGGTAATAGGAGCAGTTGTGTTGAGGAGATTAAGGGGGGACAGGGTCAATCGCGCTGCGTCTCATCACCCATTTCAAACCATTCAACGGTGCATACGGCGGAGAAATTGAAAAAGGAGTGCCACTATTTCACGGGAAAAGACGCGCTAAGTTCAGGAAAGGAAAAGGAGATAAACACAGGTGAGCCGAATCCAAGTAGAGACCACCTGGGAAGCACACACATAGACCACCAAATAGGGAAGGATAAAAGTTACTTAAAAAGAAATTTTACCAATTATGAAATTTACGAGAGTTCAAGAATCCGCGGTGGTAGTGGTGAGAGAACTGGCACAAATGCAAAAGACCACTCGGGGGGAGACCGATCGCAGAACGAAGTAAGTACCCAGGTGGAAATGAATCTTTCCAATAAAACGCCCCTCTTCCAGGAAGAAAAAATAATACAATCTAAGTGTAGCACCAATTTTGGAGCAGCTCCCCTCGGAAATAATTACAAAAATATTAACCACGTGGATGTGCTCCAAGTTGACCATAACATGGTCACGAAAATGATGACCTATAATGAACCAGCAAGGAAAATTCCACTCTCCTGGACATATGGCGAAAAACTACAAAAGAATGTTGGAGGCGATGCGAACAATTCCTTCTTGTCCAGGGAAAAATCTTCCTCTCTGGTAAGCAAGAGCCCCATGGATTCGCAAAACGGTCCATCGAATAACCACATAAAAGGTAGGAACAAATCTGTCTACCCGAGCAACGTGGAAGGAGGCCAACAGAGCATGCCTCAAACAACTGAGCAAACGACGACGCGCAGTAATCCCTATCAGCAGCATTTCCTGAGAAGGGGAACAAGTGTGGTCACTGGTCCTCGAGGCGAAGAGGATACCTCTAATGGGGAAGAGAAAAGGGAAGATGATGAAGAACAGGTGCACCTGGACGAAGCGATCGAAGCAGACATAGACGAGGACGATGAAGACGATTTCTCTAAAGAGTTTTCCACAAAGGGGAAAGCACGGACGATTTGGAGACCTCCCAGGAGCCACACCAAATTGACCCTCACGGAGAGGATGCCCATCACCTTAGAAAACTCGCAAAGCACTGAAAGCGACGTGGAGGAGAAAAAGGGTACAATAAAAAAGTTCAATTTGGGGGGGGCAAATCGCTATAAGCAGGAAAATGAATTCAGCGCAGGAAGGAGAAAAAACAAAAAGTCTACCACCGTGAGAGACCGCATGATAAAGAACAGCGATCACATTTTCGACAACTCGGACTACATCAACCACTTTAACAGCATCATTAAAACGTATTCGTGGTCACCTGAAAATTTAGACATAGGCGAAAATAATTACTCTCTAAGAAAATACAACACGTGTATAGACACGGCTAGCACAGAAGATAGTGATGATGCATCTAAGATAACATACTTCGTGAAAGATGTCCTGGGAGAAAACTCCAATTCGATTTCTTCATCAAGCGGATACGAAAAAGTACACACGATGAAACGCAACAAGGAGCTCAGTCGTGAAGCAAAATTACATCATCTTTTAAAATCACGCAAAGAAAAGCCTAGCGAATACAATCACAAATCCGTTCATGGGGACGTAATGCAAAGTATGAAGACGAATACGCAAGAATCCTTCATTGAGCTAATCGAACAGGGCAACATTTTCCCCACTATCAGATACAAGAGGGACAGAAGTGATGCCCTCCACCGTAGTCTGCCCTCAAACGGTTACAACCGTTTGATGCAAAAGGGAGGGAAGTTATCCACAAGGGGCACATCAAATTATTCCCCTTCTTCCCACCATTCCAATTTTTCCAATTCCTACGACCAAGGTGAACTTCCGCAAGAGAGCAATACGCAGACGTGGGCCAGGAACGAACGTAAGGAGGCCTTCAAACTGCGCAGCGTGTCGGAGAATGGCCTCAACATGGAAGACATAAAAGTGTTCACAGATGACGGATTCAATGAGTATAATCTTTTTTACAACTGGAACGAACTCAATAACGAAGTTAATCATCAAATGAACAAAGGGGAAAATTATAAAAAAATATATTCCTCGAAGAAAAAAATGAACAGTTTAAAGCTCTTCAAAGGCAATCTTAACAACTCACGCAGAAGACTCCATTTAAGTGAAGACATTTATGTCGATGGTGGTAGCTCACAGGTCAAGCAAAATAATAGCAATTCGTCACCTTACAACAGCACAAAACGGATGCGAAGATCGATCACTATTGGGGATGTCAACTCGAGCAATTTTTCTAGCTTAGAAAAAAGAGGCAAGAAAGATGCAATCTCGTTGGTGAACGCATTGGGAGAGGAGACCACACGGAAGACACCCACTGTGAAGCCCGCGAACAGTGCGTACAACTCCAGTTACGAACTTAAGAACAGCTTAGCGAAAAGAGGACACACACAAAACAACAACTCGTCTATCATTTCATTCAATGAAGAAAAGTTTGTAAGAAACGACCTAACCATTGCAAAAATTATGCCGCGCTACGAATCGGTTCCTATAAATTCTAACTTCTCTTTCGAATCGAAATATACGGGAAATTTTTGGCAAAAAATGAAAAGCGGGGCACTTGGGGAGAGGACTAATCTAGAGGATGCCACGGTAATGGACTCCCCCACGGGGAAGTACCAAATAGAGCATGACAACTACTCGAACGGGGGGGTTGACACAGGTAGAAAAAACACAAAGACCAATTCGAAGGGGGGGGTAATGAAAAGTGCATTAAGCAAAAGGAAAAAATGGCTAACTGGGGGACAAACCGATACAAACTATTTGGCATCATACCTACTGAAGGATTCCCAAAAAAATTTTGTTCACGAATTAAAAAGAAGAGTGGCCGCAAAAAATGCCCAAGCGAATAAAAACCAAATGGGAAGCGACCCAAATGATAATGGTGACAACGAGGCGTCCAAAAAGAAGCCCCACATTGACCCCAAGAAGCTTACCAGCGCCATTCAAAATTTTAAAAATTACAAAAAAATTTCTCGTGACAATATGAAAGCGGTCCAAGTGCGGCTGCCAGCAAAAAAAAAAGACGCTAAGAAATACAGACCTTTAAAATTGCGCTACTCAGTGGACAACTTCTGCAATGTTATAAATAGCGAAGACGACGCAAATGAGGACATGTTCATCCACAGGCACGGCAAGTGAAGCCGCGGCAGTGGTTTTCGTAGACAGGGAGGGAAAAGGCTTGTTGGGGGAGTAGCGGGGTTCCAAACTGAGGTGGAAAAAGTGCACCCATATACGCACATCCATTATATCCATGCACAAGATGCATATACGTTGTATGACGCTTAACCAAGCGCTCGCCTCTCTCTTCCCAACCTTTTGTGCACACTCCGTTGAGCATCTTGCCCCAAGGTGGGCATCTACTTTTTTCGTCCTTTAAGCCTCATCTTGGGGTGGAACTACCCTTTTCCATTTTGGCAACGCCTCACGAAAAAGGGGGCACTCGTTGTGAAAGCAAAATTGTGTGAGTCATTTCTCCCCACCCGTTAATTTTTTTTTTCTTACCAAATTTTTGTCATCACAAAAAGAACGTAACGGCAACGACGTTGTGACAGCTCAAACGTTTTGCAAAATTGTGAATGTAGTTGGGAATTTCTTATGACTAGGAAAAAAAGGTTTAAGGGTGTCCACCGTTGCGCACAATAAAACGGAAAAAAAAAAAAAGCGAAGAAAGGAAAAGCGAAGAAAGGAAAAGCAAAGAAAGGAAAAACAAAAAAAGGAAAAACAAAGAAAAGAAAAACAAACGAACGAGAAGCCATACAAAAACACGCTGTGCAGAAAAACGAGGAAACAAATTAAAATCGAACAACGATCAGTGTAGCCCTAGCGTCCGTGCTTAACATGAGGGACTCACTCAAAAAGCAGGTCACAAATCGGGCTGAAGCGTCACGTTCTTACTTTCGAAAAAAGGCACTATGTTCCGTATGTCCATGTGGAGGAGACTATGCAACCATGACATGTCCCATGATACCATTTTAAAAGAGGGGGCGGCGAACAAAGACATTCAAGGGGTAGCACAAAAATGGAACCCAGAACAAACTAGAAATTTTTCTAGTTTAAGATGTATGGCAGCATGATAATGGAGTTCTTATCAATGCTAATGTCTACAAACAGGTTTCCTTTATTTGCAGGGATGGCCAAAATTTGCTTATTCCTATTGAGGGTTAACAGAATGTTGGGGGAATGTTTCGTCAGCTTTGCCGTCTGCCTAATGGTCTCTTTCGTGATGTTATTTATTTTCGACTTATCTACTTTTATGAGATCCAGGATGGCATCGCTTTTCACCCAAATGGTGTTTACGTCACTCTGCACTTCTTGGTAGTCCGCGATGGGGTTGTCTTTGTTCTCCACGCTGGCTTCGTTTTTGTTTTCCTCTTTTGCCTCGTTTTCGTTCTTCGCTTCAGCTTGTCCGACCTCCTCCTCCGCTTGGTCTTCCTCTTCTTTATCCGCCTTATCTTCGTTCTTCACTTCAGCTTGTCCTCCCTCCTCCTCAACTTGCTCTTCCTTTTGTTTATCCGCCTTATTTTCCTTCTTCACTTCGGCTTGTCCCTCCTCCTCCATTTTGTCTTCCTTTTCTTTATCCGCTTTATCTTCCTTCTTCGCTTCAGCTTGTCCCTCCTCCTCCACTTGGTCTTCCTTTTCTTTATCCGCCTTATCTTCCTTCTTCACTTCGGCTTGTCCCTCCTCCTCCATTTTGTCTTCCTTTTCTTTATCGGCATTATTTTCCTTATTCACATCTGCCTTATCTTCCACTTTTCCTGCCGCCTTAGCCTTAGCCTCTCTCCCCCCGGCCGCTCCCTTGGACAGGGTGCTCTTCCGCTGATCAATCAGCTTGTCCATGTAGGCTTCAAAGTCAAACACCCTCTGCTCATTTTCATAAACAGGAGCAAAATAACTCTTGACAATCTCCTCCCTACATGTCTTGTCCAGCAAAAATGTATCAACGTCTTTAAACAAGGGCAAGAAATTCAGGCACCCACTGTAGTTTATTCGGTAGTAGTTTTCCACTCCGTTCTTTTTATTCTTGTCTATCTGGATAACGGTGATCCCCGCACTGATAATCTTTAGTTTTATTTTTGTGTAGCACTCTAGGATATCCTTCGTGTGCTTGCTGACCAAATTTATCTTTTTGATGTTCACATTGATCCTCTCGTCGATCGATAATTTTGCAAAGTTGGAGTCATCCTTGAGGTGAATATATAAATTATTTTTAATGGACATGAAGTTGTCATTCATGTTGAAATAATTTTTTATTCTGTTTAGAAGGTCATGCGTTGGGCGCAGCTTTTCGTAGTACTCCAGACTCACGTACTCTTGTTGCTTGGTCATTTTGCGCTCCTGCCGCTGGCCTCCTCCCGCTTCTGGCTCATTTGGCACCCCATTTCCTTCTTCCTTTCCTGCGTCACTTTCCTCTTCCCTTTCGCTTTCCATTTTGCACTCCGATGTGCTGCCCACCTCGCCACCCACGTAACTGCGCAGCGCCTCCTCACTCTGCCTATTGATGAGACTTATTACCTCCCTGCCGTGTCCTCCAGTGGGCTGGAAACTCCTCACCATGTCGTCAGTGTCTATCATGTTGTAGTTATTGCTAAGGTCGTCACTGTCTATCATGTTGTACTTATTGCTAAGGTCGTCATTGTCAATCAGGTTGTACTTCTTCGTAACTTCGTTGCTCGTCACAACGTTGTAGCTAGTCATCACATCGTTAATGTCGATTACGTTGTAATTATCTTCCACATCGTTTTGGTCCACCCTCTGTGCGTTGTTGCTCATCATGTGTAAGTTACTGTTTGAAGAGGATAATGTCGCGTGGCCACTTTGCTTGGCCTGTTTGGGAACATAATCAGAAATGTGAACAATACCATCCATCGATTCGGCACTCCCATTTTGTTCACTACAATTTTGAACTACCTCATGGGAGGGAAAAATGTCGCCATTTTTTCCCTTGTCCTTCTTTTTGCTCCTCCTTTTATGTCTTCTATATTTGTACCTTTTCCCGTACTCGTCCTTATCGGCCTTCTTCAATTTGGTGTAAATTTTTTTTTTTTTTTTTTTTTTTTCTTCCTTCCACTGGAGCTTTCCGCACTTTTTAATAACGGCTATGAAGAACCCCCCTGCGTTGTAATGATGAGGAAAAAATCGTTTCACGTATTTCAAGTTAATCTCATTGATGAATTCCTCTTCCGGAGTAAACATCCCATGCTGTATTTTGTCGTAAATTTTTTTATATTTCCCATGTTCCTTATTTTGCAAATAATCACAATACTGTTCATACGTATCAAACCACTGGTCGTCTATCATCACTTTCCATTCAGTTAGTCCTTGTTTAAAATTTAATTTATCTATAAGTTCGTTCCCAAAATTGATTAATTTGAGACAGTTCCTATTTTCTAACGAATTGAAAACTTCACAAATGACGGCCTCATTTTCAATCGGGTTTAGCGAGCATGTGCTGTACACAATGTTCCCACCTTCCTTGGTCAATTCGATGGACCTTTTTAAAATGCTTACTTGCATTTGAAATAAATTGTAGGCATTAAATGGGTTCCAATTTAACCAGATATTTCTGTCCTTTCGCAGAGTCCCATCGCCACTGCACGGGACATCACACAAAACAGAGTCGAAGTACCTCTTCTCATTTGTATTTCCCTCATCATCTTTCACATAAATATAAGGAAAGTTAATCGCGTTGTTGTTTGTTACCACTAGACAATTGCTGTGTATATTTTTTAGCCGATGAAACAGCATGCAGCACCTCGTAAAGTTGGCATCATTCGCGATGACGACTCCGGTGGGGTTGTTGTTCGAAATCAGTTTCTTGTAGTATCCGTACAGATGGTTGTCTGCGTTCAGGATATACTTAAACAGTTCATCGTCGTATTCGTTTCCGTCTAGCGCGTCGTACAAGCTTCTGTGCAGCGGGTTTTTCTCCTCAGAGGAGGGATTTCCATGGCTGCTGTTCAAGCGGACGCCATTTTCGCTGAGGCCGTTGCCACGTTGGATGCTATCATGATCACTCACGCTGGTATCGTCGCCGCTCATGCAGCTATCTTCGCTGATTAAATTGGCGTTCCCTTCCCCCTCGAACGCGCGCGCGCCCTGAAGGGACCGGCGCAAAGGGGACGAGTTCCGCTGAATAAACTTCCGAATCAAATAATTTTTCACATTCCTTTTGCTAATGAGATGCATGTAATCCACAATCTGAGCCGTCTTAGAGCCAGGAGCTGCACACATGTCCAGAACAAAAAAATTCTCTTTCAATTTCAGAAACAACACTGGCAGCATGCTTACCAGCTCTTGTCTAAATATGTACCCACTCTCATTTAAGTTTATTAAATAGTTGTACAAATTTTTATAATTTTCATCTTTCTTAATTTGGGACCTCGTCAGGTATATCTCATACATCTGGTCCTCTTCATTCAACTTGGTAATCGCATAGTTGTCCTTGCAAAGATGTTCCAATTTTTTTCGTATATTTTCGTGAATAAATTTGCTGTACTTGTTGTTGTTGAGAACGCGAAATGTGATTGGTAATTCTGTGTTTATAACGGTCATAAAATTTTCCACTTCATTTTCGTTGATTATTTTTTGATGGATGTAATAGTTAAAGAAGTTTTCATTTTTCTGTAACAGGTTTCTGTTGTCGTAGTATGGGACGTGTTCCTTGGCCGACATGATTGCCTCCACTGGGGGTGGTGATGGTAGACGTGGAGTCTCTTTTTGTGCGTAGTCTTGAGCGTTCTTTTTTTTTTTTTCTTTTTGCCTCGTTTAATTGCCCCACCTATTATTATGAACAAATGGGGGGCGGAACTATTTTCGTTTAACTCGGCTAGCACGCCTTTCGCTCAACCGTTGTTACGGCCTTGTATGTAATTTTGTACGCCTCTGTTTGGCGGAAGAACTGCTGCATCATCATTTGGATGGTTTCGCAGGGTTCATGGTTTTGCAAGGTTCACGATTTGGGCTTATTATGCTTCTCTTTATTTTGCTCTGCCTTATTTTAATTTATTTTTTTTTCCCCTTCTATAATCGGCTTGCCAACTTGTACACTAATCAGCATCAAGTGACACTTTTAAAATACAATTTACAATCACCGTCGAATGTTGCCCCCTTTTAACGAATTCCGATTTCTTTCCTCTTCGTAGGTGCGATCTCCTGACAGTGCCACTTGGCTCCCTTTTGCTATCTGAAAATGGGGATTTATTTAATGCACAGAAATCTCAGTCATGAATACTGATTATGCCCCGCGCCTTTATTTTATTTTTTTTCCTTCCAATTTTGCAAACACTGCGCGGTGTAAATCTGTACATTTGGGCATACGAACCTGTGGGCGGTGGTTAAGCAGCGAGGAAGACTGAACAGGCTACATGACTGTTTTTTTTTTCTGCTTTATTTTTTTGCTTTATTTTTTTACTTTATTTTTTTATTTTATTATTTATTTTTCTTTTTCTTAACCCTTTTGCGGATGATCAGTAAACTGCCTTTGTGGTTATTCCTCACCAGATGGAAAGTGAAAAAACCTTTTCATCGACGCATCGCGAATTGACTAATCACTAATCGGTTCAAGTGAGATGCTTTCTTTAGCTCTTTTCTCCAAGTTGCAATATGATAGTTTTCATACTATCGGCTGCTCATTTACGGACATCCATCTTCCTCTCCATAAAAAGATACATCGCCCCGTTATTTATTTTTGCAAAAAAGAACTACGGTTACGTATCCGTATAGATCTGGCCTTTCCTAAGCACGTGTACATTTGGGAGATCCCTGTGCAGTAACTGGCCTCTCTCCGTAGGTCGTAACTAGGCCCCCTTCGAAATATGCACACGTAGCCGGTACATGAAAACGAGGAAAGCACCATTCGAATGCTCAAAGACGGTAGTTAGTTTCGTAAGAGCCCACATGGCAACTGCTTTAACTGACCAAAAGGAACAGAAAAAAAAAAAATCACTGCCGTGTTATCAGTTTTGTGCAGCTTGGCCCAATTGTATGGATAAATAAATGACCAATCGAATTGGACAAATGAGAAAAAAGCACATCGTTGAAGATTAATATGCCTTTTTTATTAACTCTTAAAAGTTAGCAATCAAGGGGAATAAACACATGTCTCATTACACTAATTAGCATTTTTTTTTTTTGTGTAGCACTTGGACATTTCACAGGTCGTACGTTCAAGTGCGAATATTTTTATGGCCTAACTGTTAGGCGTTTTATTTTAGGTAACAGTTTCTCGGGGTTTCTTTTTTTTCTTTTTTTTGTCCCTCTGTTTTGTTCTACCGTAAGTCCACATATCAACGTGTCTGAGAGGTATGCCAACCATTTTTGCATTTTGAAAGGGGGCAAGGAATGACAGAGGGGATTTCTTTGCCGTGACCTGCATGACATCCAGTTGAGAAGTTAAAAAAAGAAATGTATTCATGTTTACACACCTTGGGAAGTACCATGTCAACGCCGCCTAGCAAGCGGATATAGCAAAACATTCGTACTTTTCCGCGTCAACTTTTCTCCTTCAAAATGAAGATTACGTTTAAGTAAAGCATATTTCTCCTAAGAGGGGTGAACAAACCGTTTTTCGCATGCATTCATCATGCCCATTTGTAATAACGAAAGGTATACCAGAGTGTAAAGAGAAAAAGTAGGAAAAAATATAACGTAAGGGAAGAAAAGCTTTTGGGGAATTTATTTCCCCTTAGAATTAAAACTTCCCCTGACTCTTTCATCACAAGCCTCTTTAACTTTCATTTTTTGGATGACAATGTCCTATATGCGAAACGTCTGCAACTGTGTTACGCAGCATTTCGCCCTTTTCTTGGCGAGCCCCTTCGTGCGTTTTTTTTTTTTTTATCCTGCAAGATTTTCCTATACAATTTGAGTACATTTTCTGTACATTTTGGGGACTTTTTTAGTACCGTTTGGGTACAAGTTGGTTATATTTTGAGTCCCCCTGGCGCATGTTTGGCGATTCGCACTTTTTGCCTCTCGTGCATTTCGCCTGCCTCCACAGTTCCTTAACACCCACCCACCGCATGCTGAAATGTTACAGTTAAATAATGAGGGCGCTAGTTCGTTCCTCAGGCAAAAAATTTGCAAGTGTTAAGGGTGGTGCTTATTTACATGCGAACATGCAAAAATAAAACAAAATTAACATCGTGCAGTATATATTATGTGGAAAAAAAAGGAAAATGCACAAATGCAAATGTGTATATACATAAAGAGTTGCATAATTATGTGTTACACGTTAAATGCCGCGCGCCATGTGTTTGCGAAGAAGCACAAAATGCTCACACGAGCTGGCAACCCATTTTGAGCAAATCAAAAAAAAAAAAAGAAAAATTATAACAGAGAGAAATTCTCCAGGACATTTTTGTGAGAGCATACAGGATACACTTTTTTTTTTTTTTCTTTTTTCCTTATCATTTGAGTGAAAACTCGGCAATTAATTTTTTTTAGCCGTAGGGTAGTACTCCTTTCACGTATTCTTCTTTATGTCCATGAAGTAATATATATATTTTTTTTCGTTGGTAGGTGGATCCAACGCAGTAGTTACAATAGTTATGTGCGTGTGTAAATAGCACATGTGAGTGTCTATCTCCCTTTCCACTTTTACACCCATGTACACATATGAAAAGTAGCCCCCCTGTGGGAAAAGGGGCATTTTGTCTATCTGCCAGAGTTGCCCCTGAGTACATTGCTACATGTGGTACGCTTATTCCTCGTCACTGCGCAAATGTAGCCTTTTGTTTTTTACAAAACATCAGCACAGCACCTCTTTTCCATAACAGCAGTGTGTGCAGTGGCACACCATATTAGAAAACAGCTCTTCTCACCCTGTCTATGTCTGTTTCTTTGCCCCCCAGTTGACCAAGATGCGCGAGAAGGAGGAGAAGGGAGAGAGCAGGCGCTTCCTGTTTTCGAAACAGACAGACTGGAGTCGAATCAATTTTACCTTCCTAGTATTTGTACTGGGAATCAAAACGGTGTTTTGCACTTTACTATTTATATATAACCATGTGTTGCTCTTTTTTATATTCTTCATGTCCACAGTCATTTCGCTGTATGCACTGGTTGTAAACACCTTCAAGGCGTTAACCCTCTACATAGTCATTTTAACCTCTATCCTAACATCGATCCTTTTGTCGCTATTTGATATCATACACGTACAGTATATATCTAGCGTTTTTAAAGAGGTGTTCCTCTCCACCGTGTCATATTCAGTGCTACCCTTGTTCATATTAGAATTATTTGTAGCGATTATTTACACATGCTTGAAGAGGAGAAGAAAAGGATACATCGAAAGACGTTTAAGGGAATTAAAAATAATCATCGATGGAGAGAGAAACAAAGAGAAAGGAGAAAAACTCCTGTCGTTGCAAATCGATTTGGAGAAAAATGAACTTAACACCTATGACAAGACGTATAAATACTACTTGACTAATTACAAAAACAAGAAATACATCTGCATTGAGAAGAAGACTGATTATTCCAGTGACGAGGAGGATCCATGTCCCCATGACATCGGAAACGACTATATCGATTACAATGCCATTTCGTTCAAGTCCTCAACTTTGAAGAATCAGCAAAGTAGCAGTGGTAATAAAGTCTTCCAAGAGGAAAAAAACGCAAATAAAGGATCCACCAAAACGGATTCCCTGTCCTACTACCACGTCAGCGAGGATTTAAGTTTTATCCATTCCGGAATTAAAAAATATGCTAAACAGAACGAAAGAAGTAATGCGAAAAAGAAAAAATCGGCAGGAAACGGGAAAGGGGAAGGCGATACCCACACTGTTGATAGTTGTGGTGATGGTTATGGTAGCCACATGCACAGTGATAGCCCTCGCACGAAAGGTAGGAGGCGACAATGGAGCAATGACAAGCATAGCATTACAGATAAGGGATGTACTAACTTGGTGAATAATGAGACAGCAGATGACAGAGAAAGCACATCCATTATTTCACAACATATCCCGTCTCAAACACAGTTCCTAACGAAGCACATCGAAGGAAGTAATAACAAAACCATGTCTAACACATGGACGGAGACTCCACCAAATCATACAACAGATCAGAGAGAGAATTCCAAAAAGGGTTCTGCAGAATATATAAAAAATTCATTTTCATTGGAAAATTACGAAGAAGTAGATTATATAATTGAAAATTTTATCGAAAAGAACAAGGACGAAGGCAATACAAGTGTAGATCTCATGTTAGACTTCACCAAAGACACTGAACAACAAAATGGCGCAGAGGGTAATGCACAGATGAAGGACGAATTAGACATGGAAAGTAAAATCAGGGAAAAGAATGACGGCCTCGCACAGAAAGAGGTACCACAGGATGAGGAACCACAGGATAAGACGCCATTGGATGAGACCCCAGTGGGAGCATTCGACCTTACCCCGTTACCAAATGTAGAGAATCAGGCGGAAGAAACGAATGTACAAAATGACGAAGAAAAAAGGGATAATCTATTGAGAGGCATCACGTCCCAGGTAGAGGAAGAACTCATAAAAATGATGACAAGCCAGAGCAGTGATCACAAGGGGAGAATTTACGCAAAATGTACAGCTGAGGAAAAGGACTCTGGTCAATTTGCGGACGTAGAAGATCATCATGATGACATCTTCGCAAAGTTCGAAGCACAGCAGAATAACCAGGGGGGAGACCTTCATTCAACTGTCAGTGAGATGGAGGCAAACCAAAAAAACCACCAGGGAGCGGGAGGAGTGGACCCAAATGGCATACCTAACAGGACGGATAATCCCCTATTTTGCGCCCCCGCCAACATGGAGGAGGAAACAAAAAAAGTGGGTGCAACGAATGAGCAGGAACTTTTGATGGGTGAGCATTATGACAATTTCAAAAATGCAGAAATGGGTGCACAGGAAATTTCCCCAAATGAGGTGACCCCCGTAATTAGCCCCACAAATCAAGCGGGTGAGCACAGCGGAAAGGTAGTGGCTACGCATGATAGAGAATCCTACCTGGAAGGGGAGATCCAGGTGGATGAAGAAATCAAAGAACATCAGGAGGAGCAGTTGGAGGAGCAGTCAAAGGAGCCTCCCACGGAACAGCCGTCGGAATTGCCATCGGGGGGAACTTTCCAGTTACCCATCGAGTTTTCGTCCTATTTACCCGTAAAACATCCACCCGAGGAACCATCCCAATTACACATAGAACATCTCGCAGCCCTTCCAAGCTGCCCTGCGTCAAGCATGCCAAACGGCAAAGAAGAAAAGGACGATGGGGGTGAAGACAACGAGGACAGCCAAAGTGACAAAACCTCGGAGTCGAAAAAAACACATGAAGGTGAAAAGCAGATGAGAAATTTCCTCTGTACCAATTTAGAGGAGACGAACCTTCTTAGGAGTGCAAATTACGCGATAGATACTAGCGAATGGATACCTCTAGAAAAAAAAGACATAGAAATGTTGAAGAAATCTGTTAACATCAACAACATTGAGCACATACCAATTGATGATTTTTACACAAAAAATATAAAAGAACGTGGTGCTAATCTGTTTTCCTACTCCATTCATTCGAGTAACATCTCTGAATTTCTCAAAATCGGGGTGGACCAAAAGGCATGTGCTAGCTGGGGTGCGCAACAAGAAGAGACCCTCATCAACAGTGACGACATATGCAAAAAAATAAATTTCGCAAATTTGGAAAATATGAAAAATAGTTATGTCACCCTTTTTCATGATTCACTTAACCCCCCAGGGGGTCTTAACGAAAACGAAAATGTCACCGAATGGTTGGATCACCAACAGATGGGGACCTCCCATTTCGACTGTAACGAAATGGTTTCAGTACACGAATCTTCTCATGTGGAAGGACCTGACCAAACAGGTGAAAAACACCCATCGAATGATTGGCAAACGGGTGAAAAGAACCCATCGAATGACTTCCAACCGGGTGAGGACTCCCATCAAGACTGGAGTGAAAAGAAGGAGCTCGATGATGGAAAAGAAAACGAGTCCAATGAAAAAGGCTCATATCCATTCGAACAAGTACACATAAGTAGTAACGCCTTCAGCTCTAACTTGTACACAACGGAACACGGGGAGTATAGCAATTACGAGGAGGCCATCAGGGACAACTCCAACATTGCAAAGGCCTTTCTCAGTAGTGGCATGTATGGGGACAGGGGCGAAATGGGAAGAAGTAACATCAGCGATGAACTTCCCCCAAGTAGCTTCGACAACCCGAATTATAATATCATCCTTAATTACAGCAGTTGTAATGATGATATCCAGAGTGTGCCAAATAGCTCCCTCATTATTGTCAAGGGGGAACATGGCACGGAAGAATCAGAGAAGTCGACAAGCATCTTCAATCGGGGGAGCTACCCGAACAGCGATAACACCAATGAACATGCTAAATGTATGGACGATAAAGATACGAATAAAAAACAAAACGACACGGAGAACATTGCAAGTAATGACATGTGCCAGACGACGTCTATATTTAAACAACGGAAGTTTTTCTTCGAGAATTTAAAAAAAGACAAGTCGTTGAGCAGCCATCCTGCAAAAATGTCGATCAGCAATGAAAGGAACGTCCTCAGAAAAGTAAGCGGCAAAAGTGAGGGCGAAGTCCTCAACTCCAACTCGTCCATAAATCAACACAAAAAAGGGAACATCCCAGTAGAAGAATCAGATGTGAGCAGTTCCACCCCCGATGCAGAAGCTAACCAGACGAACACAAACCCCCCTCCAGAAAATTTTGCAAAGTTAAAGAAAGCGAAAAATATAAATGACAATTTTTACATAATAAATGATAAGCTCAAAAGCAGCAAAAAGGAAAAGAAGGACATGTCTGTTATGGGCATATCTCCAAATGAGCAGCTGACGCCCTCAAACGATCTGGCAGGTAGCAGTACACCCGATCTATCCAATCAGGTTAAAGAGAACGAAATGGGAAAAGCAAAAATCATCGACGAAATGGAAAAGGTACAAATCATTGAGGAAATGGCAAACTCTGAGAGTAACCAAAACATCACGCAGCATTTTGTCATTTACGATCAAAGCGATTTGGCAACGCCCAGTACAAAACTCGGTGAAGGAACACCAACCATGGGGGAATCACACAACTTGGAAAAAAAAAAAAAAATCGAAGGAATCGCACCCAACACCGTAATCACCGTGAACAACTGCACTATTAATTCGAGTGCGGGCATACATATAGAAGACGGCAAAAAAAGTATGTTCAGTTCGGCTACCCAACTGATTAAAGATATTTTCATAAATTCGCGAAATGCGGAAAAAATTATTCACGATGTAAAAACTGAAGGAAGTTATCACAAGGTATCTCTCCTTAGCCAAGTTAAGGAGGTTCCCACGTTTGGCAACAGTGAAGAATCGAGCTTCCAGCACAGGAAAGAAAAATTCACAGAATTAAAAAAGGAAACCACTCCTATGAACAGCAATCCTCTGAATGGCACCCCCCCCGTGGAAATTACAAATTCGAAGCTGAGTGCATTCGCCGACATGAACTCAGACCATACGAAGGAAGTCTTTCCAAGCGAAGACATGCCCAGCGAGGTGATGAACTCGGAAGCGTGCCCCTACTCGGGCGGTTTGTTGCCCCTTGGTGATAAATCACTTCTCACGGGTTCTACACAGTTGGACAAATTTAAGGACGATTTTTTGAATATTAATTCCTGCGACAGCAGCGTCATGTATAGGGACTACATGGACGCAATGAATTCCGAGGGTCGGCCGGAGGTGGAACAGGTGGGAGAGGCAAAAGTGGAAGGGGTAGAAGTTGAAAAAGTAAAAGAAGAAGTGAAAAAGGCAAAAATGGACGAGGTGCAAGTGGATGCAGTTCCAGAACTGGTAGAAGTTATTTCCGAACAGATGAAAGTTCTTTCTGAGCCGATGGAAGCCAATTCCAAGTCAGTGGAGGCACCCCACGAAAAGGCAGGTAATAACTTCCCACATGGAATATCGCACTCCGTCGAGGAAGAGGCAGATGCACACACGAAGGAGGGGGCTAAATCAACCGGTCCAAATGACGCAGCTCTGGATAACGAAAATCTCCACGTGTTGGACGATCTGCCCACACAAAAGGCACATCTAGAAATGGAAAAAACAAACGCTTTGGGGAATTCGAACCCTACGTGTGACGTATCATCCAGTGTGCACACAGATAAGCATGAGGCGGGCGAGCCCAATGCCGCAAGTGATCATTTGAAAGAGGACCAATCACCCGACACTGCAACGGACGTGAAGGAAAATTACACAAACGAAATTTGCACAAAGGATGTCGCAGATGAACAACCCTTTAGTGATGACAAGCAGGAGGGAGAAGAGAAGCCCAACCAGGAGTTAACTGCCAAGGAAACATTGCAAGAGGAACTCACAAAGGACAACTTCGAAGGGGACGAAAGAGAGCCAAGTTATCCACACGAAGAGGACAATCCAGTGGGTGACGCAGCTATATATGAGGGTAACGAAGTACCCCCCCTAAAAGAGCAAAGAGAGGACATCACTTCATCGCCCACAGAACAAGCCCTAGACAATTTAGAAAATGTAATAACCCCACCCATGGTAGAAGCAAGCACCGGGGGTGGCGGACCAAAGGAGGAAGTGGCCTCAGATGAAGAAAACAGCGATGACGAAATTGTTGACCATAATAACCATATGGATGCCTCTGATAAGGCAAAAGGGGGGCTAAGCGAAAATCAAAATGCATCCAAGCTTAACCACGAAAAGGCTAAGAATTATAGAAACAGAAAAAACAATAAACGGAGGAATAAAAGAAGATGAGCAGTCACGTCTCGAATTGGATGTAGAAATGGTCAGCAATATACTGGATTCATGTTAACATATATTAGTATTCCAGAGGGAAGTTACAAAAGAAGTGAAGCCCAGCCTGTCACTCGGCAATGAACACCCAAATAAAGCAAACGGCATATTAATTATATCACTTCGAAGTTATTAAGAAAAAGAAAAAAAAGAAAAAAATAGCTCCATATGTGATGCTTAAAGGTGGAGCCTAATCACACAGATGACATTTTTTAGACATTTTTTGTTTCCCCCTTTTGGAACTTCCAACCTGCTTGATGCTTTACCATGGCGCAACATCGCCTTTGCACAAAAGTTCTCAGTGAGCTAGGCTTAGAATTTTTTTTTTTTATAACTTTTCTTTTATAACTTTTTTTTTAACTTTTTTTTTTTTTATAATTATATTTCTTTTTTTTTAAAGCACTGGAATATTATTTTATTCCTCATGACTATCTTTACAGCTTCATTTTTTGTTACATTTCCAAAATTGTGCTTACCATATATGCGTATTATCAAATGGGAAAATTTTTTTTACTTTTTTTTTTTTTCCACTTCAATCGTTTTTCCTCTATATACAGAGCACAGTGGAGTGTTCATATTTGGACAGCATATATATCGTAGGCTCAAAAAATTCGGTAAAACAAAATGTGTAAATAGATGTGTGCACGTTTGCCCATTTTGATGTCAATACGACGCCTGCTCTGTTCACCTCCAAACGTTACTCGCGGGGAGAGGCGTAGACGCGCACCCTCTACAGGTTTGCACAAAAGGGGGCTGCACCACCACTGGGGATCATATTTGGGGAAAAGGAGCCAGCTTATGCGACAGTGCACCCATATGTGTATCCGCACATATATGTGTGAAGTACAGATGCTGTAGAGGCGCACTTCCCCATAAGTACGAGTAGCCAATGTTTTGGAGAACCAATATGTGCACATATTTGTTGCCCTAAGACAGCCTTTGGAAAGGTGGGGAAATTTCTACATGCTGCTCCCGAGTCACATTTAAAAAAATGCTTAAAAGGGGGTGATTATAGGGGGTGCTCAACGGGGGCGAAGTAACGAGTGCGGCCATTGTACACACCGTGATTATATGCGCTCTTCCATGATACATGTGTACTCTTTTGCGATTATGTAAAATTTGCACAACTGGGACAATCATGCTCAAAAAGGACGTGCAGAGTTAGGCCTCTTGCGCAATTGTGCAGCCACGCGATTTGAAGAAACGCCTCCGTTTTGCCTTTTTCTATGTGCTCCTGTAATCCTCTCAGAATTTCCGCCTGTGCTCGAAGCTTCCCCACATGTGCATTTGAACAGAAGCTGTTCTTCGTCAAATTTGGTTTTTACAGTTCCCTCATGGCCCCGTGAACGTGAAAAGGGTGCAGTATTTCTGCGAAGCATTATACGTGTGTGTTTATTAGAGCCATTCATGATTCTATTCCTTTATGTTTTTTTTTTTTTTTTTTTTATTCTTTAGTGCATACATTAATGTGTTTGTATTCCTCTGGCCCATATTCTGCGCGATGGACGAGGCCACTGAGGAATTTTTCCACCACAGGCTATGCACAAATGGTGACGCTCATAGGCTAATTATTTTTGTTCACTTCGCACTTTACGTGCCTACCATTTTGTGCTACCTTATTTTATGTACCTCGCTTTTTTTTTTGTCACCCATTTCAAAACCCACTTGCGCAAAAGACATTTGCGGCATTTCATCCGATCGTTAACGCGCCATTCGATCTTTTGTTTAACATTTTCTAGTGAAATGTTTACGTGATTGTGTTGCTTTTGGTTGGTCCCCCCTTTTTTTTTTTGCAATCCTTGTGTATTGTGTAGCACAGGGGGGGAGATTTTTTTAATTTTTTTTTTTTTCCCCCTCCCATGGGAAAATAAGTTAACCCAAGAATTTTTTTTTTGTTTTTTCTAAATGGATACATTTCACACCCTTTTTGAGAGACCTCTCTTCGCTGCGCCTCGTTATGCATTGTTTTAAAAGCACCTACGATTTGAAGTTCGCAGTGTTTGAAGGTAAACTCCTTCACCCCCTCCCCCCTTTGGCACGACGAAGCAGAGAAGGGGCCAGGGGAATTCCTCTCTTCCGCGAGAAGCACGTAAAAGGTGTTCCACCAGTTTGTAACTTGGGAATTATTTTTCCACCCACCCCAATATTTTAACAACTGCCCCACCATGGAACTGGAACACTTCGACATCGGCATAAACCGAGTGGAGCAGAGAGAGGAGAAGGTCTACTACGTCATCCTAATTCAGTACAAAGATCTCAAGTACGAAACCAGTAGGAGGTACAGCGAGTTTGAAGAGCTCCACTGGGAGTTACTCCACATGGGTTTTTCAGCCCTACCAAAGTTACCCAAAAAAAAATTAATGGCCTACAAAAACGCAGAATATATAAACTACCGAAAGAAGGTACTAAATTCTTACATGCACAATTTATTTATCCGAGCGGACGTGAGATGTTGTGCTGTGTTTCTGAATTTTATTTTATTTTACGACAAAATTAATTTGTCCGTGGATGTCGTAAGAACCAAACTGCTAAACAGCATAGGATCACAAAAATTTTCCATGAGCGATTTGTACATGAACGAAAAATACAATTTTATCATTTGTGTGTATGAAGATAAGAGCAATTTGAGCAAGTTGGGAAAATTGTGGTCCATTATTGAGCCAGACATAGTTGGGGAGATAAAAATCTTCACTTATAATAACGACTTGACATCCACCTTTTGCGAAACGTACAAAGAACAAACCGTATATAAGGCTCGAAACATTGTGTGTGCAGAATCGAAAAGTGAAGTGATTATATCAGGGGATGATGGAAAAATCCACATTTATAAAATCGACATGCAATTGCTAACCCTAACTTATGTAAAGTATATTCCTTGCCATAATGACACCATTTTAAAAATGATGAGTTTCAATTCCGAATTATTTTGTACTTGCGGTTATGATAACGCATTCAGATTGTTGCGATTTCGTGATTATAAAATTCTGAGTGGGGGACGATGCAATAAACGTTTGGACAAGGATAAAATTACTACATGTCACCTGCTCAACTATAGCAATATTGTCCTTGGAACGGACTGTTCCGTTTTCTTTATTTACAATATGATGACCAATCCTCCCCTCTATCTAGACACGAAGAAACTTAAAAATGGCGAAAAAATTAACTGCTTCGCCAACACGGATAAGTACCTATTCATAGGTTACGACAACATCATTGCGTGTTACAATTACCATTATAACAGTGAGGCAAAAAATGGGAGGGGCCAAATGTTAAGTGAGAACTTCTCAGAATGTGTGTCTACCCAGGACCCGCCTGGCGGTAGCCACACCGATGCGCAAATGAAGGAAAAGCAACCGATACTCACCAAACTGATAGTAGACAACAACATGTCCGCGCAGTACGTCCCACCATTGCTCTACGACAACATTGTTTTGTCCCTAAGCGTTAACAAAGAGAAGAAAGTACTCTACGCAGGGTATGAAGACGCAATTGTTCTCTGGTCCATAACGAGCGGTCTGATCATTTCGGCCTTCCATGGGCATACAAACGGAGTGCACTTTTTAAATTTTTCGAGCAGCTCAGATTTTTTACTCTCAGGGGGAGATGGGGGAAATTTAAAAGTATGGAAAAATGACATAGATAATTTTCGAATATGGAAGCCGAAGAGGAGGAGTTACAAACCCAACAAATCGGCAGGCATCGCCCCCCAAGCACTGTACGCCGAATCCTCCGCCCACAAAAACAGTCAGAATAACAATTTCCATTTTAACGAGAGTGAAGACGGTGACGATGCCGATAACAGAAGCAATGCTCAAAGCGAGTCCATGTCTATTGACCACTTGTTGGGAGAAGCAAACAACAAATGCGACTACCAAGTGTATGATACGTCCAACTACAAGAAAGACCTAATTAATTACAACGAATCGACAAATGTAAACAGTGTTAACTCCTCCAGGAGTAACCTTTTTTACGATAAAAGTTTGAGTAATGCACCGCAGGAGTTTCTGTCCGATGCGAGTAATCTCGATGTGTGTATACTCACAAGCAGGGAAGACAAACACCGAACCGGTAGCTACGACTCTAACGTTGATGCAAATTTTAGCAAAGGAGATAACTCCTTTCACGCACCACATTATGACCAGGACTTTCAACAGAATCATGGAGATTACTGCGTAGCAAATGAGGATCTAATGTTCGACCAAGGTGGGCAAAATGGGGAGCGTTCCCAGCATGATCAGTATAACCTGCCTGGTCACAACGATTACGGCGTGGCTCCCATTGCACGACATGGATACCAAGCCGCCTACGAGAAGGGAGGTTCCCGCGGAAAGACACAACACGATGATGGTCAGCATAACGATGGTTATCATAGCAATGGTCAGCATAGCAATGGTTACCATAGCGTTCCTGAGCGAAACGTGGGTCATCAGAGGGACGTGTATCGAGCAAATTACAACAGCGCCACTGCCCCTCAGACGCAGCACAACTCTGACGGGGGGGAACCGAATTCGATGCATATGAAGCATAATAATGAGGACGACCAGTTCAATAACTTAAAGAGGGACATCGTTTACGTCAGTGACGAGGACGATGATTTGATTTTAGCCTTTAGGTAATCCCCTTTTTTTTTTCTTTTTTTTTTAAGTTAATTTTTGCATTCCCCGCTTATCTGCGGAAGGCATGCCACCTGTGCACCAGTTGTGTGCCCCTCTTGGGGCCAGTTTTGTTTCACCTTTACACCTCCTGCATCACGCGGCTGCATCTTTTCTCCTTTTTTTTTTTCTTTTTTTTGTTTTTTGTGTGATAATATGTGCCCCTCATCATCTGCGGAGGCGGCCATTTCTTTTGTGAGCATCTAACCTGCTTCATGACAACGCCTGAGGAACTCGCACTGCCTAGTTAACTCCTCTTCGCGTGGGGAATTGTGTCCATGCGCGCGCTCTTATCGGAGGTGTAACCATTTGCAGAGGCAGTCCGTCGCATGCGCTTATCCTTTTCTGGCTTTTTCCCAAACGTTAACACACCTTTGCAGCGACCATTTGCAGACCACAATAAGACAACTTTCAAAGATGAATATATTTTTTTGTACAAAATTTTAATGAAATCAAGTTTTTGGAGAGAAAAAATTACAAAAACATAGGGTACTAAAAAAAGAAAGGGGTATCTTGTGGGACAAGGTGTAAAATGTGGTTGGTAAATCTTCACAAAAAAAATCGGAAGTGCCTAGGCCACCGATTTGTGGCATAAACACCAAGGGGGGAGGGGAAAAAAGAAAAAAACTGAGCGATTGATTTAGTGGGAACAACAAATGAGCGTGGATCAGGTAGTGCTAAGGTAACCCGTTCCAATTTAAAAAATTGAAAACAAGTGGGAAACATTTAAAAAAGAAGAAAGGAGGAACCGTTCTGCGAAGATGGGCGGAGGGAAGGCGCGTTCCTCCTGAGGAATACACTTGCAGCTTGCATGTCACATATGCTGTCCCGGAATGGTCAGACGAAAATTTTGTTTTCCAAAATTTCGGAAACGCTACTATACTGATCGTCGAGGTCGAGCGATAAAGACCGCTTCAAAATTTCAATCAGGTAAATATTTTTGGCATTGATTTTGATCTGATTAAAATCTATTCTGATGTTCCGAAGTTTCTCAATTTCTTTCAAATTGTTGTCCAGGAGGCAACTATTTTTGCAAAAATAAATATTATTGTGCATTAGGTGTACGTCCATTAATTTTACAAAATAAGTGCAGGTTATGTTATGGAACAGGAAGGAAAAAGGAATGACTATGTCCTTATTTTTGTTAATCACTTCATTCTGCCATTTGTTGATACTTTTCTCTTCAAACAGATAGGGGAAATTTTTAAAAAGAATTAAAAAAATAGTAACTCCAATGCTATATATGTCTGTCTTTATGCTATATATTCCCTTCAAGCAGTACGGAGACATATACTCTTTTGTCCCAATAATCAGATCGTTGTAAATCACTCTGTCTCCTTCGTTAATGAACGTCTTCTCCGTGTTGCCTGTGCATGCAGATAGGAATCCATTCTCTATCTGACTTATATAATTGTAATTAAGGGACGTCGTTTTTTTGTTGTTCTTGTGAATCTTTATATAACTATCAGAGTAGGAAGGGTACATGACACAATTTTTTTGGTCCTCATTGTTTCCGATGACTTTGTTGGCGTATATATTATTGGAGTCGAAGTTGTTCGTCAGGAACTGGCTTCTGCGCAGCACATTGCTCTCCTTTTTTGTGACGTCCTCGCTCATGATATATTCGCAGTTGCATGAGTGCTTTGGAAGGGACTTATTCACTTGCACGGAATTGGCGTGCACGCTGTTTTGGGCGAAGCTGGGATTGGTCAAGCTTCGATTGGTGGAGTCGGCTCTGGCGTAGTCCCCTTTGGGGCAATCCATTTTGGTGACATTCACTTTGGCGGCCTCGCCCCTCCTCCCGCAGTTGCCAAAATAATTCTCATCGAACCCCTCCTTCGTGTCGCTGCCATACAGGCAGCTGTCCCCCCAAACAGGCACGTCAAGCTCCCCATACATGTAAACACTCATGTCAAAATCAATTATGACCAGTTTCTCGCAACCTTTGTCCTTGAACATGAGGTTGTCCAGCTTAATATCTCTGTGAATGATCGAATTGGCATGCAGAGCGTTAATTCCGTTCAGTAGTTGGCAAATAATATCTTTCGCCTTCTCGAAAGCAATTTCTTCCTTGGACACATATTCGACAAGGTCTGTACCTTCACATAACTCCATCACGATGAAGAAGTGAGAAGGACTCTCCAGCACATCATAAATCTTTACTACATTATCGTTATTAATCTTCTGCACAATTTTGTAAATACTTAAATATGTACTGTAACTCATAATGGAGAGTTGTTTTTCTTTGTTCACACTTTTGATGGCCACGTATCTTTTGTTGTTTGTGTCGAAGCATTTGTACACAAAATTGGAGCAGTTATCTTTTATCAGCTTCACCATTTTGAAGTTGTTCTTGATGTGCTCGCAGCTTCGTAGGCACTCCACAAACCTGTTTCCGCTGGGGAAGACACAGTTCAGATCGTTTTGATTTATGCCATCTTTGTAGCTGCTCCGATATATCAATTTATTATCCGTATGGTCTCTCTTTTTTTCGCTCTCCCTGGGGGTATCGTATCTTCTCTTGTGCGTTCCACTCTTGTCGATCATCCAGAACGGGTCCTTTCTTCCATCGCCATATATTTCGTGACTTCCTTCTTTCCTTCTTTCCTTGTCCCTCACTAGGTTATCAGAGTTCGTTTCAAAGGGCTTATCAGCATAGACATATTCCTCGTAGCTGTCATATTCAGGGAGGGTTGTCTCCCCTTCCACTTTGTTAGCCCGTTCAATTTCCTCACTCTTAATGTCCTCTCGGAAATACGATTGCCACATTTTTGTTGCTCTTCCAGGGTGATTTCTATTTTTTCTTAGATTGAACGTCTTGTAATTATTATTTCTGTTGTGTGCTTCCTTGACACTTATTTTTTTCTTTCGCCCAATAGGGCCATACGTCCTACTGTGCATTTTTTTGACGAGAGTTTTACCTCTAGATGTGAGAAACCTACTGGACCAGTTACCGGCTCGTTTTGCTCTGCTCATTCTTCTGCTTCCTAGGGAATACCCCAACTCAACGGTGCTATATATTTTGTCCCGTTTGGCTACCTCCTTTGTTCCATCAGGCGTGTCCATGGAGCTGTTCTGGGGGTTCCCTCCTCGTCTGTTTCTACCTGTACTCGTGTCATTCGAAATTTTCCAGTTTAGTGTTGTGTTTCTCTTCTGTCCACCCTTTATCGTACCAATGGAAGAAGGGTTTTCCCTCGATTCCTGACAAAAATGAGTCCCCACATTATTTTCTTTAAAAAAGGACAGAGTTGCTTTATCAGAATGCCGTCCTTTGTGGCGCCCTTTAAAGGACTGTCTCCTCCTATTGAGGTTCCCGACAGTTTCATTGGTGTAGTCATTCTTTAGGTTGACCCTTCTTTGTAATGGCGCATCAGTGGTTATAATAGTCCCCCGATGACACTTCTTCTCCGCCATACCAATTCTTACGACAGCCTTTCCCATCCTGCTCATAATGCAAAGAAGGGAGCTATCCACAATATTAACGTACCTTTGACATAATTCAATTATACTCTTTAAATATCTATTTTTGGTAATTCTGTTTTTCATAATTCTGGTGATGTCTGCGTGATGGTAAGGTCCCATGTTGGTCTGATCACCAAATCTCTTGTGTCTAATCTTTTCCATTTCTAGCATGTGAACAACGCGCAGACTTCGCTTAAACAGTTTATAGAACAATCGTCGTGATCTCCTTTTACGAGTTTCCAAAATGGGATCACTATAGATGCACTTGCTCCGGTTTATTTTGCTCATTTGGCGCCTATACAGGTGGTGTAGTTGGCTCCACAGGGGTGTGACTTCCCGTGATTCACTTCTCCACTTGGCAATATGCTGTACTAAATTGATGGCCCTCTGATTCTTCCTCTGTGACAGGAAAAAGCGCACAAAACAGATAAACCTCATGATATCTTTTTTTATCTGTCCAATTCGGTGCTGAGCTACTAAGGTGAGGTAAAGCCTATCCAGCGAGTAGTTCGCATTTATGCCTTTCCGCCTGATTAAGGTCCTTCGACACGGGGCATATTTTCCATTCTGTTCACACACAGGCAGGAGCATACATGAGTAGCGAGCTTCTTCCTTCCTGTGTTGATTATTCTGTTCGATGTGATGGTTCACCTTGTGGGGCTTCCTTTCGATGCAGCAGTTCGCATCAGCTGCTTCCTCCAAGGAATTGTTGCCACACCTCTCATTTATATAACCATTGTGATAGCTACTGAAGTTGCAAATGGAAAGGCAGATAGAGTGGTAAGATCCATTCGCATTACGCTCCACCACCGTGGTATCAGCAGTCGCCCCAATATCTTCCTCTGATTGTACTTTTCCCAAAGCAGGTAACACCTCCTCCTCTGGATCATTTTCGAGGGAACTAGTCCTGTTTCTATTGGTGCTATTCGAATGAGTTCCCTTCAGAGCATCTGTTTCTCCCCCTGTCTCCTTGTGCACAAGGGTGTTGCGACTTCGGGCGCACTTCTTTTTCTTCCTCTTCCTCTTAACTATTTCCAGCAAATAGTTACACATAAAGCATTTATGTATCTTCATGTTATGGTGTAATAATTTTTTTTTTTTTTATTAAGTTTTGAACAATTCCTGTGAAAAATGCTGAGAACTTTGTTCTTCATAATCCTAAGGTTTGAGGTGAGTCAATTTTGTGTGAAGAGGGGGCTGGAACTATCCTATACTGGTAAATGCAGACAAAAACAGCTAAATAGACTGGGGCAAAACGCTGAAGTGAAAAAGAATATGTAACTCTAAATGTAAGTGCAAATGGGAGCTTAAACGAGAAGGTTAACTATATACACCTAGCGAACTAGGTCAAAAAAAAAAAATGTTAATGATCATACAGAATGAGTTAGTATTTTCTTTGTGATTTATCTTCTGCTGGGTTGTAGCCACCTGAAGGGCTTCGGCCGACGGATGCGCTATGTGTCATGTCTGTATGTCGTGCGCTCGTTTCGTCTCCCTTTCGTTCTGTCTTTCTCTGTGTGTTTGTTTGTTTGTGTGTTTAGCGCTTAGAAAATGAGCTCCTATGCATGTATATGCGCGGGCTCGAATGGCAAAATAGCAAAAATGCAGAGTTATCAAGATTGTAAAAATGCAAAACGGCAGAATGACCAAGCCGCCAAACTAAACGTTCGAATGGAAACGTCCTCTTCTCAGGAGGCTAGTGCGAGTAACCCTCCGTTTGAGGGAAGCAGGAAGATAGCGCGACGTCCGCAGCGCGTCGCTCGGTGCACACCCAACGGGATATGTATCCTCGGTTGAAGTGTAGCAGCTTTCCCCTTGTCTGTTTTTTGCGTTATTTATTTTTTCTTAAGATAAAGGAAATGTTAAAAATGAGAGAGTATCATTCTTCCCGAATTGCGATTTTTTATTTTTTATGTTTCATTTTTATCTTATATTTTGTAATTTTTATCTTCTTATAGTTTACGCTTTCTGTTCTTAATTTTTAATTTGTGTTTTTACTTTATTTTATTTTACTTAATTTTTTTTTTTTTTCGCGATATTGTACTTTCGTAAGCGAGTTTTACAACTTTGGAAAAATTGCCGAATTTTTCTGATTTTATTTCTACGTAAAATTAGATTTTTCCTTATTTTCCTTAAATTTACAAAAGTGTAAATTTCCTATTTCTCGCGAGAAATTAAGTGAAAAAATGATCTTGTCTACGGTATTTTCATCCATAAGAGGAAAAAAAAAAAACCTCAAAAATATATTTAAAAAAATATTCAAAAAAATATCCAAAAGAATATTCAAAAAAATATTCAGAAAAATATTCAAGAAAAATACATCAAAATAAACTGCATTAAAGTAGATTGTCAAAAAATGCACATAAAACTTGGCGATGTGCGTGCCGGTAATTTGTTTTTCGTTTAGCGGTTATTTGTTGCCTCCTTGGCCCATCCCTTTTTTTATTCACTTTCTTTATTTTATTTTTTACAACTTTGATTGTTTTGCCTTTTTTCGTTAAATGATTAAGAGGTCGCCGTGACACTCTCCACCTGGGGTTGCAATTAGAATTGTGCACCTAGACCAAGGGGGAAACTGCGTGAGAACAAAAAAAGGGGATACGGAGTTGGCACTTGACACGTTTTGCGTGTTGTACACACCCTGCTCGCTTTGCACCTTTCTCCCAGTTTACACCATTCGCCCCCTTTACAACACAATTTGCACTTCCACCTTCGCCCATCCCGAATGTCCTTCCTCACAATGGTGTTGGCTAACAGTATTTTAAGCAAATTTGTGCGTTAAGAATTACATTGGGGGGAGGGTACACAATTACAAAGTTTATTTTATTTATTTTTTTTAATAAATGGAATGGTTGTTGACGGCATATAATGCGTCATGTACGCACACATATACGCTCAATGTGTGCAGTAGTGAAAAAAAAAAAAAATTCACACAGGGCATATACAACATGTGCCGTACACGCACACACAAGAAAAAAAGAAGGAAAATCTGCGTACTTGTATGGCCTTACGAAAATTGCAAATTTCTGAGAAGCTTATATTTTCCCATATGGAGTAGGAAAATAGGCGGTCATGAAAAAGGCTAAGGCAAAAAGCCATTCAGGGTGGCTACTTTGTACCACAAGATCTTGCAAAATGCGCATCGTGTGTGACACAGCACATTCGGAACTCGGTTCTGGCTGTATGCAACTACGATAAGGAAAAAATCTTCTGGCCTATTGCGAAAAAGTGCGGGCACAAGGGGGGGAAAAAAAAAGTAAACAAAAGAATTTAGCAATGTGGGGAAAAGGGGTAGTGCTAGTAGTAACAATCGTAGTAGCAGTAGTCCTATGTATGCTCACATGGACGTATACATACACAATATCCGCGCGTGTGCGTCGCCATGGTGGGCGTTAAGCATACGCCTATTTTTCGGCAGTCCAACACATCATTTCAACAGAGCACACAGGCACATGTATAATGCACACACACACGTATACGCATACGAACACACACAGTGGTGACAATAAGAGACCCCCCAAAATGATCTAAACATATTTTTACCTTCATTAATGGCGTACAACAATCTGTTCCTCAGCTTCTCTTTATTTTTATAATCGGGAATTTTTAAGTAGTTGGTGCAGGTCATCACACTGGGCAAATCGTTATTGTCCTCCTTCTTCACAACTTTCATTAGTGGCCTGGAAAGAGGGGGAGGGGAACAGATCAGAAAATTGGCAAGACGGCGCGAAGTGGTACTGTGCAGAGCGGAAAATGGCAAAGCGACTAATCCAGACAAATGGAAATGCGGCTAATCGCGCCAGATGGTGGTGTAAGACATGTGCTGCTCGCATGTCACCGCTTAAACATAAAAACCGAAGCGCGCCATGTGTGTACTCACTTCAAGGCTGCAAATCCTTTATTCGGCAAGGCGGACGTTCCGGTGCAAAACTTAACAAAGAGCTTTCTCTCTTCCTTGTTGAACTCCGATAATATTTCGATCAGGATGATAAATGTAACGGAATGGTTTGTGTACCTGGAGCGGTGGGAGGAAAGGAACAACAGAGCAATCTCGTGTGTGCACACAGATGAGAGGATAACACACGCAGAAGCGGGACACATAGAAATGCACACACAGGGGATAATCACGCATGTTCGTTTTTCTTTGTTCCATTTTTCTGGTCTCTTACCCATGGTCCGGCTTAATATACGTCGACAGGTGCAGCTTCGTCCAGTGCTCGTCATTCTCGATATTGCTGCCGAACAGATACTCGCAAATTTCCTCTTCGTCAAAGATATTCGTGCACAAAAGGGGGGCGATCGTGCTGAAGCCGAATCGGAAAGCCCATATCTGCGAGGGAGGAACAGAGGTACAAGGACGTGAACCGGTTCGCAGTAAAGCAATACACACACATGAAGCGGTTCGCGGCAATGCCATACACACATGCACATGCGTATAAGCGTATGTCGACACATCATTGCTCAGCGACGGGTTCAACTATACCTGAAACTTTATCCCTTCGTACAGCGAATACTCGATGGTTTTAGTTATGAACAGGTCCAGATTCTCATTGTTCACTGCAATGTTGGCTCCATTGGGGATCAGCTCAACAGGCGGGTCGCTCCCTGTAAAATTGGAAATGACAATCGTGTGCATGCATATCATCGTGCAGGGCCTGCCCAAATACACAGCACGCAGTGAAAGGGCAGAAGTGCTGCGTACGGGGGGAGACGCGGTTCACCTTCCTGTCCTCTCGCCCCAATGCGAATGGCCAATTACCTAATAGGGTAAAATCGAGCAGCAAATCCTCAACATTTTTGTTCTCCTTTCGATACTCCAGCAGTTTATTTATGCTGTTCATGTTGACTCGGTCGATCTGCGTGGGGGGAGGGTGGGAAAAAAAAAAAAAAAAAAAGGGGGCAAACATGCCAACTGAATAGCATAACTTGAAGAGACTTTCATTAAGTTTCTCTCAAACGTAAATGTGCACACGGGTAATCACACATATGAGTGTGATTCACTTCTTGCACGTGGAAGCCACTCTCCTTGCCGCGCCTTGCATCATTACCGCATGATAGTGCTGAAACTTAGAAATGTTGACATATCCGGAGTTGTTCATAACGAGGTACCAAAACAGGGGATGTAAATTGACATTTACGTTCCTATTGTCTGTTAAAATTTTTGCACACAATTGACCCAACAATTTGAAGTACTTAAAAAGTCTATTTTCAAGTGTGTCCTGTTCAATATTGGTCACCTTCTTTCTGCTCTTCTCTTGCAATTTCTTTTGAAAGTTTTCACTCAACTTTTTGCTTACATTGCTGGCGGTCGGTTTGCTCGGCTCATCGTTATTATCATTGTTTTGAGAAGCATCCCCCTTGATCTTTTCATTTGCTTCATTCGATGACTTTAATTTAATCCGCTGTGAGGAGGATTTGTTTTCCATTTCGCTTAGGAGTGAATTGATAATATTTTGCGTCACTGATCGGGATAAGTCTGCTTCATCGTTTAGGTTCATTTTTCTGCGTGCCTCCTGCTGTCTCTTTACTTCCATATCATTTTCTTCCTTCATAAAATGCTGCTCGAAGTCTTTAGTAAATAGCTTATATCGTTTGACGTGCACATTTTTGTTCTCCATTTCGCTGGTTTCCTTTTTCTCGTTGTTGTCAGTGACTTCTTCTTGTTGAACTTCCTGCGAGAGGAGATATTTCTTTTTGCTGTCTTCACTTTTTACCATTTTCGTATCCTCCTGCTTATTCGATTTATCAAGTTTTGTTTTCTTCGCCCCGTCTTCCTTACTATCTACACCCTTGTCCAACAACTTACAGCAGTGCCTTTCAGCTTTCTCCTCCTTCACCGACACGTTACTTACGTTTCTGGAGCTGCTCGCTACATCCGACACTCTCGTCGATTTGTTTGGAGCCGTACCGATTGGCGCATCCTCTATTTCGCTAAATTTAGACGCATGGTGATTCTTGCTGCCCGGCCTCTTGTCTGTTTTCTTTTTCTTCAAATTGTTCTTTCGTATATTTTCCGTCTCGTCTGCCGAATCGGGCTGTTTTTCTTCCTCCGATTGGGCGCCGGGACGTTGTGGGTCTTCACCTGTCTTGGCTGTGCTACTCCACGTATCCGCACGGGGGGAAATTCTTTCAATGCCCTGGCTTACTTCCTTCCCAACGTGGTCAACCGTATTTCCCCAGTCCTCCGCACAGTCTTCCCGCGCCTGCTTTATTTGCACGCTTTCTGAGTTTCCCACTGGTGATGATCCTCCCTTCGTATCGGCTATCTTCCTCTCACTCATCAGGCTCTTCTTCTTACTCTCCTCCTCCTGCTTCTCAGCCGAACCTACGTAACACCTAATCCTTTTCTTTTTATTTTTGTCAGAGTTAATATATTCCTCTTCCCCCAATTTAATTGTGCTCTCCATTCTGATGTCAAACGTGGTGTTCTTTTTGTACGAACATGCGCTGCTCGTTGCGGGAATTGTTTTCTTAACACTTGAGTCAGCCTTATCGCTGCGGTGAGCCTCACCACAGGTGTTGTTATCCCCAAGGGTATCACCCTCATCCTCCTCCTGATCATCCTCGTCCTCCTCCTCCGCTTGGTCATCACCGTCGTTGATGGACTTCTTCTTCTGTTCGTTTCTCCCTTTCGTTACGTCACTGTCGGTGAATAGTTGGTCGTCCCCCTTCCTGTTGCTCTCACTTGGGGCTTTTTCCTGTTCATTTTTTTTCTTGTCCCTCCTGCTTGTGCTGCTGGCACTGCCTATGTTGGTTGCATCCCCCCCGGTAGATGCATTATTCTTTTTCTTGGTCTCATTTTTTTTACCACCCTTTTTAATATTCTCAGAATACTTCTTCCCCTTTTTGTATTTAAACTTGTTGCCCAGGAATTCCATTTCGGATAAGTCTTCATACTTCCCGAAGCTGTTACTTTCACTGGTAAACACATTCGAACTCATGGAGTAGAGAAAGTGGTTAATTAGGCTGTTCACCGAATGGTAGCTGCTTCCGTCCGCCCCTTCGCTAATCAAGTTTATGCGTTTGTTCAGCGATGACGACGATGAGTGACTTGTGTTAACATTTTGCAAATGGTAAGGTTTGCTACTGACGTTGCCAAGGTGACTGGCATACGCGTAGTAATTGTCTCCTCCACTGTGAGCACCTCCATTTATGTTGTTTGCGCTGCTCGAGCCGCTCTTCAGCCCCATCAGTTCCGAACTCTTCGGCTTCCTCAGTAAATTAAAGTCGAAATTATTTAAGTCAATTTTGTAGGAAAGAGGAAACAAGTAATTGTCCTCCAATTTGAACAGCTTCAGTTTTTCCTTCTTTAACTCCTCTATCACTTCATTGTAGAACTCTAGGGAAGGCCCCAAGCCTGTGCCTTCCTCATTGAAGAACTCGATATCCAAATAGGAGGGAGTAATAAAGTTTGAATTGATAAAATGTATATGGTTAAATATACGGAAGGATGAGTCGACCATCTTGTTTCTGTGCAATTTAATCTTCGTCCTTGGCAACGTTAAAGCTGTATTATCGGACAAGAAATTAAAGAGCTTCTTTTTATCACAGTTATATGTATGATTTGCACAAACGGAGAGTAGATGCTCCTCCGTTACGGACTTATTAGCGAGACTTATTTTGTCGTTGAATTTTTCCACCACTTCTTTTATCTTCTGCTTGTAATTATATAGGCCTCTATAATTTCCAAAATAAATTAGCTCAAAAAATAACAGCCTTATGTCAATGTCCACCACAAAATTGAAGAGGTAAAAAATCTGATATACCCATGACGGGATCTTTTCACTGAAGAGAAAGAGAGGATTATTCAAGCAGTACATCACTTTGTTGTTAATGCTGTTGAGGATGAAACACTTTTTCTTTATGTCCTCTCTGCTCACCACGGGATCTTTTTCCTCATGCGGGGGATTCGCCTTATTCTCCGCATGTGCTCCTTCCGCTGCTCTTTCTAAAAAGGTGTCCTCCAGGAGGCTATTCATCTCTTTTATCGTTTCCTCGTTCAACATACTGTTGCCACTCCATTCAACATCCCGCATTCTGCACATGGAATTATCCCCTGCCTTGTTATTCACGTAAAAAGTCAGTAACGAAGGAATGTCACACATATTAAAATGTCTGCACAGCAGGTAAAGAAACTTGAAAAACATAAAATTGTATATGTTTTGTAGGAAAATATCCTTATCTTCGTCTCGTGCTTGTTGAAACTTTCCCTTTGCTGCTTGGCCTGAACGACTACTAATTCTGCGGGCAAATCGATCTGCCTTTCGAGATCCACAACCCCGTGCCGTCGAAGGGACATAAACTTGGTCTCTTTTCACAATTTCGCTGTACATAGGCATATAGTTAAAGAGGAGGTACTGATCCTCCTCATTTGTGATAACGTCATTCTGTTGATTACTCTCTTTTCCTTGTTCACTTATTATGGGTTCCTGGTTGGTGGCTCCACCCTTGCGGTGCTTCACATATAGGGACCTTTCCCTCTCTCTGTTCCTATGAATTTTATCAACGATGTTTTCCCTTCGCGATGCACTACTCTCCTTCATGTCATCCTCCCCCTGATGCACCAAAAAGTTAATGTTGTGTAGATGCGTGCTCAACATCACGTCCTTATTAATGTAGTGGTCCTCCAAGAAAACCAGCTCGGTTACCTTCCTCATTTCGGTCTTTAAAAATGTCGATAGATACATCGAATCGCTCTCCACACAATTTCTCTGCGATAGGAAAAAATTCAACTCCTTCTTTCTGTAGTGTTCCTTCAGGTAGTCTATCAAGAAGGAGGGTTTCTCTTCCCCCTCCGAGAGGTGCTTCTCGTAGGACATCATCCGGTCCGCATCATACTCGTCCTCGTAGTATTGGGCATCTGTGAGGTCCACGTTATTCGCTCCCGAAGTTAGCCTAGCACTTGCATCCTTGCTTGATTCCCCCGTTGCTTCCAAACCGCCCTGCTGAGGTTCCTGTGTCAATAGTTCCCTATTCTTTGCGTTCTCTGTCGAGTCACCTTTCAACATGGTGAAGAAGCCCTTTTGAGGGGGATTCCCCAACCGCCCGTTTTCAGCAAACTGCGCATTCCTCGCGCCACCTTGCAGATCATCCGCGTTGTACAAATTCTTAACCAAGTCGAAGGAAATGCTAAAAAAGTTAAACTTCTCGCTAACGATTCTACAGTTTAACGGGGTTTCAATGCTCGATTTGATTTTCCTAAATGTAATGGGATCTACATAGCTGTGAAGCTCGCCCTGGTTTTCTCTCCTTTCGCAGAACTTCCTCTTGGTTTCCTCACTCAGCTCAGCTGCACTGTTGTTTGTTCTCTTTTTCTTGGACACAATGTGTATATTGCCTTTACCGCTAAAATCATCGGGCAAAAAATTCAAGCAAGAGGGTTCATTTTGCTTTCTCTTTTTAATCACCTTGAAATTTATCCTATGAGTGTTGTTGCCGATGTGAGGGGGATAACCATCACCTTTGTTGAGGAAACCACCAAGGGAATAATTCTCCGAAGCGGAATTTCCATCTTCATGCCCATTCCATAGGTACCTTATTTGGTTTTTCATCTGCCCATAATGTATAGGAAGTAACTCTACAATATCGTTGTACACGTAAAAATTATCCGTGTTGTAAAAAATATTTTCTTCATTGAGGCAAGCTGAATTTCTGTTCATATAATACAAATCGTTAAGTTTTATCAGATACTCGGAAAGGCAGGAATCTTTCTGTACATCAACACCGTTAAGTGACAGGATCACTAAGTCTTCCTCCTTCGAGTAGTACTTTGCAGAGGCATTTTTATTGCTCTTGTTTAAATTTTTCCTTATGTAGCTTTCTATCTTATTAAGCGAATCAAATATGTTGAAGGTCGCATGTAGGTTCTTTGGCTTTTCTTGGTAGTTCCTTCCGAAGAAGAGCAGTTTGTGGGTGACGTCCTTGGTGTAGGCATTTCTGTTGGGAAACACGCCTCTGGGGCTTCTTTGCAATTTTGAGCTTCCTCCTCCGATGTTAGTGCTCATTTGCTTCGCCTGATTGTTTGTGATTTCCACCGTTGTGCTGTCCCTCCTGGGATTTGCGACCTCATCCGTGATCGCTTTGCATTCAGATAAATGTTGCCCTCCCTGCGAAGTTAACTCGTTCAACGCCGTGGACTCGTTTGCTTCACTTCCTGCGCTCGTTTCGGGTGAGTCGAGATTCATCTTCTCCACGCACAACGAGATGGGCAAACCTTCAGTGAGGGAACTAAAAATCGACACGTTGTCGACGTAGAGACCGTTTCTCCTCAAATGCACAGGGAAGTGACAGTTGTAGTTATTATATATGCTCTTCTGTTTTTTTTTATCACACGCTGCGCTGTCATTATTATCATAAAATAAATTTTCATAAAATGAATCCTTCGGGATGTAGTCAAAATGTTTGTAATTGCTTCCTGTGAAATAATCAAATAGACTATTAGGTCCCTTCTTGCTTTCATTGAATTTGTTTTTTTTTTTTTTCTTTTCTTTATTTGCCTTGTGGCTAAATATAGAGGAGACCTTGTCCATTATTCCTTCTCCTCCTGCGTTGCTGTCTACATGATTGGCGTTTGCCACTCCTTGCTGCTTCGTTTCATCAGGATCCTTTTCCCTTATGATTTGCACTTCTTTGGAGATCTCCTTTAAGACGTCGATGATGGGTATGATTGGGTTGCCCCGATTTTCTTCGCGTGAGCGGCGTGCCCTATATGTGTTGTGTGCGTCCTTCGCGTCATTCACGTCGTCCGGCTCATTCGCCTCATCCGCTTGGCCCATCTGGAACTCCCTCTGGATGTTCTCTATTATGCGCATCTTTTCGGAATTCACGTCAAAATCGACCTCGTCTTGGTCTCCCTCTTCGTCCTCCACCTGGCCCTTCTTCTCCTTCTCCACCTCGCCGTTTCCCTCATTTGTCAGCTCCCCCTCGGCGGCAGCATCACCTACTGTGCCCTCCTTGCAACGTGACAAATCGGCATTCATTTTCTTCTTCTGGTCAGCAAATTCGTTAGGGCTACATTTGCCACTAGCCCCAACGTCGTCCTCGTTTTTCCCCTTCTTCCTTCTCTGCTTCAAAGCTTTAATAAGAGCATCATTGTTGTTTTTCTTGTATTTGGGGATAAAGAGCGAATTGAGGTTGTCGCTTCTTAGCGAAGGGAAATCATCATAGTGTTTAGTCAAGGAATGGACGTTACTATTTCCTTGGTGATAAACAAAATCGGGTCTTTCTAAAGGGATGATTCCGGCCTCTGGTTTTATCGCAGCACCATAGCTCCTGCTGTTGTTAGGAGCGTTCCTACTCTCTTTGAAAAAGTAGAGGGGCAAATTGTCATATACGTTTAGGCACTCCTTTGTCAACCGAATGAGTAGCGAACACTTTGTAAAGGAGAGGTTATTCCTAATTAGGTAGTAGTGGTATGTGTCGAAAATATCCGTCATCACTCCCTTCATTCTGTCCAGTTGCACCTCATCAATTTCGTCGATCATTTGGTCTCCCCCCATTTGGTAAAATAGCCCATACAACGTTTTCACGCTGTTCAAAAATAACCCCTGCACGAGTTCTCCCTTTTTTTTATGGTTGCCAAATAGCAGAGCGTATAAAAAGATGTACAGCCTAATATTTCTGTCAATCCTCTTTAGCAGATTTAGAACGTTTCTCCGGTTGAGGTCGCCGCATGGGAGGGAGCTGGCTCTAAAGCAAATGTCGTCATTCCATTTCTTCCCCATTTTACTCCGCCCATCCTGATAAAACAACTTTTGAAACAAAAAAAAATACAGGCGCTTTGCCACATTGTATTGATAGAAGTAGATAGAGGCGTCTTCGCCCATGGAGGATAGGTGAGCAAACAGATTAACCAAATAGCAGTAACTCAAAACGATGGCATTGTAGCATGTCCGCTCGTCAACAATGAGGTGACTTAAACGTATGGATTCGCTGTCGTTCGTCATCTTGTTCTTCTCCTTGGATAACTTCACATTTTCGTAGTTCAGAAATATCACCTCAAATTCGAGGGAAATATTCCTCATTTCTCTTTCCCGATTGAAAAATAGGAAGTTGCCCTTCTCACAGAGGGCCTTTCCAACACCGTCATGGCTGGTCTTTCCTTTCTTGTACAGCTCGTAAAAGTAGCAAAACATAATATTGTAGATTTCTTTGTTGGGACACATGTAATTATTTCCACAGTTGGAATCTATTTCGTCCATTTTCTTTTGCAAAGTGTTGCTAATGATATTGTTTAGCACGTGTAGGTAGAATCCTTGGTCGTAGGATAAGGAGGACAGCACATGGGTATTGCCTTCATCAATCGCATAGCCGTTTCTATTATCACAAGTTGCATGGTTTCCCCTCTCCTCCTGGCCCTTCACAGACGCGAACAGGGAATTTCTCCCAATGAGTGCTGTAAAATGCTCTACAATTCTACACATGATAATGCCACTAATGACTGAGGATTCGGAGAGGTTATTCAAAACGAGATTCTTGATAAAGACACACGTTTCCTTGTGGTACAAGAAAATGTACTCAAGGCAGCTGACGAACTCCGCATTGTCACCCAGGGTCGACGATATTTTATACATTGAAATGAAAACAGACAGTGTGATAACTACGCACAAATATTTGATGTTGAAATAGACGGTCTCCGCGTGTATTCTGTACACACTCGGTATGATCACCTTTATTAGGGTTGCCAGGTGGTTAAAATGGTTTCTGTAAAAATCTATCTTGTGCTTCTTCACGTCCACGGGGAAGGTGTGCGGCATGTATCCACCGGGCCGAGTGTTGAGGGGGAAGAATCCATCGTCACTCGAATCCACCTCAACGTTGTTCGTTCCCCCAGTGCTGCCGTCCTTTCCCTCTTCCGCGTCGCCGTCTTGGGGTTTCCCTCGATTGTAGAATGACTCGCCACTTAGGTTCGTCCCCATGTCGTAGTCATAAATCACCAACCCGTTGAACGTACACATCGGCAAAAAAGAGTAGAGTGTAAACAAAAGGTATAGGGTTAAAAAGTTATTACTCTGGTACTTCTCATTTTTGAAGAACTCGCTGAACTTGGTCAGGAATTCGCTATTGCAGAAATCCTCCAATATATTATCACTGTAGTGCACCAGAATGGAAATGATGTAAAAGGTCTCCATAAAGGCGTACAAATTATCCTCAATTTGGGACTCTGTGAGCAACTTAATGATATTATTTCGAATGTTAATGCTGTATATGCTTTCGATCTCCGCGCAGAGCTTCAAGTGGGTGCTTTCGTCGCTGTTCAAATGGATCATATGCTGAAGAAGCTTGTTTTGGTGGTACACATAGGTGGCCTTCTTCGTTTCGTCCTTGCCCGAGAATGTGCCCTCCAATTTGGAGGAATCTTTTGGCCCTTCTTTCGCGCCATGAGGGGCAGTTTCCTTCTTTGGCTTGTTCGAATTTCTACCCTTTGATATACTAACCGAGTCAGGCTCTCTTAAGAAGGAACTCAAAAAACTGACGTTCTCGTTCGACTTGATATTTTTGCAGTTGGTGCTGTCGGGTAATTGCTCATCCAAAATGTACACATCTTCGTCCTTTATCTGCTCCCTCTTGGCGCCTCTTCTACTTCTGTCCTGCCCCTTATTGCTGCTTTCCTTAGGGTCGGTCCCCCTTCTGTCGTATGCGCAGCTGGTGAGGTTCTCATCGTTCCTCAACTTGCTGTTCTTTTTAATCCCTCTTTTTGCTTTTCCCCTTCTTTCTTCTCCCTCTTCCTCCACCTCTTCATCTTCGCTACCCTCTCCAACTTCGACAATCTGGGGCACTTCTCCAACCTCGTCGGCCTCCTCACCTTCATCCGCTGTTTCTTTCATGGAATTTTTTGGCTTCTTCTTGCTCTTCTTATTAGTTGAGTTTTCCCTCTTCTTTTTTACCTCCATGTTTGACTTTCCTCCGCCCGGGTGTTCACAGTTGCTGTCATCCCCGGTGTTGTTGCCCCTTCCCTTGTGAAAGTCACTCATTTGTTCTTCATCCGATATTTCGATCACTTCCCCTTGGCGGGGATCATCTCCTGTTTGTTTTCTTGCCCTTCCGCTTTTCGAAGATGGGGTACCCGTTGACTCCTTCAGTTTGCCTCTTCCCTTTGCATCAGAGATACCCTCCTTTTTGTGTTTTTTTTTTTTCCTCTTATCAGTCTTCTCCAGCAGCTTACTCAAGTAAGAAGCTTCCTTGGAATCTCTTCTACACGCCGACGAGCCCCCCCCTTTTGCACCTAGACTACTATCGGTGACAGAACGTCTGACTTTCCTCCTCAGCTTGTTCTCTTCCTCCAACCGAACGGTGATCATTTTGTCCAGTAGAGACCTCCAAAGGGTGCATATAATATTTAGTATATGAATATAATGGAAGTGAAAAAAATTTGTAAAAATGGAACAGTAAGGAGTTATATATTTCGTTATGTGCTTGTGTTTGTTGATATTGTTAATCATCTGGATGATACAGAAGAAAATTTTTTTCTGGATGTTGACATTGTAAAAGTCTATATGCATCAACATGTATTTTATACTTTTCTTTTTCAAAATAAGCATAGGATCTTTCTCTACTAATTTTTCGAAGATCTTTAGAATCACTTCCGCTACATCGATGTATTCAATGTCGTTGAGTTTTCTGTTTAGGATGTTCACCCCGTCTTTGTTGTTAATTACATATCTTATCGTTTGCGGGTATATGTCCAGGATTGTATATATACAGCAAGTGGCCGTGTAAATGATGTTAATATATTTTACATCTATTGCGCATGCATCGTTCAGAAACATTTTTTCATTTTCGTCTGTGACACTTGATTCACTTGACAGACTGGATGGTTCGCTCGAATTGCTTGAGTAGGAGAAGAAGTCAATGCTTTCATCTTCCGAGTTCATTATGATTTTTTTTTTCACTCGTCTGCTAGTTGGTTTTTTTTTTGTTCCTTCCACCTTGGGCTTGGCACCTTGCAGGGCCTTCTTCGGATCCTTAGGCTTCTCCCGATTGGTTCCTCTGTTTGTGCGCTGCTTTAATGGGTGGTTGGTGCGCTGACTAGCTCGTTTGCTGGCCCGTTTATTGGGGCCTCCACTCGCGCGTTTGTTTGTGCCTTCACTATTGCTTTTGCTGTTTCCCTTGCGCTTGTCCCCTTTGGCTACGTCTTTTCGCTTCTTCTTCTTTTTCCCGCTTGCATTACCATCGCTCAGAGCAAATTCGTTGCCGCCTCCGTCCTTGTGTCCTGCTTCGTCATCTTGTCCAGCCTTGCCGACGTCTTCTACCTCATTGTCGTCCACATGGTCGCCCTCCTTGTCATAATCCTCATCATCTTCGTCGTCTTCGTCAACATCCACGTCGTCGTCCTCCTCATCATCGAGGCCGTCCGCTTCATCATCCACCTGGTCGTCGTCCTGCTCCTCCTCCTCAGCATCCTCCACTTTCTCCTCATCTTCCACTTCCTCGTCGTCCTCCTCCTCTTCATCAAAATCGGACGCATAAACCCCTATACGTTCCTGTATTATCCTAAAAAAGCTGTTCAGCCCATTATCCACCGTGTCGTTAATTTTTTCTGCGCTGATTTTTTTGGCACTGCCAACCCCCTTGGCTTTTTTCTTACTGCCACTTTTTCCATTCCCAAGATTGCCATTGTTGCTGTTCCTTCCATATGCATTGTTGTAATTCAAGTGTGGCTTATTAATCACGTGAATCAGTACGTTGATGTATTCTTCCATCTGGGAAACCGACAATCCGCCATCTGCAGACAGGTTCAGCTGTTCGTAAAAGTCGTTCAGGGCAGCTAGCTGTAAAGGTGAAAAAAAAAAAAAAGAAGTGAACAGTGAAGGGGGAAAAGTCCAGAACGTGCCTCCAAATGAACCTTCGCCTGGGTGTGGCAAAGGCGAGAAATTATATGCACAAGAAAGAAAGAAAAACACGTGAAGTAACGCAGGACAGAGCCTACAGGCATTCCACTGTAGCGCAAAAACACACAAATGTCTTTTTCTTCACTCAAAAACGTCCATGTGACATTTTTTAGTTCTATATTTACACAGGTATAGCATGTACAGACATGCACAGATCTTCCTCTGCGCCGTTGCAAAACATATAACAAAAAGTGGCGAAAAAAAAAAAGTCATTTTTTTTTCTTCAAGTAGACTCGCACATATTGGGCAAATCAAATGAAAAATATACCTTTTCCGATTCTTCTCCATTTTTTATACTATTCAGAATGTACGAATGATGCATATTTTCATAAACTAAATATTTTTTCATTGTGACTTTCTACATCTGAAGGTTTCATGGCTGTATGTCCTCTGCTTCCCTCTCTTCGGGCGGAAAAGGCGTTAAGTTGCGCTTCCTTAAAACGCAGAGGACAGATGTGTGCTGCGGATGCGTACGAAGCGAAGGGGCAGCTATTCAAAGGATAAGCTACTCGGCCCAAAGGTAAAACAGTTTACACAGTGCTGTGCAAGGAAACACGAAATGGGAAACTGCGTAGTGATTGTGCCTTGGTATAGCATTAACGAGATTTTTTTTATTTAGACTTAAAAGGAAAATATATTTTTCCAAAATTAAAATATATATATATACATATATATACAATTGGCGAACGCGCTAAAATTCATGACGCCGGGGGCATCACGAGATGTTAGCGAGTATACACAAAGGATGGTGTACTTCCGCGTACTCGGACGCATGTGTGCCCGGGATGAACAGAAAAAAATATGTACAAAGGGTTCGAAAGGGGTGAAATAAAAAAATATTTCACTCTTTCAAAGGGGGCATTGGATCACATGACGTGTGGGGGTAAGTTCTTGGGTGATGATAGCTGGTTCGATTCAGCTGGCTATGGGTGGCAGGGTATGCAAAGGAGGGTGAGTGTGATTGTGTGAGCGCGATTGGGTGCGTGTACCCTGCTGCACGCGCCTGGGCTGGTGCTCGCTACAAGGTGAATAGGCTACAGGGCGAATGCCGATAAGCATAAGTGGCAAAGGGATGGCCCCATGGGGAACGTTGCAGGTCGATTCGTGCCCGGTATAACTGAAATTTTAAACAAGAAAAAAATGAGCGTTCAAGAAAACAGTTGCTTCTGCTATGTACATACGTTTACTTATCATTAAAATGAAAATGTAATAACAGCACAACTTTCATATGAAAGAAATAAAACTTAAACACTTATTTAAGTTTTATTCGTTATTTTTCCCGTTTGCAGGAAAAGAAAGGCGCAGTAAAAATTTATAACATGACAAATTGCTGATTTTCTGTGCCTTTACTCTTCTTTATTGGGAATATACGGTTTTCCTTTGCTAACGTTTGTGTTTTCCGTTCGCAAGCTTTTTTTCCTTTCCTTTCGTAAACTTTTTTGTTTTCCTTTTGTTAACTTCTTTTGTTTCCCTCTTTTTTGTTTTTTTTTTTTTGATCATCAGTCCCCCAATTCTGCAGTGTACAAATCGTGAGGGGTCCGTTGTATAAGCGGCTATTATAATCATGTACGCCGAGCATTACGCGCGTGAGTATGAACATTACGCGTGTATTACATGCATACATACGTACATATATATATATAATATATATTTACATATGTATATATTTATACTTAGATAGCGTATGCATATGTATGCGCTTGTATGCTCCTATGAAGGCCGAAACGTACATTTACGTACATATTCCCCCGCATGTATGTGCATGTGACAGCGATGTGGGCAATAAAAGAGAAAATACATTTTTATGACGCGCAAAATTTTCCATATGCCTATGCGCAGCTTCTGCTTGTGGCTGGTGTATTCTGGAAAATTAATTCCTGTGGCATACACCTATCTTACTGCAAATGCTCGCAATCCATCGCAGCTTGTATGAAAGCTACAGTGTCTGTGGAAACACGGGGGGGAAGGCGCGCCGAGGCAGGCCTTAAAATTACAAAAGCAGAAAAAAAAAAAACAGAAATGATACACGCATTTGCGCGCATGTATATGTATATATATATGTACATGGGCGTGCGCGGATTTGCCAATATTCGCCGCGCATTTATTACGACCACGCCAAGGGGTGGAAAGAAAACACCTCAGGACTCCTCATATGTTCCGTGTCAAAATTCGCATTTCCCCCAGAAAAATGTGCTACTTCAAAAAATAACGAGCAGAGTCCCTCCGTTCTATAAAATAATAAAACACCGTTTATATAGCGCGTCATACAAGGAAAAAAGAAATTTTATAATTTTTTTACATTAACTATACGTGGCGCATAATTTTATTTGGTATAATTCCAAACATTCGCAATTACGCATGGCGTATACATAATGGTACGCACAATACGAATGTACACGTTTTGTACATATCCGCACATCCGTGAGAGGGCATATTTTGCATTCCAAACGAAATAGGCCAACGTATTATATTACACCAAAGAAAGAACGCCTATAATGTTGGAGCAGGTATTACTAGCGCAATGTTTATTTTACCTTTAACAACTCCCCACATTACATGCTTCATATGAAGCCTCACAAAAAGTTCATGACCACTTCGTAACATATGAACAGAGGGCAAAAATATTTCTCCCGAGGTTTAATCTTTTCCTATACGGCTATAACAATGTGTGATGATAATGACAGACGTTGTAAAGTAAGCTACCCCCCCGTATAAATTCTCAACAAAATTATTAAGTTCGCTGCCACTCCTAGCTCACCATGTCCGTCCTTCCTGATGCATTAGTGCATAGGCAGTTGTGTTAAAAATTTCACTATCTGCTTATCCAAATGGGGGGCAATCCAGAAGGAAGCAACGGTACACAGGACTGCCGAATGCTCCCCCGAAATGAGCAAAAGAATAAGGAGTCATCTGCGCTATCTTTGCTCTATCTCTGCGTTACCCCTGCGTATATTTATCCGGTGTGTGAAACGCACAAAAATGTAAAGGATAGTGGAGTGGTTAATGAAACAAGTTACACCAAATGTAACGCACATAGGTTTCCCACTGCGCACTGTCCCAACGAGGAACATTTAAAGTTAGAAAGCAGTGCGAAGTAGTTGTAACTCGTCGTTCCATATATGTAACGATAAAGTAGCCCCGCAAGTGAACAACTTTGACAGCCTCTTATGCGTAAATGAAATTTGACCCTTTAGCCTTCTCTATTTTACGCCTTTACATTTGAAAAGATGGTTATTAATAATTAATCACTCCTAGCAGTTTCACGTGCCTGCTCAGCAAGAACCGCATTGGGGGGAACTAAATCGTATGCTTCGTTGTCCCTCATTGCGTTTGCAAAAAAGGAATGAAAGCATATTCATTTGGTACACTTCACACACATGCGCGCGTACACTGTGTGAAAACGTATTGGCTGTTTCTCCTTCTTTTAAAATAAAACGATGGACAACTACAGAGGGGCTGCGGATATTCCCGAGAATAGGCCTGCCTGTTAACAGCAATGTTAATAAGAATTACTGTATTGTTCGCGGAAAATTTCCATGTTTTACAAGTTCAAAGGATGAGAAAAACATTTTCCATCTCTTGTATTGTGCTTTTTTTTTTACGAGGTACGAACCAGAAAAATAAAAAAAAAAGATGCAAATGTTTGATTTTCTCCCCGCATCCAACAACTCTACCTTTCCATTTCTGCTATTAGCATAAACAGTGGTCTCCCCTGTATGATCACTTCCCCATCTGAAAACAAATGTAACATGGAAACACTTGGACAAATGGTATCGCACAGATCTTCTTCATGCACAACTGTTCCCTTTCACTTGTGCATGTGTATACGTATGTATGTTTGTCGACATGGGATTGAAAGTGCCTGAAATTTTTACAAACACAATGTACGACAAATTTGACTACAATTAAAGAAGTACGCCCAAAAAAAAGATATGCTTATGCGGGTAGGCACCCCCCTGAAATTGTTCCCTACCCATGCGTAATAAAAGCACTGCATATTACTTTTGGCCTTTTACGCACTTTAACCTTATATTTTATGAAGCAGGAGTGCGAATTCCCTTTGAAGCATTTACCCGGCGTCTGTTTCGACATCAAATGGGGAGCACGCCGAAACAGCTAAAAATAATTTTACCCTCTGTTTGAAGTTCATGGAAATATGCCATTCGATATTGTCTATTTTTTTTTTTCCCATTTTCACCTTCCCATTCAGGCGATTTGCATACATTTTTGTCGTTACACCACTTCCAAGTGACTTTTCTTTAATTTTATTCAAAAGCTCATTTGCCTCGTTAGCAACGATTTGTTGGGTGGAAAATTGTGCCTGTGATGTACGTAACAGGCACTTGCTATACACTCTCGCTATGTATTTGTGTTATCCCCGTTTTGCGACTGCCTTTTGAGGAAAATTGCGCCACATCAGGCGAAGTTTTTTCCATTTGGCTGCTGAGATTCTTCAATTCGCGCGCGACTAACTTTGTTGTTCGGTAGTTGCGCTTACTCTGCACGTTTCCAGAAGTGTATTTGGATAGCACATTTTGATTGGACATTTTGGCAACCTGCGTTGGTAGTATATTTCCTTCCCCCCCTACGCGTATCATTTGAGTGTGCGTGTGGCACCCCCGCATTGTAGCAACCGCCTATTCACGCATATTACTGCGCAATTACGCACCGCGGAGGTGCTGTCAAAATAGGAAAAGCGTTAACCTGAGAGATAAAGAGTTTACAACACGCAAGTACGTACGTGTTGTACATTTTATAGCATGCCTTTATATGCATTCTTTTTTTTCACTCCCCTCGCAAACACTTGATCCTACTGCAAAAAAAAAGTGTAAACACGCAGTAGAGTATAGGCGCATGTATGGCTCGTAGGCTGAACATATTTATGTATGCCACTCACAGATGTGTCAACCAATTTGTGAATAATTTCTAACATTGTTGCTGCAGAGTATGGGTGTAATCTCACGTAGTTTCTTTTCCCCCTGTCGCGCCTCCATCTGATTCCGCTTCCTTTATCTTCTCACCTTCAACATGGCTTCCTCAAAAGAAAAAAAAAAAAAAAAAAGAAAAAAACAAAGAAAAAAAGAAAAATAATAATTGCGCCCCCAAATGTGCCCAATATTATCATCAAAATTGCGCTTAAAATTTAAAGGGTTACCCAAAAATATTGGTGAGGAAGCACGAGAAACAAAGTTAAACGCAAGACTCTATCACTTTAAAAGAAGGCATTGAAAAAAATTGAGAAAAAGGGATGCTCGTCGCCCTCACGTGAGAAATCCCGCGTATAGAAAATGCCTTCCACTCCCCCCCTCCCCCATGCATGAGATATATATGTAAGCCCATAAAAACATAAGGACATAAGTACATGTTAGCTGCTCTCAAAAATAAGACTGAGCACTTTAGCCCCCCTTTTTCACTGTTACCTATGCGTACCATCATATGAGCATGGGCATGGACTCACATCTGTTCAGCCAATATGGGGGAAAACACATCATACGAAAATGGGTTCCTAATATTTGAAGATTACAACTTTGTTACCTACACCAAAAGGCGCGGAAGGAGAGTCGACTGGCACGAAAAAAAGCAGCATTTGCACAATTTCACTGTTAGCGCGTATCTTTATAAACCCCTCCAAAATTGCAATCTCAGCCTAGTCAGTAACAGCGCAAACTTAAGACGAGCCACAGAAAATAAGCTTTTCAAAAGGGTCCAACAGAACATAAAATGGCTAATTAAATTTATTATCAGAATAAAAAGGAGAGTTAGAAATATATACTTATTTGTCAAATTTGTTAGCTCAAAATGTATACTTAAACTGTCCACCTTTTACTATTTAAAGTATATTGTGGAGAAGATTTACGATGAGAAGTTAGAAACATCTGTGCGTGTAGTCTTACCCGTCTCGGATTTGCACAAGCTTTACACCTTTGTCTATCACCAGAATTTTTGCTTTATGAATTATTATAAGAAGTTTCTATCAAGGAGAGATGCGCGCCAATTGAGGCGGTTCTACTGCCCCGTCGTCGTCCTGAACGGTCCCAATAGGGCCTTAACCATACCCTATGAGAGGGTGTACGGTCGAGACGTCGTAAAAATGGGCATACGGGAGGGTCGAAGTCCGAAAAATTCCCCGAACACGGATAAGTCACGAAGCGGGAGAAATTCGCCAAAGGGGGAAACCCGCCCCAATCCGAACAAACCCCAGCGTGGAAGTGTCACCACAAAAACGCACCAGAGAAAAAGCATAAAAATAAAGAAGGAGAAAATAAAAAGAGTCATAGGAAAAAACTTGCACACAAGCGATATAGGCCTCTTCGCCGGAACCTTCGACAAGATGCATTTTGGCCATATACTGCTACTTTTTTACTCCATTTTTCTAACAAAGAAGTTTTACTATGTCGGGTTATACAATAATAAAAATATTAATAAGAAAAAATATGCACAAGAAATTGATGACTTGAAGCTAAGGATTTACAACATATCGGACGTCCTCTTCTTAATAAAAAATGTCTACCAAGTTGAATTTTCCTTTCTCAATTTTGAGCACATCATGCCATTTATAAAGATAAAAAATTCTCATAGAATTTTATTTCAAATTATGATGAATCAGAAAAATGAGTTATTGGTCGGGCATCGACAAGGGGGATACAGAAAATGTGAAGCTTCTACCCCTCACCGTATTGAAGCCACGCCTGTGAACACTTGCACCACAAAAAGGAGATACTTAGAAAAGTACCTCTCCCGTAGGAGCAAAAAAAGGTGCGTAACACAGTCAAGTGAAAAGACGTATCAGGGGGTACACCATTTCGGTACAAATGAAATGAAAAAAAGAATTGAAAAATATTTACTTTTTCACGTCGGCATTGTCAAAGCAAAGAGGTGCAAACAGAAGGACAACAAAATTATCGTGTTGAAGAGAATACATGACCCCTTTTCCTTCGCAGTAGATATTAAAGATTTGTACTGCTTAACAATGTCCAAGGAATCTGAGGCTAACGGGTATAATTTGGTAAACAAAAGAAAATTACAGAAGGGAAATGAAAGTGCACATTCAAATAAGAGGCCAAGGGGGGGAAGAATCTCCCCCGATCAGAAATGTGAAAAGTGCAAACAGATCAACATAGAACCAAACGGGGTGATTACCCTTTTGGAAAAGCCAAGAACAAGTTTGAACATTTTTGACACAATCAATTTAGGGGATGGAGAGAAAATCAGCTCCACATTAGTCAGAGAGGAAAATATTTTTTTAAAAAAAAAAAAATTTGCAAAATTTTTAAGACATTTCGTAGACGCTTGCTTATTCTTTCACATTGACCACTTCCTGATACAGATGTACGCCGATATTTTTTTGCACAAAAATGGCAGGACCCCTTTTAAGAATCTCTACATAAATAAGGTGAAAGATTACTTTTGTAAGGGAGAAAGGAGCAAATGGGAGACGCAGGGGAGTTGCAAGAGCGGCGGCCACAAAAGGGGCCACAAAAGCGGCAGAAAAATGGATCATTTTATTGTTAACGATTTTTTCAGAAACCTATTCGTCCTCTTATCCTTCTTCGTCAACCATTTTACCTATCTGGAAAGTCGCACGCATGATAAAATTCAACTTTTTGTCAAAATCTCCATCGCGCTGTCTTTTTTCTTTTACAATAACATGATTTTGCTGTTAGTAAAAGAGAAGGAGGCGCTAATAAACCAAAACTTCCGAAGCAATCACAAGAATGTGGAGCAGAGAATAAGCATGTTCCACACGTGTGATGACAAAGCACTGCGAATTTACGTGCACAATGTGGAGGAGCCCCTTTTGGAGGAAGTACTCAATCAGATTCTGGTTTGGACCCTTTCACTGATATCCCTCTCCGTGCTGTGCAAGTTTTATCACTCGGAAATTCTTCCAAGGGTGAAAAGGGGGAAGTCGGTGCCTGCGCGGAAATCGGCAAGATGCAGGAAGTTTGCCCCCTTGGGGAACGCAGCGAAGAAAATACTCATCGCAAAGGAGCCAGCCCTTCATCCCCCTGTGACCCCGCGCAATAATAGATTCGTGAGGAGTGTCCCCCAATGCAACCCGCATAGAGGCCCAGACAAATTGAGCAAAGAAGACAGCCGACATAGGGAAGAGAAAGAGCAGTTCCAAAAGCCAGCCCATGGTGGTTCTTCATTACGCAAAATGAACTACGATGCATACTTTTACAACTATTGGAAGAACAGGGGGCTGCACAAACGGGGTCCCATCGTCACGCCCTACACCCTTTTCAACCACTCCTTAACCAGGAGGTTTAAAATGAGGAACTCCCTACTGCGTCACAACCCTTATATTGCGCGAGCGGTGGGTTTTTCCGGCATGGCACTGGGGGGAGAGGCAATCCCATGTAGTGAAAAACCAGCCGTCAAGAGTGTGTCTCGTGCGTGTGGTTCAAACTGCGCGGATGGCAGACAATACGAGGATGGCACACACTACCTTGATGAGTCGCACCGTCCGCAGAAGTCGCATAGCGGGGCCAACGGCAGCAGCACGCGGGTGAGTATCGACAAGCCGGAGGGAGATACCCAGGCGGAGGCACGACAAGATGAAGTTTACCATGGGCTGTCATTAAAAAGAGAAAGGACAATACTGAACAATTTGTATAAAATAAAAATTAGGAGTGAAGAAGACGCCCCCAGTTGGATAAACAAAATGACTGATAAAGAGATAGAGAACTACGTCAGGGGAAAGAAGACAAAAACGAGGAGCTACCACAATGAAAGGTACACATCGTTAATGCAGATAAATATAAATAATGGACAGGAAAGTTTCCCCTTCCGAAAAGTGCTGATATATAAATATCTAGACAGCTACTTTATCTCCTTCTTCTCCTATTACATCATAAAGCACATGGGGCTAAACCAATGTGTAAAAGGTACCCATATAGAATATAAAAAAATTCATCATTTGCTATTCCTCCTCTTGGTGCACTTTGAGAAGCACATTGAAATGGTAGTAAATAGTTTTCTTAAAAGGACGTGGGAATTAAAACCGAAAAGAAGGAAACATCCCTTTGACCCGTACGTCCTCTACCAGAAAAGGTATTCGCTTATTCACAGATACTTCGCTATGAATTTATCTCCCTTGAATAACTACGACTTGGACTTTGAACGGAAGTACGATTTTAAAAAGAGCGACACCACCTTTGCAGACACGCCCTTTCACATCAAGATACGGAATTGGGGATGTCCCAAAGGGGGTATACCTGGAAAGGCCTGCAAATTTGCAAACCAGTTAAGCGTGCTAACATTTTATAACACAATTTTTCAAAGCATTTTAACACACGAAAATTATTACTACCCCTTCTTCGCCTCACTCAATTATTTGTATTTGGACAACACTTGATTCGTCTGCATGTGGGAACTGTGTTGCGTGTCCTGCGAGGCCAGAGGCTTCCTGTCCCATTCATTGCGCCGATTTATTGCACCCATTTATTGCGCCCATTTTTTTCTACCAGGTTTGTCTCCCCCCCCTTAGCTTTTTTCTTTTTTTTTTAATTGTTGGGATGCAACCCGCAACGTTCGATGAACACCCTTCTGCTTTCCTCGTCCTTCCCTTTTCCCTTCTTCCCGCCCCTTTTCCCTTTTTCACGTGTTCTAACCTTGTTTTGTTGACATAACTCCCTCTCATCCTTCTTCATTTTGCACAAGCGTAATTGTGTGTGCACGAATGCGGACATCTGAGGGCCCATTTCGCCACCTTTGTTCAGTTTTGCGAATATGCCACTTTTTAAAAAGTTGATTTTTTTGCGTGTAGCACGTATCGCATGGGAAAAAAAACACACAAAAAGAGGAAAATGCAACGTACGAGACAAAACAAGGAGGGATGAAAAGTTACTCAAACAAATGTATCAGAGGAAAAACAAATGTGTAGGGGGAAAAACAAATGTCTTTTTTTTTCGGCTAAGTGTACTTGTTCTCCTTCACGACGGAAAGTACGACAGTTATATCGTCCGGCTTCCCCATGTTAAAGTATTTTCTGTACTTATCAAAGATGAACTCCGATATGGGGGTTAAAATTATTTTATCGCTGGATTTGTTTGACTGTATATCGTCGTAGTTAACTTTATCAAACAAGTTTGTCTCTTTTTTATAGATGCTGGGAGGGGCTTTCCTGGAAGGGTGCTTATCGTTTTTTATTTTCCCCAACACATCACACATATGTGCATTGTCAGGAACGCTTTCTTTCCCTTTATCATTCATATTTCCACGGTGCGCCTCGTATTCCTTTCTTCTCTTCCTTATCAGAGTTTTGTTCACCTCTTGGTTGGCTAAGATGTTGGACAGCTGCACAATCTCATCGCACGCCTTCCTGGTGTTTAAGTAAATGTTGTTACTTTCGTCGAAGAGGACGAAATCGGTTGGCTCGTATGCAAAGGTGCCACATTTTATTTTGCGTTGCACAATAATTTTTTTTCTTTTCTTTTCTCCTCCGTTTTTTATACCACTCGCTCCATAGCTATCGTGTTCTGAATTTCCAGGCAGTGTAGTCTGCTCTGTTATCCACTTATCCGTGCCGTTCGTTTTCTCCCTCCTCAATGGGATTACCCCATCGTTAGCGATTATTTCCGTTGTCCTTTGGCGCTCCGCTCGTTGGAGTACATTCCCAAAGGCATTTCCAGACCAGTCAGCCGGCCCCTTGGTAAACCCACAATCCTTGCCCTTACGGTTAACAAAATTGCCTACCCCTTTGAGCCCATGTGTTTTTCGCTGGGCATTGGAATTGTAGACTCCTCGGAAGTTCCCCTCATTGTCCAATGTGAGGTCGTCTGAATATGCGTCACCTGCCGAGGGAGTCCCCAAATGGTCACCCTTCTTTAAATACGCCCCAATCTTGAGGTCCCTCCGATTTAATGACCCACCGGAATGTTCAGAATAACTCCTGTTGTCTTCGGCATAATCAATTTGTTTATTCTGCACGAAGGGGTTATATGCATCCACTTCGGCTTCATGTAGATTTCGTTTCGGCCCCGTTTCATGGTGTTGCTCTTCGTTTCGATTTTTGTTCGCCTTCGGGAAGTCTTCCCCTCGTTCTGATTGGCACATTTGGCTTTTCGTCTTTCCCTTTGCACTTCTCCTTCCTTTCGCTTTCATCGAAAACATGCTCTTTATTTTAGAAGGAAATTTCAACCGAAGCATAGCGGTGCTTATGTTGCTCTTATACTTTCTGCTGAAGAAGAAACTTCGTTCCTTCTCTTTCTTCATTCGTTCATCCCAGTTGTCCTCACTGGCGTCTGTCTTATTTCGTCGTGCACGTGTGTAATCGAAGGAGTTGATATTTCCTAATAACAGATCCGCATTTCCTCCCCTTCCATTCATTTCACCATTTTCTGCTCTTTGTTTCTCATCTGGGATCACCTCAGATTTGTTCATCCTCCCGTTCATTGCATTCTTGCGTTTATTATTCCCCTCCCCACGAGATAAGAGGGCATCGTGGTTCTCCCCAGAACGGAGAGTACCGGGTGATTCACCACCCACGGCATTGGGTTCACCTTTCCATTTGAGCTCCTCCCCGTGGTCCGTATTAACATCCACATCGGAAGATTGATTTATCGCACCAGAAAATGTGCGTGTCGGATTTTTTCCCTTGTGCCAGTCTTCGGAAATAGTGTGTTTCACCTTGCGTAATACACTTATACACTCATCATAAAAATTGTAGATTTCTTTTAGTTGGATAAATTCGTTGCACTTAACTGTGTAGAAGTTATTGAACAAAATTTCCATAATGTCATCGTCGTATAGATTATCGAATAGTCCATCGCTTCCACTTACAATGATGTCATTATTTTTTACGTCAACTGTGGCGTATTCGCAGTACCTGATACACTTCGAAATGATGTCGTTATATGTACTCATTTTAACCCTATTACATTCGCCCAACTTGTTTGCGTGTGCTCCCTCTGTGCCTACCGCTCTCGCGCCCCCATTGGATGCTTTCCTCCGCAGATGACCGCCCAGAGTAGCAGGCATGAAGGTTATTTGGAAGGGACAGTTAAAATAATGTTGCTGCACTTTCGACTTGTAAATTATATCGAAGTGGCTCTTATCCGCGTCAAAGCACCTAAATCGGTAGTTATTAAAATGGTTAACCTGGACGCATTTTTGGCTGTTTTCTTCACTCCAGCTCCTGTCCATGCCGCTTCCCATTTCCTGATGGTAATTCCCCTGAGTGGGTCTTCCCTCAACACACTTTCGATAATCCTCCCCCCTGTCAATGCCCGAAATGTCCGTCCGATCCAAGTCAAAAAAACGCAGCAAATTTCTATATCCACTTTCATCCATGGTGCTCATCGTCGAAAGTGGTTGGTTTTCATTTTCGTACCAGTCACTCTCGATGGTGTGAAAATATTTCTGACCTAGGAGAGACTCCGTCTTGGTATTAGATTGACTCCCTGTAATAGTGTCAAAGGATGTAACTCCATGGGGACAGTCCTCCTCCTCCTTCACCACAAAGGTTAAATTTCCTATTTTGTAATTTTTATTAGCCAAGTACTCTTCAAGCTGTTCACACATATCTGCAATTAACTCCTCTTCCAAGTATAATGTGACAGATTCACAATCCTGCGGCGAAACTTTATCTCCGTTTGCCTCCCTAAAGAGGTCTTTTTTGTAAAGTTCCTCCCTTTGTAAATACAGCCCTTTTAGCTTGAATTTGCTCCCCTCCGCGGTGTGGTGAAGAGCACCTTCTTTGCTACTGCTCAGATGGGGTGTACTAAGAGCGGGTCTTTTTGGCGAGTTATACCTCTTCGATTTAAACCCCTGCTCAGTCGCATCCAAAGAGTCCCCATTAGTCTCCTCATCAGAAGGGCCACTACACATATCTGTATAAGTGTTATCTTGCAAGATGTCCGCGAGAGCACTCTCCCGTTTCAAAGAATTTCCCAAAAGTTGATTGGCTCGGATGTTGCTCTGCACTGCTCGGATGCGTTTATCTGTGAGGAAATTCTTCCTAAATCGTAGTATCAACATTTGGCAATCTCCAATAGAGCAAATGTGCAACTTTTCTCTCTCCACAGATGAAAGCAATAGTGTGGAGGCTCCCAGAAAGTTAGACGAGCAGGCGCTTCTACATACAATTGGCTTGAGCACTTCCTCTTCTTTGTGTTTGATTTTGTAATGGTTAAACACGACCCGATTTTGTTCCTCAAATAGTGCACTGTTCACACACCTGTGTAGATACAAATTTAAGCACTTTTTCAAAAGCTCATTTGAAAAATTGCCTACATTAATTCCAGTATTTTTAATGGATGAAACTCCATCCGCTATGGCGATCATGTTGTCACTACACAGGAATGCATCCCCATTTTGGTAATTCACATTTTTTTTCTTCTTCTTCTTATGAGGAATTGAATTAGCTTTATGAAGCAGGACATACTTCTGTGTTTTCATCTTTTGGTAAAATCTGTTCATTACGTATATGTTATCTTCCCATGATATTTTCTCTTTTTTTTTTCTCCCCTGCTTTTCGCCGAACGAACTGAAGAAGTTTAAAAAAATCACTTCGTAAAATGATAAGGAGTAATCTATATACTCTATGTTAAACATTTCATTAAAACGGTTCTCACAGTATTCATTCAAATTGGAGATATGTGCTCTTGCGCTTCCATTCAGTCCACTCATTCGTATGGCTTCTGTGGAGTTTTTCTTCGCGTAATGTTCAAACCGACATAAGAAATCATTGTCTAGCTGTTCAATGTTCATACAGTTTACCTCATCTAGGTTGTTGTCCAAGCCCATTACAATCTGACATGTTTGTAAAAGCCCTTCCTCCCCGATGGCTGCATTGTCCGAGTTGCTGCCACTTAAGCATTTGCTCAGAAGCTTCTGCATTTTGTTCCTTTCATGGTATTCGTGTGGAAGTGAACAAATCGGAATGGTAAATAAACCGGAGTGTAATCAAATCCGAGTGTAATCAAACACGAGTGAAATAAAACCCGAGTGTAATGAAATCCAAGTGTAATCAAACGCGAGTGTAATCAAATCCGAGTGTAATCAAACGGAGGTAGGGGGGAAATTTGTATGCATACCACTTCTACACCGTGGAGTGTTTTGGCTCTTAAAGAGGGTGAAGAAGATTGCTCCAGTGGGTGTGCTCTCATACTTTTGGCAATACACCTATTAGTGCGTGCAAATATGTGCGCGGGGCAGCTAAACAGGAGAGGCCCACTAATTATAGGAAAAATCTTCGTAGGACTATTCGCTGCGTTGCTCCTCCCCCTGTGCCAACTTATTTGCCCAACACCTTTTAACCACACATTGCCGCTCGCAGACTTCACGCTAGTGGCAGTCCAAGGGGGTGAAAAAATTCCACGGGGATGTGTAAAACTCCTCAACTACTGGCACATTTATTCTGCGTAAAATTAGAGGAGGTTCATTTATTTTTAAAAACAGTTTAGATGGGGGAAGAAAAAACACAAAAAAAACAATACATATATAAATGCATATATATGTATATATATACATATATGACAATTTTTTGCAGCACTGCCAAAGCGCCGATATGGAACTTCGGAAAAAAATGCTCCAACGGGGGGAAACAAACGTGGGAAATGAAGCGGCCTAATGGACGTTTTTCCTCCTCCCCTGTTAACTGTTCTTTGGACATTTTACACCTCACATCATATCGCAAAGAGTGTAGGTGACCACTTCGCATGCGTCGCAGGAGAGGGATGAACGAACAGAGAAAACAGAAAAAAATGCGGCAAAAAAGTGGGAAAAAACAGGGGAAAAAACGGGAGAAAGATGAAGGTATAATGCAGGGGGAAAAAAGTGTACGTCCAACCGTGCACATAAATATTATCCATTCTGTTCACCCTTCTTTTACACCCGTTTTTTGTATTTTCCATTTTGGAGACTCTCCTCTTTTCCCTTCCACACGCAGCTGTCCTTAATTAGAAAAGTGTTTCTCTCGAGCTGCTTGCCGAATTGTACACTATGACTAGGCAACAGGGAGAACAAAAAGGGGTCTTTTGTTGTTATACATTAAGTACTCAGAGGGGGAAGCCAAAAATTCGGAAAGGAACCCTCACTTTGCCCAGCAACGAGGGAATAGGTCTTCGTCTTCACTGCATATGCACATGAGAGTGTTCACATATGGCGTGCTTCCTTCCCACGTCTCCTTCCGCCCATTGGAGCAAATTATTTTTCCAAAGATTCGTTCCTTGCTCTGACGTAAGCCCCAGCAGGGTTCCATCCACCCATAATCACCCTTTCTCCCTTTCAAAGATACTTCTTATAAGCGTCTACAAACAACTCAATTTCACCCTGAAACAAAACCCTATCGACATCGGTCGAGGAGACATTCGTCCGTGTGTCTTTTATCATTTTATTTCCATACAAAATATAATTCCTAATCTGTTCCCCAAAATGCGTTAAGCTTTTATTTGAAAATTCATATTTTTTGTTCTTCAAAGCTTCCAGCTGTAAGTACAGGAGCTTTTCATATATCGTTTTTAATGCAATTCGTTTGTTAAGAATCTGTGACCTCTCACTTGACACCTTCACAGAAATGTTTGTTGGTTTATGCAAGATCCGCACAGCCGTTTCGACTTTGTTAACATTTTGTCCTCCCTTGCCCCCTGACCTCATTGTCTGAATGACTAAATCGCTTTTGTTGAGTGCAATTTCATTCACGTTGATATTTCGACTGTTCATGGTTTTCTTCACGGGGGTCGAACTACTCTCTGCAATGTTTAAAAAGTTGATGACATTTGTGTCGTTGTAACTTAGTGTGGGGATTACATCGACTTTTACGAAGGACGTCATTTTTTTATTCTGTGCATTGAAGGGGGAATTGCGAACCATTCTGTGAATCCCCTTTTCTGATACGAAATTGTAAAAGCTATATTCTCCATCGATTTTTATTTCCACTTTTTTTATCCCCACTTCGTTTTTGCTTAAATCGATCACTTCGTATTTAATATTTTTCTTGTTTTTCAATTTTGACAAGTACTTCATGTACATATTGTAAAGCATGCTACAGAAATCACACGCCTCTGTCCCCCCCGTCCCAGAAGACAATATCAGTGAACACGAGTTTTTAAAATACTTGGAATAATTCTCCACATCCTTTTTGATATAAGAACTTAAACACTGCCTGCTAACCCGTTTGATACTTTTGCACAAAAAAAGGGATCTCCCAGTACTTGTGACGTGTTTGCAGTTAATAGTAATAGACATGACTACAAGGGCGAGGAGAAATGTCAAGTTGTCGTTCAAATTCATATTTTCCCCATACCTCTACTTTTTTTTTTTTTTTTTTTTTTTTGATGTGCTCTCGTTGGGGGTGTACATGGCGCAGTCAGGGGGTCATCTGTGTTGAGGCAGTCTGCATGACGGCGATCTGCATAAGCGCCTGCGCAGCGTACGGTTTCAGTGCTTCATATCAGGGTAAGCTTCAAATTCCTATCATGTCGATTTTGTTATTTTCAAAGGGGGGTGATCAGGAGGCGGAATTATAGAAAACCATTTTCTTTAATTTCGCAGCACCCCCTTTGTTCAATCCCTATCGGCGTTTCCTGCGCGAGGATGACGTACCATTTATGTTCAGGTTCTGCTGGGTCCCCAATTCAGCACCTTGGCGTTATTCACCCCACTTCAGTGTTCACTTTTTTTTCCCTCCACTTCTTCCGCTGGGGAATTGTCCCTTTCCAAACGGCGAACTGGGGAATCGACCTCGACACACCTTTTGACCGCTTGAATTCGTTTATAAAAGGAGCCAATCGGGGGGAAGCAAGAAGTGTGGAACGGCCCCTGAAGCACGAAAAGGGTAGCATATTTATCTTCATTTTTATTTTTATCTTTCTTTTTAGCTTTATTTTATTTTACTATATTTCACTTTATGCTTGAACCGTTTACCACTATATAAAGAGATTAAAAAACGGGGCGCTCATTTTTTTCACGTGAACGTATGCAATACTTTGCAGCGTCACACGTGTTACCCCCACCCAAGTGTTGTTCACCCGTTTATCATTTTTGCTTACATCTCTAGCGGTACACAATACCATCATGTATGTTCGCACATTTTGTGCCATTTTCATCCCCACCGTTGCCCTGCACAAGGGAAAGGTACACTCCAAACGTCTGGGATGGTGTGTCCCTGCTTTTGCCATGGGCTACAAGACGGAGCATTTAAAATGCTTTACTAGTTAAATGGGGTTTTCAAAAGAGAAAGGTGAACATTCTTGCGGCCAAGCGGCACGCGGAGAATTGTAAGCTTCGGCAGAAGCGGCAGTGGACCTATAAACCGAGGAAGCATATTGGGGAAGTAGGCTTGGTGTGGGCTACTTTGGGGAAAGCTGGACTGAAGTCACTCGAATGCGTTCCCCAGGGAACGGCTTGGCTAACGCTCCACCCCTTTGGGAAAACAAAAAATGAGCCCTACGGGTTCATATTTTTTGGACAGAACAAAAAAAATAAAAATCCATTAAAGAGGGGTCAACGAAAACGGTCCCCACAAAAGGGACCACAAAAGGCATCTCAAATGCGTCCTCATAAATGGCTCCTAAAAAAGGGCCTTCACTAAAGCACCTCCACATCGCTACACCACTCCCAATATGGACGCATCGAAATTCTTCTTATAAACATACACGTGGTACAAAGAACAAATGTCAAAATAAATTTGGGAGTCCCTATTATAGCCATGAATTTTATTAATCCGCATTTTGATATCGTTAAAAATGTACTTATCGATTGTTTTATTAATTAGCTTAAAGTAGCTTATATTTTGGTACCTCTCGTATGTCTCGAGGTTGTTGGTGATATAATGAAGAAACATGATGGCGCTGTTGTTGAATAGCTCAACCATGTTTAGTTCCTGCAACTTATCTTTTAAATACTTCTGCGGAATGACAAACTCGTTCGCGTCAATTGTATCGTACAGATAGAAATAATACTTGATGCCCAGCGTATTTTCCAGGGCGTCTTTTATCAACTTGTGAAAGTAATCGTACTTCATCTGAGACACTGTGCTGTTGCTGTTGACGAATTCTATGAATTCCTCCAGGCACATTTTATTCTTGAAAATCTTAAGAAGATTTTCCTGGTCGAACCGGATCGTGAACAGGTCGTTTTCGAGACTCAGCGTGATGGAGTCTGCGGGGGGGTGAGCGGTAATATGGGGTGAGCGGTAATATGGGGTGAGCGGTAAGATGGGGTAAGCGGCAATGCCTCGGCGTGCAGCAATGTGTGGATTCTCTGCCACTCTAGCGCACTAACCGCTAACCACCTCCGTGACGGAGCGTTTCATCAAAAAGTCAGTCAGCGTGATGGTCGAAATGGTGGTCGCCAGCAATAAGCCCTCACTCTCCAGAAAATTTTCTATAATCTTAAAAAATTTTTTAGATGACTTCTCGTTGTACACCACGTAATGCATGGCCAAATTTATCGAAATGATGTCAAACGTGATATTTTTATTTTTCCATTTTCGGAAAAATTTATTATTTAAAATATCCCCTTGGAGAAATAAAAAATTGTCATGATTACACAAGCCTTTTACATCATTCTGACTTAATCGTTCCTTGGCCAACTCGATTTCCTTCTTGGAGATGTCGAGCCCAACATAGACCTTATTTTTCACCGTGTTGTATTTGAGCATGTCCTGTCCATGGCCGCATGCCAGGTCCAATATTTTGGACCCATACGACACAAAGAAGAGGATCATTATTCTCTTCACCTCATTGTTGAAGATACGGATATATTTGATGTTGGACTTTTTCAGCAAAATGACTTTTTTTTTGTCGTAGTGCTTCCTGATTTCCTCATTCACGTCTCCTATCATCTTCGGGTAGAAATAATCGAACTTGGTGGTGTTGTTCTTGAGCTTGTTCACCAAGTTTATTAGGCACTCGAAGTTTTTGTAAAAGTTGTATATTACGTAGTCCAGCTTGTTGGAGCGAGGTCCTTGCTGGTCGAATTTGTCACGGCGATTGCCACATCGGTCTCCGTCTCCGCCGCCACCTACTCCGCCGCTGACTCCACCAATCTGGTCCATCTCGCCGATCTCACTCCCCTCGCCCCGTTTCCTGAACTCGCGCACAACCCTCTCAATGTCGATGTACATATCCACGTTCACCTTCCAGTCCTTCTCAAGCTCGAACAGCTTCCCCAGGTCTTTTCGCCTATTTTCTCCACCCTTGACATTGGAACTAGCCTCGCCCTTCACTTCGTACATTTTGATGATGTCCAAATTGTTGGAAAAATCGGAGTAGTCAATGTTGTAGTCTATCTTCACATTTTTCAATTTTTTATTCTTGGCCACATGTAGAAATAGACTGCATCCCTTGTACTTGTCGTCGCAGCAGAAATTGTAAATCGAGATGTCCCTCACGTTTCTTTTCTTTATCTTGATGTTCTCTTCGTCCAGGGCCCGCAGGTTGGGCGGTTCTGTCGCGTGACTCCCCGCGATGACTCCCACGCCGATTCCCACGGCGCTTTGCCCATTTTTGTGCTGATATATGTCGTACTTGCGGCGGTGTGTGCTGGGTCGGTTCGCACCATCGGGGAAAGGCACTTCAGTGGAGGCAGCCTCAGTTGCGTCGACCCCCGTGGTGGGTTCCCCCCCTAGCAAAGGCTCAAACGAACTCAAATTCAGACACTGGTTGTACGAACTATTAGGGTAATAAACACAGACGGTGTCGCTTTCAATCTCCTTAAACGCGCTTATGACCGTCCTGTCGCCATCCCTCGAGTATATTATTTTTCTCCTATACAAAATCTGATTTCTGTCATTAGACGAGTCATCCGATTCCGCAGAGTTGTGGTCACTTGACGTGGCATTAGCTTCATGATCACTGTCCTCTTCCACTAGCTTTTTTAACTTTTCAATGTAGACCTTGTCTTTATCAACAATTTTTTTTTTCCTCTTCTTCCTTCTCTTCTTTTTCTTCCTCGTTTTCCCATTCAGCAAATGCATCTCCTCCTTCTTCTTTTCCTCATTATACAAATTAATCAGTGCATCACTCTCGTTCGATTCGCTGGATGTGCTGTTCTCCTCCAGTTGGCTTGGCTCACTCGCTCTTTCGTTGCGTGTCTGATCATCGTTCTTCTCTTCTTCACGCTTTTGATCCGCCGATTTGTTGTGCGACACGTGGCCTTCTTCTGCATCAGCTGCCTCTCCAATCATCTGAGCGGTGGCCCCACCCTTGTCTCGATCCCTCCTTGTGTCGTAGTAGTACCACTCCTCTAATTCATATTTCTTTTCCAAAATTCTGAACTTATATTTACTTTTATGAATTTTGAAGAGATCGACATAGATGTAGTTCAGCATCTCTGTGTCGATATTAAATTTGTACTTGTAATTATTGTTACTAATTTTCTGCAGAATAATTTGATTAAGAATTGGAAGGTTGATTAGCTCATCATTGAAGCTGCCTCGCAGCTCCACCACACTGCTGTGTATGGAGAGGAAGTCCCTCCTGTCACTTTGTAAGCTCCTCTCCAAAAAATTTACAATCTCTAAGTTAATTTTATTTTCTATATTAACATATTTGTATTCGTCAAAAATGGCGTAGGGCTTTATCTGTGTGCAATTGTCTCTATAAAATAAGTCAATTTTTATTGCATCATTAATTTTTAATTTTTTTTTTATCAACAAGTTTATTTCGTGGAAAAGATTATTCTTGTCGATGATTATTTTTTTCTCTCCATTCTTGTTTTTGCGACTGTTCTTTAATTCTCCTTCATCTGGTTCATCCCCCCTCTTCCTTCCGTTTTCGCTGAGGCGTTTTATGTGTTCTTCCCCCTGTTGGTGTGACTCCTCTTTCGATTCCTTTTTCCGCTTTACATGAGAAGGAGACGACGGGCTAAAAGAATTTTCTCCATTTTCTTCTATTCCCCTTTTTTTTGGATTTCCATGTTCTCCTTTAATTGGTGCTTCTTTCTCATCTTCCTTCTTCATGGCTGTCGCGCTTACCTCACTCACGTTGTTTTCCCTGCTTGTGAATGTATCTCCATGTTGTTTCGCCTCAGGGATATTTTTTGGATCTTCGCTTAAATTCTCACTCTTCATATTTCTTTCTCACGTCAGTTTCAGTTGCAGGTGTTCGCCAATTCTGTCCCCTCCGACAAACGCGCTCGCTATACTTTACATAATACTATGCTCATGTTGTACATTATTCAGCAGTATGCCGTTTTAGTTCCACTATGGGGGGAGTTGTACGTATGGTTAATTGCTCCTTTAAAAAATTGTATTTATTTTTTCTCATTTTTCGTCCCCCCATTTGGGTTTTTTTTTTATTCTTCTCGCTCCTCCATAACACCTATATGTTAAAACCAAAACGTGCCGCACAATTTGTCACTACTGTTGCCTTTCCCTGATGACGGATTTCCCCGCTACATCCTCCATAGATTTTTTTTTTTTCGTTATAAGTGAAGAGAAAGGGGGGGAGGGAGGCACTTAAAAATGAAGCCAATTGGAAAGGGTAATATCTCCTGTTATTGTCGTAATGCCCCTGCAGCAGTGATAGGGCGTGATTCACCAGTGAGACATAATTCTACTTTAAAAAAATAATGGGAAAAAAGGATGCACAAAAAGTGCGCAAAAAAAAACGGCGCTGCAAGATGAATGTAGGTAAAACTTGCCCTTATGCTTTATCCTTAACTAAGCGTGCACACATGCAGAGAGACCCAGCACGACATTAGATGGATGGCACTGCAGAGGAAGCGCTGGTGTCTAGCGCATTGGCACATAATGTACATATGCACATATGTGTCTACCTGCGAGGCCTTGATAATAGGACATAACGCCCGTTGACCTTCCTCCCACGGCCACGCGCTTCCTCATTTGCAGCCGCTACAAACCTACAAAAGGAACGGGCAAGGTGGTTCGAAAAAAAACGCTTCGTCTTATGTAGAGAGAGACGTATGGAAATAAAACTGCCCACAACGAATTTAGTCATTTTCTCGCGCATGCACACAGGGATGCGTCCTCGCTCTACCAAAGAATAGCTCCTTTTTTTTTTTTTTTCTTTCCACAGTATAAAAGAAAAAAAGAAGAAGCATTCAACACCAGGACGAGGAGTCTAAATGAATTATCATTTTTCCTTGCAGGGGAGAGCGGAGAAAATTTTGCCTGCACCGAAATAGAAAGCCACGATTTGCATGCCTTTTCGAAGAGGTACATGTGTCCCTATATGCACGTGCTTAATTACGCACATGCGTGTGCGTATGTTCCTCCCTCCAGAATAATTCACCCCAACCAGTTGCCGCCGTCAGCAGCCTGGTAAAAGCAGTGCTAAATAGGCAAAAAGAGAGAGCAATGAATGGCGCAAGGAATAAAAAAATAACCAAGTAGCGAACTGACGAAATAAAGGGGGCCCCACGAAGGACAAACGATTTAGCATTAGACGAACGGCTTCCAAACGCCAAGTAGCAACAGTAATTTCCAGACGGTTGCAAGTGAACATATCCTGACGGGCGCAATTTTTTTGCTACCATTTTTCCTTTTTTTTAAGCGTAACCTGGGGATGGGCGTTTTATGTTAGTTGTGAATATCGCAGTGCAGTACTCCGCAATTCTTTTATTTCTTTGCTGCGTCTGTTTTTTTTTTTTTTTTTTACCCATTTGCGCGGTTATGTAGTTGCGCCTTTATGCGGGTTGCACCTTTAGGCTGTTACGCGTTTATGCTGCTGTTCAGTCATTCCGCTACGCGATTATATGTTCACCCCTTTAAACACTTGTGGTCCTCCCCTCCGTGTCTCTGCACTTTATGCCAAAGGAACGCGAAGGGGAAATATTCCCCTCCCATCCGTTCGAAGGACAAAGCGCACCACCAGGGGGTAACTCCTACCCTCCACTGTGCGCAGACATGTTAGCAATCAATTTGGATCCTCTATAAAGTGACACTCTTAGGAAGGAAGCCAAAGCGTAGCTATAGAAGTTCGTCTTCACACATGCCCAAATATATATATATGTATTCATAGATGCCAAATTAGTTTGCCATTTCTTTGCCTGAAAGGGTATTCGCACGACAAGAATCCATGTCTGTGTGCGAATTGACTCATGCTCATCCCCACCTGTACACGCGCCAATGTGTGTCCGTGTCCATGGTATAGCTCACCAACTGGGAGGAAATAACAACGCGTAGTGTCTCCTGATAGTATCAAACAACAGCGAGTAGGAGAATACTCCCCATCGTGAAGACACATCTTCCCCCAAAGCCCATAAAGATAATCCATCTGAACCGTTTATATGGTGGCATGTAACTCAGATTCCTCTCAGAATAGTCAGCAAGAAAATATATAAAAAAATGCATCACAATGAAGCCGCGTATCATCAGAAGGGGGAACAACACCTGCAGGTTAACATGGAGGTGGCCAAACAGACGCTGAGGAAGAAGTGGAGTGACAGTCATAATGGGCCTTTGCGGGATATCTATTCGAAGGATGGACAGGCAAAAAAGGAAAGTTGGGGGGAAGAGAAACATTGTAGGGGAGGCCAAATGAAGAACCACACACCTCCGAACAGCAACGCGATTGATGCGAAACTAAGTAGCCTACGGTCCACGTTTCGTAACTCTTACGTCAACGTACTATATTTTAAAAAATTGAAATTAAATAAAAAATTGTTCGAAAAAATGAAAAACAAAAATATTGTCATATATTTAAAGTATAAAGAAACAACATGCACAAGTAAAGACATCCAAGTCACCAACTCGGAAATAGCTAATTTATATTTGAGCTTTCTCGTTACCGCGCCCCTCGCAAAAAATGAAAAACAAATTATCAAAATATACATAAAATATTTTAAAGACAAGAAATATAAAATTCTTTCATTTGGATTTGTTGAATTAAATTTTGAGGAGTTCACGGAAAAATTTTATAAAAAAAAAAGCTACATGTTATGTTACGACAAAAATAGCAATAAATATGTCTTTGGCTACTTCGTGTTGTTGTTGGCCAATCAGATAAAGTGGACCATATGCAACAGGAAAATTTCGCATGAGTTCACTGACAAATCTTACTTCGTTTGGGATAGAAATAATTATGATCATCAGATTTTTTACATTTGTAAAAAAATTCAGAGTTTTTTATTGCAATCTGTTCGCTCCCGAGGGGGTAGTCAGGGGCACACCTTTCAAAGCCGCGCCCTGCTCAAGCATTTCGGCGTCACGCACAGCTGCCCGGGGACGTTCAGGTGGAGGCGATCACAGGAAAGGAAACCCGCTGGGGGAAGCACGTCTAGCAGCGCGGGGGACCAAGAAGGGGGGAACTGCGAAGGGAGTGAAACACAGCGGAAGACAGAAGTTTGTGGGAGTGAGACTCATTTGAAAACCGCCCTACGCGGGAGTGAGCCCCATCAGAAGATTGCCCTGTGCGAGAGTGAAACCTATCAGAAGGGCGCCTTATTTGAGAGTGAGCCCCATCAGAAGACCGCCCTGTGCGAGAGTGAAACCCATCAGAAGGGCTCCTTATGTGAGAGTGAAACCCATCAGAAGGCGGCTTTATGTGAGAGTGAGCCCCATGGGAAGACCGCCCTATGCGGGTCCTTAACGCGCATGCTGGATACGTCCCCAAGTGAAGGGAGCCATAAAGGCGAACGAAGCGCGCGAGACAACCAAGACGATGTCATCAAAAAGAGACCCTCAAAAAAGGGTCCAGAAGAACCGGGTACAAATGGCCATCAAGTGGAAGAGTCATACGAGCCAAACGAGCCCAACCCTTTGCCCCCCGCGGAACCTATTCATATCGAAAAATGTGCCACTGATGAAGCGGAAAAGTGCGTCCCATATGCGGCGCAGTACGATGCCACCCACTGCCTGGAAAACATAACCGCAGGTCCCTTCTCTTCAACGGAGGATCTGGATCAAACAATGCAAAAGGAGAATATTCCAAGTTGCGCTGAAGACGGTCGAGTGGTGGGAACAATCACACACGAGCAAAGCAGCAGTGTAGAAGTGCATATCGATGCGTATAAACACTCCGAGTTGCGCGAAAAGAGCAGATCTTACTCCGATGCGCGGGACGCTTACTATGAAAAGCAGAAGGTAGAAAAGGACGAGCCGCTGGGGAAAAATTCTTTTGATTTAATTCTATGCAAAAAGGTGGAAAATATTTTAAACAATGATGTAGACCATTTTGTAGAGGAAGTCCAATTTATTCTCACACACTTAAAAAAAAGGATCATAAAAACAAATGAATTTTTTTCGAGCCAGCTAAAAGAAGGGTACCCTGACGTTGAAGTGGTAGAGGAACACCATGCCGCAGAAAAGGAAGACATGAAAAACGAAGAGGATGAAGATAAAAAAAAAAAAATCCCCATTGCCCATCTCACAAATGGTGAAAAACAAAGTCAACAGAACTGTAACATAAATAAGGACATACTTACCATTTTGCAAAATTGTGTAAACACGACTTCGCTTTATATTAAATCCGTTTTGAAGGACAAACATGTAAGCAAACAGGAGAAGGACATTTTTGTCGTGTACGATGATATCGTAGATAATATAAAAAAGGCACTATCCGAGTTTCTGCAAGAGGGCACAACATCACATGAGCAGAATTTAAATATTTCGCAAATCAAGTCGATAAATTTGGGAAAAAAAAAGAAAGAAAAAAAATTTACAAAAAAGAAAAGCCAATCTGACTCGCCTAAAATGTGTGCCCTTCATAAAGAGAGCCATGTATCGTCCGAAATGAGCATTGGCGAGGGTTCGCGCGACAAACTCAAGAGCTACATCGGCAGACACGTTTCGACGGCCTTGCGATACTATGAGGATAAGTGGAAGCGCAAGTTATCTGGAGCTCGCAGCTACGTCTGAGAGATCACCCTACCACGTCCTTCTTTCCCACCCCCCAGGCGTTACGCACAACTTGTGCGCATTTGTGCCCCCTTCCCCATTTTACGATAATTTTTTTTTGTAATTTTTCGTCCTTTTAATTCACACCAGCGTGGTAGCAATGTTTGTCTTTTTTTTTTCTCTCTCTCTCATCCTCTTTGCAAAATAAAGAAAAACATTTTTTGTATTTACCTGCGTGCACGTACATATACGAAGCCGCGTATGTGCGCCCTGTATGTGTATCCATGTGTTTGTCTCCAAACTACCATCGCTCTTAGCCACCTCGTAATAAAACGATGCTACTTCATTCCACCAGCCTTTTACAATTATTGGAAATTTTTTAGAAAATTCAGCAAGGAAGCAAAACTGTGGTAAGCTGCGCAAGAGTAGGCGTTACATATGCTTTGGGTTCCTTTCCTGCGGGGGAGGGGGGGATAACCTCCAACAGTTGCCAACAGATTTTGCTTCATTAAAAATCGCATTTTTCGGTGTGCATCCCCCGTTGTTTCTTCCAAGCGCGAAGACCATTGCCCCCATTCGCTATGCCATTAAATGCGTGTAAATCGAATAGGCCCATTTTGAAAGAGCAATTTGTATGCCCCGTGTTTTCTGCAAAAAGGTGAACCTACCTAAATTTGCAGACGCAAAATGCACCAAAAAAAAAAAAAAAATGCCCAGAGAAAAATTGTTAACAAGGAACAACGACAATCCCATTTCTGCCTCGGCAACGTCTCGTAAAACTCGAAATGCTAAAAGGTATGCTCCTATTCGCTGGGAATGCTCATATAGATTTGCATCCTCCCAGTTTAGCTTGCGTTCGTTGAACATCTCCATTTCGTGAAAGGTGATCGTTTTTTTTCTGTAACATTGCATGATACAATTTGTGCAATCTTCACTAGCTGATGATGTCACCACTTCCCCAAGCTGCTGCATCGCTTCACCGTGGCTGACTAAACATGGTAGGGTGAGCAGTTTAGTAACCCGAGCGGGTGGGGGACTCAGAACAGGTACATTGTAGTATTCCACAACTTTCTGCTTCATTCCACGGCGCACCTCTGCAGTTCGGCACATATTCACCTCTCCACATATGAACTTCTCCACTTCTCCGCTAAACCAACGTGGACCATGTTCCGCAGGGGAACCACCCAAAGCATGAGCCAACTTAAAAGACTCATTCGAGGGAGAGGCGTAAAAACATCTGTCAGACATCTCACCTATGAGCACTTCATCTTCAACTTTGATGATGTAGAAAATTTAAAAAATTTAAAAAAGATAAAAGAAATAAGCGCAGAACCGTTGGTGGTACCAACACAAACCAAGAAGGACAAATATGAACACATTTTAGATCAAAGTAAATTAAAAAAAACAAGAAAATTGCTCATTTTGGTTCGCAAAAAATTGATAAACTATGACCAAACCCCTCTGAATAGGTTCTACTTCATATTCTATAAAAATGTGGACTGTCTCTCCGAGGCCGAAGTGATCGATTTGGTGTATTTGGCCGTGCGAAACAGGAAGTATTATGCACATAAAGGGGATGTACAGAGCGGCTTCGACACTGAGGCTGGTGGTGTCTATGATGGGGGGAACAATTCCATCATCGGGAAGGGAAATCACTTTATCAAAAACGACGTAGAAGACATTTCTGATCATGTCCACACCAATGTAAGCGATGCGAACGATATCGCCATACATACCTGGAAGAACGAGCATCTCGGGGGGGACAATCAGGAAGCGAATGAAGGCTGTGCACCAAGAGGGGAAGACCCCGAATGGGGTTACGAAGCAAATAATGATGAAAGTTCTCGTCTGAAATGCAAACAGGGGGGCTCCATTGCACAAAATGGGACTGCCAATTGGTTGGTGCCTCTGGAGGAGGATGGGATGGATTCCAGAAAAGATCATAAGAACAATCAAAAAAGTACCAATTCTAAGCGTCGAAATGTCGATTACGTGCTGAGGCTCCTGTCCTCATTGTGGAACTCTCTAAGGGAAAGAAAAACTGTCATGGAAGACAAGATCACCTTGCTGGACGTGTACAAATTGTCGTACTGTTTGCGCCACTACAGAATGGTAGAGTGGGACAGTTTCATAGTCACGTATATCTGTGCTTTCCTAAAAAAAGAAATCAATCACATAAATCAAAACAGGAGCGACTACGAAATAAGAGACGACGAGCAGCTGAACATTCTGCTAAACGTTCTCATCATACATTACAAAAAATTGAAGGGGCATTTTTTTAACCTTCTATATGACTACCTATTTGCGGTGTGCAAAAGGGGAATCTTCAGTCTTTCCTGCAAGAATATCTGCCTCCTACTACAAGTGAATAATTTCCAGGTGAATAAATACGATCCCTTTTTTCTTTCCCTGCTTGGGGGAGAAGCAACCACGTCCGTGACAACACCGCGCAGGATGGAAGGCGAAATGGTGAACACTTCGGCGACAACTGCCTCGCTAACCCTGGTGGACGTGAACTACCTGCTGTTTTATCAACTGAAGAACGGCGCAATGAGGGACACCCCCCGATTTGATTTACTCACGGACAGTCTCGCCAACACACCCGAAGTGACTTGGCAAAAGGTTCAAAATGTACACCTCCTATCTTTGCTACTGCTCCGCTATGAATACTCCAAAAGGTACGCCATTGAAACGTACGACAAATTTGTGGAAATAGTTTATCATATGTATTCTTACGTGAGGAGGAATATGAATACCTTATTAGGGAATAAAAAAAAAAGAGAAAACATTTTGAATGTACGCTTTTTAAAAACCTTTTCGCTAGCTCTATCTCTGATAGGAAACAACCTCCAAGTGAATGATGAGTTGTGCCTGTTCGTAGTTTACCTTCTAACCAATCCGAAGCAGACAATGACCATCGAGGACTACATATATTTGTTAAAAATCTCCCATTTTTATAACTTCCAAAAGGAGCTCTATTTTAGCAGGAGCGCTCTCTACTGTGAAGACAAGACGTTGTTCTACATCTATCACGGTGGTGGTGGGGACCAGCAGGGGTACCTCCCCCTCAACTGGGAACGATTGTCAAGTTACATTTACGAATGCCTAAAGGTGATATATTCCTTTGAAGAGGAAGGAAGAACTTGGATAAAGAACCCGGCAAGGGATCTCGAGACAGAAAGGCAGATCGTAGGCACGTCCGACGGGATAGCCATGAAAAAGGAACCGCATGTGGATCTCCCACCCATAGCAGACATGATTGAACCTGCCGCAATTACAGAGGTACCCCGACTAGATGGGGACCTCAAAACGTACCTTCTGAAAGGGCACCCAAAGGATGGGCAAACCGGCGCCGTTGAAAACGCTTTTCGAGTGAAACCACCCGCACAGTGCCTAAACGAACAGAAGGCGGCAAAGAAGAACAAAAGCTACTACATGCATATTTTAGACATCTTACCATCGATGCAGAACGACCCCAGTGACAAACCTTTTTATAAACACCTGCTGCGATTATTCCAAAGAGACGTGGGCCTCTTTTACCTACACGTGTTCGATATAGACAAGATCCTATTTACGTATAGTCTCCTCAACATAAAAAAAGAGGACCTCGCTTTGAATACTCTAGACTTACTAGAAAGGGTGAAAGAAAATATTATCAGGAAGGATCACCCCTTGGAAAAAGAAACGTACCTTCTTCATTCTCTCTGCAACATACTTCTGACGATGGCTGAATTGAACCTCCTTCCAATCCTGGACATGAAAATTTTCGAGAAAAAGGTCCTTACGCATATTCATTTATTAAATGTCAGTGCTATTCTCACTCTGATGCAGTATTACATTTTGAAGGGACCAGAGACGACCGGGATAACTACACACACAAACACTATTGCGTTACTGGTTCTGCATTATGTTAAGAGGAAGTACCTTCTCTCGAGGGACGGTGCAGATGAAGATGCAGCCCAATTCGAGGATCTAAAAGGGGATGTGAATTATCCCACCCTCGAGCGTTATCTACACCAAAAGGGTAGTCGGAAGGGGAAAGGGGCCTCCACGGGGGAATATCAAATGGGGGAAGAGTCCAGCCAAAAGGGAGACCCTTCTCGTGGTCCAAAAACCGATGCCATGCAGGACGAAAGCATTTTTTGTGTCCCCTTTGAAAAGATAAACGAAGACGACTTGTACGAATTTCTCCTGCTAAGATTTGTGTTCATCCATCTCGTCACCCATACGAGCCTGTTTCACGATAATATCAAATATCACCATGGGGAGGAGAAACACTATCGCGCAATGGTGAATAACCTTAACAGAGTTGTCCTTCACCTGAAAAGTGACTTCTCTGACATGTTGTTGATCGGTATGACGGATGGCGTCATTGTAGACGGTGGCGATGACGTGCGGGTTCCCCAAGAAAGGGGCCTCCCCAGTCAGAAAAATATCCGAAGGAACGGGAAAGAAGCAGAAAGGAGGATTCTATCCAACTGTGCAGCCCACGGAGTGGAAAACGAGCGCATCGCAGAACCCCCAAACCAAAATAACATCCTTAGCCGTGCGAATTTCGGCCTACTCACCAGCTACGTAATGTTCACCCTTAAGCATGACCTGAATTTTCTCACGAGGGACCGGATTTTCTACGAAGTAGTGGCCATGCAGCATTTGTTTGTTAAGAACTTCAAAAGCTTGTACTACAATTATAAATACTCATTTGTCTATCGTAAATTAATGCTTTCATTAATTTTTGATATGAGGAGAAAAAGTTCCATGCGGATGAATTGCCCTTTAGTTCCCCTCAAGAACAACCCAAATGACATGGAAAGAATGCGCATAAATGAGTACATACAGATATTAAGGCTATTTAGTGCTCTGTGTGCAGAGGAGGGAATGGAGGAAAACGCCTTCTACAGCTACTTAACAAAAAACTGTGTGCAAATGTCTAGCTCGCAGCAGCCCCAGCAGTATGACATTATACTGAATCGCCACTTGATTTACGACATGAACAGCAGCGAAATTGTCAACGTTCATTTGAATGTCCCTTTTTTTAACTACATTATTCCGATGCTAATAGAAACCAAAGCCTTTTCTGTGGCTGTGCAGGTGGTTTTCTCCCCCACGGAAAATGTAGACACGTATGCAACACTGTTCAACGTTATGTGGGCGTTCTTAAAAAGTTATAATTATGACGTGATACTGATGAAGAGAAAAGGGGAAGCGTAAGGGACGGGGGTTATATTTCCCATCCCCTCCACGCCTCCTCAGAGTGAATTCGGCCCACGGATGGTATCCCCCCCCCTTACACTTACACACACACCTTGTTGCTCTACCCAACTGGCGCTGCATCGTTTGGCGCTACATATTATGACGTATAAATTGTAAATATGTTATGGGCATTTTTTTTCTTCTCCTTTTTTTCCATTTCCTTTTCGGCTTTTTCTTTTTTTTTTGTTGCTCTTTGAGACCCTTCCCCCAGGAACTCCTCCATTCAAATATTTGTTATAGAAAAAAGTAGACGCAATTGCACAATATGTGCGAAATGAAAAA